ACATAGTAATAAATATGTAAAATACTTATTGATCAAATATAATATAATCATTTTGCTCTATATATATATATATATAAAGGTGAAATAGTGAAGAGAATGCCGTTTTTTGCTGGATTTGGCAAAGATATTGCTACAAAATCATATAAGGTGATTTTGATATATTCAAGATTTGGAAATGTTGATGATTGTTTCAAGGCCAAGGTCCTATCCCTTGATAATGGTGAGCAAAGAGGCACAAGTTTATATTGTTTAAATAACCGTACATTCTGCGAAGAGCAAACATCAGTCTACGCAAACAGATCCCTCTTTTGGTTGACATTATGTGACTATCAACGAACACTTGCAAAGCTACTAGCTATCGATCTTCACATCGAAGAATTTCGATGGATATTATTACCAGAGTGTTACGTCAGCTATGATTCTAGTATAGAAATGTGGAATCTGAATGACCGTTTGTGCGTATCGGATGTGCTAAAATGTTCAAATTTGGTCGTTTGGAGTTTACAACAAGAATATCCTACCGTGAAATGGGAGAAAATATATTCTATTGATATTGGGTTTATAAGAACCAACCAGTTACATGAAAAGTTTTGGATGCTTGGTCTAGCGGCTGCTTATTTTCCAAGTATTATAAATCATCGAGATCAAGTTTCTTTTTTCAGACAAAGAACGATTTCATATTCGCCAACAATGATTTCTCCTTCAAGTTTGATGTTATGATCACTACAGAAAAAAAAAAAGAAAAAAAAAAAGAAAAGAAAAGAGAGTAAATTATATCACTTAAATAGTATCACAAAACAAGTGATTTTAATTTAAATTGCTTATTAATTAATGATATAAAATAGGTGGTTTAACATCAATTATTATAGTTGATGTTATTATTGAATTATTTGACATCAATTCAACGAAAAGGATACAAATTTATATTAGTTTGCATCACTTCAAAAATATTGATACAAAATATGAATTCACATCAGTTATATAATTGATGTATATACTAATTTTATTCACATAGCTTACAAAATGATAGAAAATTAACATCAATTAAAAGAGGATAGAAATTTATATTAGTTTAATTCTTTGAACACATTTGTTGAAAGAGAGGTTTCACGTACGTAGAAACTTGCCACTTCTCTTAAATTCCATTATTTTTTACGGGGTTACTCGTTGAGCATTTTTTGGTTTACGTAATGATTTTAAAATGAAATAAATTGTTGATTATTAACTATACTACTCATAGTTTTCTTATTGGTTAAAGTACTTAGCACTTAGCAGAGTCGCACATTTCAGTTTAAGAGAACGCTAAACAAAAGCAGAGGATGATGATGAATCGCGATAGAAAGCGATGCAGCCAGCCAACCGCAAAATTCGAACCGCCACCTGTTCGTTAGTTTCCGCTTCTTCGAGCACTAGCTAACCTTTTGTTTTATTTCAACCGCCATAAGATTACCCTTTTGCAAATCCGAATCTTTAGCCGCACTTTGTTTTCTATTACTGACCATTACATTTACCATTTTAGCTTCTTCAAAACCGTGTTTGTAAGAAACTCTTGTGACTGCCCGGTTTGTAATTGAGGCTGAGGTCGCGGGTCGTGATCTTGATGGTGCTACTTTACTCGGCTCGGTCTGAAAATATTTAGAAAAAGAAATGTATAGAGGCTCCTTATTTTTGTACAAACAAAGCTTGCAATAGTAGAAACATACCTTGTGATGAGACGCCGGTCTAGTACCGGTGTTGTAGAATGAAGGCATTGGTGTTGCCTTAAAGTTGAGGCTTTTCCTGAACTGTTTAATCTCAGCTTCTACCTTTTGCTGCATCCGAAATGTTGATCCAATCCAATTAGCTCTTTTTGAAATGTAAAAAGACATGACATGTTTACATTTTCAAAGAGACATGGAGATGATGATGAATTGATGATACCTGTGTTTTGGCCTGAACTTGGTTTGTTTCTGTTTTCTTCGCATGTATTTTCTCCTCCAGTTTCATATAGAACTGAATTGAAAACAAAAATTTATAAGATACTCAGAAACAACAAAGGGCAAAAATGCTAGTATTTTGAAGAGAAAGAAGACCTCTTTTCTCTTCTCAGCTCGTTCGCTACATTTGAAACGGAAACTAGTAGAACCTGTACTCATCTCCAGCTTAGCAGAAGTGGTACTACTCTTGCACCTGCAAGTGAAACCATTAGATTGTTGAAGTCGAGTACTTCGAAAAAACTAGAGTAGTCTTAGTATTTGAACCTGTTTGTAGCAATAGGAGTTCGAGTCTCGATTTTCTTCGATGTTTTGGGTTGAGACTCAGTGGTTTTCTTCGGTCTTAATTCCTTTTGGCTATCACAAAACCAATAGGTCTTAATTCTTAAGCAAAGAGAAAGATAAAACAGAGTTGCAACAATTCTCTCTAGAAAGAAAAGTAAAGTACCTCTTGCCATCTACATTGGTTTTATAATTAGAACTTAAAGAAGAACCATTTGTCCTCCTTGAAGCAGCTTTTGGTGTTACATTATCTCTCTTTGTAGAAGCTTTAATCACACGCACATCATGAGGAATACTAGGTTTCACCTTCTCCCGCGACTTCGATCCAGATACAGAGGAGGAGGGTGTTTCCGTAGCATCGTATGGCTATGAATAGAGCAAGAAACACATTTAAGTTTAGATTTCTGAATTTGTCACAATGCAACAATCAACAAGGTATACTCTCACCTTTTTTGGAACATGTTCATCGAGTTTCGATCCGGTCTCTTCAACTAAAACAGAATCTTGAATCTCAATCTCTTGTGGCATCTCAGGAGGTCCAAGATCCTCACACTCAACAGGAACAGCAACTGTCCCGTGGTCACCACCACCTTCTTCTTCATCAAGCTCAATCACTTCATCAGAATTCACTAGAATCTCATCATAGCTAACACATTTATCACTTTCCTCATCATACTCACATTGACTCTTTCCTTGACCACATTTCTCTTGTTCAAGGCTATGGTTACAAACACTATTTGATCGACTAGTATTCTCCGAGAAACTCCCATCAGATCGATAATCCTTGAAACTTTCAGTTGCATGGACAGCTTCATCATCCGGTTCACCACTTGTTTGATGAACTCCCCAAGTTTGAGATTCAAGAGAAGCCGGAAATCGGATTCCTTTCTTCTTGAAATGAGCCTCAAAATGTGCTTTCATCTCAGTAACAGAACCAGGTTTAGAACACTTGTCAACTTCTTCAAGATACCTATTGTGAGAAAAAGATGATCTCTTCTCCCATGATAAACCCTCTTTCTCGAATCTTCCGAACGATATAGATCCAGAGTGGATAGAATTCCCCTGCAATTTGGTTTCACAAAACCAATAAGAACAATCCTAAAACGTATACATATACATACAGAGTCTTGCCTAAGTTCATTTGAGTACTTTAAATTTAATAGCTAGCATTTCTTAAACAAAGAGTCCAAACACATAATATCAAAATAAATACATAAATCTAACGAAATGTTACCCTCTAATTTTTCATGTTATTGTGACCTAAAGAAATTGACTTTTTTTCTAAGACATGAAGCACTACTCTGCATACATGCTACTAGGCGGTTAAATTTAGCAAATTCCATAGAAGTAAAGCTAAAAACAGTAGCATTTCAAGTCCATCTAGATTGATCTCAAAAAACGAAGATACAAAGTTACTAAAGATTCGACAAGAACAACCATAAACAGAGTAGTAGTAAAAAAACAAGTAAAAGTGTGACATTATTATAGTAGAAGAAGTTACCTGAAAACTAAGACTAAACGGTTCTTGAATCTCACCTGCCATAATTGATCTCAAGGAAATAAAGATTTGAAGAAGTGTAAAAGCTTTGAAATATAGAGAAGAGAAGAGAATCTAGATTGATGAGAGTGGAAGACGAAAGGGTGGTGAAAGAATCATGTCATGTGCTTTTTTCTTCTTCTTTTTTTGTCTTCTTCTTGTCAGAGGATGCTCACGTTCTCCGTTATCACCTCCCGTTTATTTAGGGTTTATCAACGGTCCAGATTCTTCGCTTATAAAATTTAGACGGCGGTTTACTGTTTTAACGGCAGATGTGGATCGAAACTCTGAAAGTGGCAGGGTATTGCCACGTCATAATAATGGACTAAGGCCCACTCATTGAGTATTATAAATAGGGTCCAATTAAGAATTTTTCTCGAGCCCATAAAGTTTAACGATGCTTTAAAAAAAAAGATCACGTGTTCTCTCTCACGTGACTCTCTTACTTTTCAGGGTTTGATTGTTTTTTGGTGGAGGAATATTGAATTCTGATTTAGCCAGGCCCGGCTCTGGACAGATTTGAACAAAACATTTGTATTGGGCCTCAAATTTCTGATGTCCATTTTGTGAGGTTTTTTTTTTTTTTTTTTCTTAAAAACCAGTAAAATAGACTTCAAAATTAGTAAAATAGATCTCAAAATTAACAAAAAATCCCATAATTAGTAAGAAGGCCTCATAATTAGTAAAAATCTTATAATTAGCAAACAATGTCCAAAAATTAAGAAAAAATGTTAAATAAAAACTGTAAATGGCCCATAATTAGCAAAAAAAATAAAAAAATTTAACAGTTTTTACTTATTAAAAAGGCCTCAAAATTTTTTTTCGTATTCGGCCTCCGATTTTACCGGACCGGCCCTGGATTTAGCTTTGGTTATTCTTTGTATAGTTAGTCGAAATAATGTTTTGACCCCAAAAAAAAAAAAAGTTAGTAAAATTAAAAATTATGAAAGCACTTTACTTTTTTCTCTGTGACAGAAAATTTTTTACAATTATGCCGAACTTGAATTCAGTTTATTTTGCAATAATCTTTTAAATTTAGATGAAACCTATTAATATGGCAGATGTTACGTCCATTTAATTTTGTTCATATCTTATGAATTAATCACATGATGGTTCCAGAAAGAGGTTCATGAGAAGATGTATGAACTCTCGTTGTATCTGCTTTTGGGCCGAGATGTTATCTTACTTGAGAAGATGTTTATAGAGCTTACATGATATGGATCTAGATATATATTTGTTGGTCTTTTGGGTTGGATGCGCCTGCTGCCAAACGCAAAGTAAGTAGACTTTGATGTTGATTTGTCTGACCTTGTTGGGCATGTGAGCCTATGCAAGCCTAATTTATGGTGTGCATCAGTGCATGTTTGGGTAGCATATGCGACAAATATGGCATCCATATGATATAGCATTAATATGTGTCGTGAAATCTCTTTGCACCAGTTTTTCATACACCTGCTAGTACTCTAGAGTCAATGGTCAAAACGTAAAATCTCAATAGTGGTGAATGTTTTCCCCCGGGAGAGTATAATCTTAGGTTCATCGAGGAGGTTGACATTTGTTTCATGCTAATTAGTAAGTTTCTCCATCGTCGAGTTGTTGATCACCGTTTATTCTTTAAAAATATGTGAAATCATTTGTATAGGTTTATAATTATCGATTGTAAACCTAATCCGTTTTCATTTTCAATGAAATATTTACATTCTTAGCAAAAAAAGATATGTGAAATCACGCTAACATTATACGTTGCATTTCAGAAAGAAATCATATATATAATCAAATGGATGAGTACATTGAAAAAATAAGTGAAGGGAACCAAAGATAACGTGAAGAAAAGTAGCTAAAGAACATGAAACACAATAACAAGTACGCAAAACCAAACTAATTGCCGGGATACACTTGTATTTGCCACATTCCTTTGTTTTTTTCCTTTTAAACTATACACTTCTTTCTCTTTCCTTTACAATTCTCTACTTAAATACCAAGAAAAAGAAGAGAAACAAATCTAGCCACACCATAACCATCAAGAAAATCTACTTTTTTTTGTGTGACAATAGAAATGACAACATGGGTTGTCCATTTTCTGAAAGTTTGTCGAAAATCACTCAAACAAAACGATAAGAAAACATATCATCATTGCGAGAATAAACTTAAGGTGCTTAATTTCATTAGCAACATAAAAAAAAAGGCTTTAAACTAAATTAATTCCATGAAAATTATATTAATATATTTATGTTTTGGTTCGTGAAAATATAAAGAAGAATGGATTTGGAGTTGGCATGGGTGTTGTATTGAGGGAGTGTGAATGGTCCCCAGACTCAAAGCTTCCTTTGTCTTGAGACTCCGACCGGTGTCCGTGGTTCGGCCGACACCCACCTTCACCTGTCCTTCTCTCTCTCAATCTATTCACGTTTACTTTTCTCTTTAATTTTGCTTTTGTTGATTCATGAATTTTATACATTGGTTTTCAATTATTAGTATGGTGATGGTATGCCACGAGAATGCAGCCACGCACACGAGGACACCACCATACCCTCTCATCAAACTTTTCCCCAATTATCTTCTTTCAATTCTTCATTTACCTTATCCTCGCAAAAACCCTTGTCTAACTGATGATATTTAGTCATAGAATCCATGTGTGAAATTTTAGTATCATAATGAAATATTCTTGTAAGTAACCCTAATGTAATTTATCTCTCCACCACTATATATACATCTCATATTCTTATAACAAATATCAGAGAGTATTATCACTCTATGATTACTTTATTGCACATGATAAAAGTGGATTTTGACCATTTTGGACGATTTTTTTTTTCTTTTTCATTTGACTGTTACCATACATATCATTTTTTGTAACATGTTATTTTTTTACGTAGATATCATTTATACGGTTTTATCTGTATCATCTCAGTGTTGTAAGACACCTTTTTTATTTCCCTATCATTCTATTTTTTATGTAAAATATATATTTTATCAAATTGATTTATAGACATGTGGTCAACTATCTTAGAATTCTATGTCATTGTTTAACATATTAAATAGTAATATATTTATTTGCAGGAATATCAAATGAATATATTTAAAATGTACATTTAATAAAATAATGTGTTAAATTTTCACCGAATCTATACGGGTAATCTTTTGCTATTTTTAGAATTTGTTATTGACCTATTTAAATCTTCATTTTTTTCATTTACATAGTGCTAAATAAGATGCACATTTTTGTAACAAGAAAAAAATGACATTTATGGTAAGGAGGTTGGGATGATTACTTGATTAGTTTCAAAAGTGTAGGGACAAAGAGACTATTTGGATCTACGTTCGCAAAATGTGATCCACATATATTTTCGTTCTTTTTCTTCGACAGGTATAATGTGACTAGCGATCCATTGCCTTCAACATATATGGGACAACTAAGTCACAGTTATTTTTTTCCTTCTTCGATAGGGTCCATTCTTTTGTTACTTCAATTCAATGTCTTTGCATTCAATTGGATAATACATATATAGCTCTTATCTATTCCACGTCCATTTTTTCATTCTAGTTTCATTAATCATTCTCAAAGGTTTGTTTGTTCAATGAACGGATTGTGCATCCGTGTTTACGACGTCCCTACCCTACGCGTTGCCCATCGTGTTGTAAGGTGGACGTTCTTGTTTATGCCAAAGCCGTTTACATGCATGGCCCAATTTGATCAAATCAAGGAAAGCAATGTTATAACGGGAAAAATCCAATGGAGATAAACGTAACATAAGGTGCCAATGAAGAGAATTTGTGAGCACATGAGAAGAGTGGGCAGTGGAGTAATAATATAGACACACCCTGCGCAAGTAGAAGAGAAGCAAACAAACAAGAAACATTCATATTTTGAAGATTATTCACTTTTTGCTAAAATGTACACTAGCTAGTATTACTTACGGTATGCACATGTGGGATAGTAGCACCGGCTCAATAATAATAAAAATCGTATGTTAAGCGCACTATCCAGCTCATGCGGGAGAAAATGTTGGTTTTAAAACTTGTATAAGAATAAAAGATTTATTAAAGTTATAGTATTTATAAAAGATTGATTCTGTCAATTAAAAATTGATTAAACTAAACAAATTCAATTTTTTAAAATTATTTATTACATGTAATCAAAAAATATTTAAAACATTTATTGACATCTTCAATTTCACACGTGTAGTCACGGGTGAGATTACTGGAGGGTGTTCGAAGGTAGATTTGAACATATTTGTTTACTATTGTTATTAGGATTTAACATTTGTCCATGACCTTTTTTATACATAAGAATGTAAATATAAAACCTGACCTTACTAGTCCATGACCTTTTTTATACATAAGAATGTAAATATATGAAAGTTTAATTAGGTATTACATCAAGTAACTCCTAAAACCTGAAATAAGGTAAATAATTTTTTATTTATTAGCCAATAAGTTTATGTTTGGGTTCTTTTGCTGCTTTGGTTCACTTCCTCCTTCGCCATTTGCTCTCTTTCAGCAGCTAAGTAAATGATTTTTGTGGCATTTGAAGATTCAGTTTGGTCGAGGTAATCTGTGATTGATCCTTGTGCTTTGGAGGTGATTGACTTTGTTTACATAAACTTATTGGCTAATCAATAAAAAGTTAGGAAGCTGTTTGATACTTCTGGGGTTTTTCGAACATTAAACTAGTTTTCTTACACGTTCAAGTTATATTGTTTTATAGTGAACATTAAAGGAAATTACACAACAAATATTCGAAAACCATTAGCGCGTTTAGTGTACATATGCTATTTCGGAACTTGCTCCTCAAACACACATCTCAGTATCTCACACGTACTATAAACCGATCTTGGTCCATGTATGTTTAATTTCTTGCTCGAATATGACAACCTTTCCTTTCCACATCAAAAGTTTATATGTATTTCTTCAACATCATGTGCTGTTTTTTTTTCTTTTGTCTTCATATATGTCATAATACCATATTTTGATTGTGATACGTGGAAACTGATAGTGGTTCTGTTTGCATTATACATATTTCTAAAAATTAGATTCAAGTTTTTTTTTTAGCAGTTAGCACATTACCAAAGTATATTAGTTTCATCTGAAAAAATGATACTATATATTATTACAACCGTTCTCATTTGAAACAAAAAAAAAGTTAAATTTTCTTTACTTTACGTATACTAAAGTTTGTAGTCATTTCCCTATATAGTCTATGAACTACACACAAGAATATCCATATTTACATCATACATGTACGGATGTACCTCGCTCTCCCTTAAAAAAATAGTTTTTCACAATTTTATAGGAGGTTCATTTAACCATGCATGCATCGATTTTTGTCAAGCATATATTTTCACCGAGAAAATCCTTTTCTATCGAGAGTCCAAAATACGATGTTACCGATAAATGTTTCTGATTCCGTGACGAATTTTCGATAATAACAAAATACCATTGGCTAAAAACAAAGAGATTATTATTATACTATAAGTCTAACTGATTTAAATGGAGGTGCACGGAGCCCATTACAGTTTTTGTGCGACGCATGTTGGTCTAATGAGACCTCTTAAATAGAGACACTTGCTAATCTTACTAATCAATTTAATTATATAGATTAGCCGACCAGTTTTTTAGTCGTGACGGTGGATTAACTGCTTTTAGACTTCTTTCGATTTGCGTCCCATTATGTTCCCATCCAATGCGACAACACATTCAATTGGTACTCGGAGCCCAATCAACGTTTTATCCACTAATTACTTACTTAATCACATATTAATCCCTGATTAATGAATACTGATATCGTTTTACGTCTGGATTAGGTGATCGAGTGTATAAACCACAGATTTCCAAAACACTATATTACTCCCTCCGTTTATGATTCTTGATTTTTCTTTTTTAGTTTTAGTTTTCTTTGGTGAAGATTGATTTAAACGTTTTTTGTGTACTCTTAATTTTAGTTCCTCCGTTATTCATAGATCGATATTTTAAATTATTTTCTTGTTTTTAATAAATTGATTTTGTATTTAATTAAAATGGTAGTTAATAGGAATAATTAATGGTCAACAATAAAAAAAGTTTAGTAGATATGTGCGGAATTAATATTTCTGTCAAAAGTTATTAAATTATTTTTATTTCACAAAATGATTAAAAAGGTAAGTATTAAATGTGTTTCTTAATATGTGTGAAATGGCTAAAAAATTAATTTATGAAAAACAGAGGGAGTATTAACTAAGGTCAATATCAAGTATGAACTTTAAAAGTATGAATGGAAGGTAATGAATAAATTGAATTACTAGTGGTTCAAAACTATGGGTGAATGTTTTGACATAAGAAAATGTCTAATTATAAAGAAAATAAATATATTTAGAAAATAATGTTAAAAATTATATGAGTGATTTAAAAAATCTTTGAAAAACACCAAATAAAGATATAGATATGGAAGTTGGAAATTACAAAATTTTCTAATAATTACATACAAAAAGTTTTCGGTGGGGAATTTAGGTTTATAAACAACTTATTTTAAGATAACCAAAAATATTTGAAAATTTGTCAACATAACCGTTTTGACAATTAAAATTGTAAGAAAATGATGTATGTTTAAATGGGTGGTTTAATCAAATAGCATAGAAAAATTTATTTTATTTTAAAAAAGTACATGTGATAAATAAACAAACTTATCAACAATTTTTTACATCCGTCATTTTTGCAGATAGAAAGTAGAATTTGGTTATTTAGTGCCTGGAATTTTTAATATTAATTAGTCTGTAGTAAGTTTTTATACCATGTAAAAATATTAGAAGTTGGAAATTTGTTAAATAATCAGAGATGGGGTTATTTAGATGGTATATTAATAAATTTATAAAACGAATGTGCAAAACGTCAATATAGTCTTTAATTTGAATTTTATTACTGTTTAATACTAATATGATAAAATTTAGATCCATGATCAATCTACTGAAATACAAAAACAATTAATTGTTATACATTACTTTATATCCAACAAACGCATGTCTAACTATATTATAACTTAAATACTAGGAAGGAAAAATCGGCCCGCAAAACGAGAAAAAATGGCCGAACTCTCTAATAATAAAAACTAAAACGAGTCATTTTCAGTCAATTTATGTTTATATCCATTTTTTACTTTGTTGAAAAGAAAAAAACATACTCTACTTTGTTAAAATAAAATTCGAAAAGAAATGAGAGAAAACAAATAAATAAATGAAAAGGCAGCTTTTTATTAAACTTTAAACAAACCTTTTGACTTTTAGTTACCTTTCTGCCTTTTCTTTATCTTTTCTTAAATAATTGTTCATCATCCCTACACACACATTACATGGTCTATTAATTACATCACTACCAACTTAAACTAATGATAACACAAAATGCTTTCAGTGCCAAAGCGCCTAACCCATTTCCTCCACTACAACTCTCATCATTTACCACTGCAGAAAAGAATCACTAAATCCACCAAATTTGATCAGAAAGTTTACTAAATCTCAGCAATTAAGAAAAATAATAGAAACTGTTTATTTCTAAAGCGTTATTTGCTCATGTGAAACTGGAAGGAGGGAAGATTCAAAATCAAAACCACACTTTTCTTCGCTAGAAAAAATCTACACAGTAATCAACTAAGAGTTACCTGAACCTAATCAAAGAACACAAGTAAAAAAAGACTCTGTAAAAAATAAAAGTTACAAAAATAATAAATTGTCTTCATCTTCCAATCTTTTATTTATCTTTTCTTTGTCTCGTTGCCCCATGTTTTGCTCCTCCTTATCTGCGTCCCATTGTCTCACTCAAATTATCTCCCAATATTCTATATGGGAGAAGAAAGGGTTTCTTGGCTTGTAATGTAGGCATCATCATTCCTTAAATCATGCTACTCCCTAGTTTTACTTATATACTCTAAGCTTTTAGTTTGTTCCATGAGCCACTCTTGTGTCTCTCTTTCTTCCTTCTTCCTCTACATTTGATCCCTTTTCGGAAATTTCATAATCGAAAGCTTATAACCCGAGTAGAATGTAGTAAACCAGCGTGATCGGAAGCGCTATAAGCATTCCGAATATTACCCTGACAAGTCATCAAGTTATGACAATGTTAAATGTTATACAAGGATATATAAAATTAGTAATCATATATTCTAATGGAATAATTATCATAAAACCCATGACTTACCCTGTACTTAAAATAGCAGGATGAACATTGTACTCCTTTGCAAACACAAAGGGCACAATTCCTTGAGGTAATGCAGCCTAAAAAAACATATCACATTTTTCATCGTGTTATTAAAGCTAAAATGGTTATAACCAAAAAAAAAGATAATATTTTTACCTGAACTATAGCGACACGCAGTAAATCACCACGTAATCCGATGGCTATAGCAGCAACCGCCATCACGGCAGGACCCGTAAGGAACCTAACCGCCATCGCAAACGTTGCCACTGAGTTCCCACAAGCGATTAATTTGGGTTGCAACGCCATGAACAACCCTACACGATTTTTCACACAAAGTTTAATTTCAAAATCAGGCAATCAATATAATTTTATAAATCTAGAAAAAATCCAATCAAGTCCCATAAAAATGGGGACCATGACGACTATCAACAACACGAGACCATGTCGTCCACCATTACCATTTATCTAATAAGACACTCACAACACTGCCCCACCTGTCGGATGGTCCATCCCCAATTTTTGTTTTTCTTAATATAAATCACAATGACAAAAACAGCATATAAATTTATGAACTACCTAATTTAATTCCATTATAATGTAATTGGGTTAATATGTCAACGAAATACATGCAAAATTTAGAAATTTTCAGTGACAAATAAATAACACGTTTGGTATGAATCAGATTTATTCATTTAAATGGATTAAAAACTAAAATTTCCAAAGGAATAAAAACAGAGTACGAAGAATGACTTACCCAAACTAAACATTGCCATTCCAAGACCAGCATCAGATAGAATGGAGATAGATTGTTGAATGATTTTGGGCATTGCTACGTGCCACCTTCATATTCAATACCGGGATAAATTTCCTGATAACCGGTTGGTTCGAGTTAAAAATAGTAATTAATTTTGATTTTTACTAACCGGAAAGCGACGAGAGCCCAAATAAGTCCAATGAGACTAGAGTAAGTGTTTGGGTTTCTGATGAGTTTCCTCCACACCATTATCAGTATCAGCCTTGTCATCACGCTAGCCGGCGGCATATTTTTTCGTTGACTTGCTTCGCCTCCGGCGGCTCCTCCAAGACCTGTCTTTGATTGTAATGCCGTGGAATTCGGAGCGAGTTTGTTGAGTCCATTCTCGGCGTCTTTTGGTCTCTCTCCTTCTTCTTCTTTTCCGGCGAAACTAAATTGTTGTTCACCTCCAAAATCTCCACTCGCTGGATGAGCTAGAGCTATAGTCAACACACAAAACAGAATTGAGAAATTTTGTAATTTCTTATCATGAAAGTTATTAAAAGACTACTAACCTTTGCTCTCGCCGTTGTGAGATTGATCAGGGACTAACATACGGATCTCTTTGGCACCTTGATCGGATCTTCCGCCTTGTTCGTTGTCGGGTGCTCCGCCGAAAACGTTAAGACCCGCCCGGTCTGAAACAGGTGACCCGTTGGAGCTCCAGACAAACATGTGAAGCTCCTTGGCGTCATGGCTGTTTGACTTGCCGCCCGTTGGAAGAGTCGTTTGCTGATTCGTAGTGACGTCTTTCAGGTTTTTATTGACGCCTTTATTGGCGGTGGATGTGGTGGTTGAGGAGAACTCTGGATTGGGAGCCGGATAAGACCCGGCTCCTCCTCCAGGGTAATATCCAAATCTCGGGGAGGAAGCCATGGCGCAATTCTCCTCGAAGTTTGAAGGTCGAGGAGTGGGGCCCCTTGAAGATTGGACGGAGTACATATCGGCCGGACCGAAATTGGAGAGACGGCCGCCGGGGAAACCCATCATCGAGTAAAAATCAGAGTGGTTGAAATTAGAGCCTCTTGGAGTGGTACTGAGACTATAAATCTCAGCTCCGGTGAGATTTGACGGTCGTGGTGTCATGTTAGGGCCGCAGAACGAACGACGTGAAGCGTTGGACTTTCTCACGGTGACGTGAAGCTTCCCGTCGTCACCAATCTCTGCATCGGTCTCAAGAAAATCGTGGCCGTCAAGCGAAACGACGTCGGATTCAACTTTGAAAGAAACGATGGAGGCAGCTGTTTCAGGGAACTGCTCCATGATAAGCATCTTGGCGCCTCGAAACTCGAAGAGAAAAAGGAGAAGCGTATACCAGATGATACACTGGAGGACAACGATTTGAACCATGAGGGAACCAGAGTATTCGCCGTACATGGCGATCAAGAGAGGAATCCCCATAACAAGAGTGTTGGGAAGTGTGGAGAGGGAAAAGATTGTGATGCTCCACTCAAGGCTACCGGAACGGGTGAGATTAGCCCAGAGGACTAAAAGGGACAACATGATGATTTTTTGGAGAGTGTCGGCGGCGATGAACCGGAGATTCATGGCGTAAGGATTGTTTGTGGAGATGAAGTGAAAAGAAAGGAGAGGGACGGCGAAGATGGCGACGAAGCGGTTGATTCCGGAGCATTGGTCGGGTGAGAAGATCTTCCACCACCGGACAGAGCCGTAGGCGAGGATCATCGCGACGTAGAGAGGAATCACGGCGGTGAGGACCGTATAGAGGTCGTGCCATGAGATCATCTTGATGGGACAAAAATAGAAACAAGAAAGAAAAAATGGAAAACCGTTAAGCAACGGTGTCCGATGGAAGAAGAAGAAGTGAGAGGACTTGGGAGCAGTGTGTGTGTGTGAAGGAGTGAGCAAGTTTGGGTTTTGAGGATATAATTTAAGGAGGGATGCTACTTTACACCTCTTTATACAGCAAATACGTGACCACCCAAGTTCCTTTTTACTATTTTATTTTATTTTATTCTATTCGTTCGTATTTTTATTATCAATCTTATCAAAACATAACAATATAGTTTTTTTCCTTCTTTCAAATATTGTTTATAAGATTTAATATGTTTTGTTTAATTTGTAAATACTATATATATATATATATATTTTTCATATATTAGATAATACATCTCATCATATGGAAAGTTTAAAATAATATAGATTTCATGAGAACGTTTTTCAACATTTTATATTTTATACTACATAACAAAATTCTAGTAATTTTGGTTCAACCGATAGAAACGGACATTATAGATAACAACGTACCCATAATTAAAATAACGGGTAAATAAGAATATTGATGAATAATGATTTCAGTGACATACATGTGAATGATTTTTCATTTTTATGCAAATTAAATTAAAGAAGATTAGAGTAAAATGGGAAAAATAGAAACTGAGTCTGCAACATTTTTTACTTGTACAAATAGCATCTGAGTTAGATCTTAAGAAGAAGGTCTACATGTGGCAACTCTACTTTTGGGGATGAGCATCGCAGAGACATACCTTTTCTCTTCTGTCCCCTCTTCTTTGCTTTTCGTATTTTACTTTACCTTTCTTTCACATTCTCTAACTAATCCATTTTCGTAATAAGAATAAATCAATATCGATATCAATATTAAACATATGGGTATATTACTAAATTAAAAACTAATATCTTGTTACCCCGGCTAATAATAAAAAAGCAATAGTTCAATATCAAAAATAAAACACTTTATATAAGTAATCATTAGAAAAATATGGAGACAGGATGGGCTGGAGACAAAGAAGATCCACTAAGGAATTGGATGGCTCTAATGGAATTTGGCTAATGGCGTCGAGTGTGTCTATATGTTATTGTTAGGTTTACTTATTTGTCCCGTGAAGTAGGCAACACTCAATTACTCCTTAGACGACATAAATTTTAGCCTATATTCTCATCATTAAGCTTCTGTCTAATACCCCTTCATGAATCATGATATTAGTTAACATGTCGCTTCTGAATTATTTGTTCAGATAAACTCAAATCTGAATTTAGTATAGAAATGATCGGTAAAAAAAATTAACAAAAAAAAGAGATGAACGGAAATTATAACTACACTAGTTATGTAAAAGAAGAACAATCAGTTAAATCACTTAACGTAGAAGAAGAAAAATAAAGTTTTTTCTATATTTTATTCATATAAAGTTTTTTCCCCGATATGGGCAATACTACCTTTTTAGTACACAGCCAAAGATTCACATGAGTAAATAGCTGAGACAGAGAATGTCGTGACCTTCTTGTGCCTTAGTGTTGCTGTATCTTTCTGATTGCATAAAATATTACTAGACACAACTTCCTCGAATAGGTCCAAACATGAATGATTAATTGCGATTTAAGCTAGATAAAATCTGCCGTCCTTACAAAACCATATTATAAACTTTATTCAACTATTTATCATATTCGAATCAACCTATTATATCTTATTATTTTCATTCAATTGACATTCAATTAACCAAATATATAATCCTAAATACCGGCAAAAGATTTAGGGAACTTTTGGAAGCACATCATAAGTCAGCTTAACCATTTCCATTAACTACCAAAATATTACATCTATTTAAGTGTAATTAGGGTATCCCGTAATTGATAATTCTAGCTAATAGTACACAATAATCTACAGAAAAAGTAGTACCCAAATATACATATTCCAAAATAAAGCCAGTACACACAGTGTCGTGCAGCCATGAGGCTATGACTCAAAATGTTTATGGCTAAGTTTTAAAATGTGCCCTCTTTTAATTGTTACAAAAATATCATCGAAAATTTAGGTTAAACTTGAATTCAATAGAGTACTAAAAGAAAGAAAAAGAAGTATTATACAAAAAAGGAAACTAAAGTACGGTATCATTTAATAAACACACTATATGCCATAAAATTATGTTTGTCATTAAATAATCAAAGTCCAAGTCAATTCTTTAACATAGTTATCGCCTTTGATATACGGAATTATAGGAACGATAACGAAATTTAGACTAATATACGACTGATGCTTTATCTCTGAGATATATATACTTATCAACCGCTACCGAATGGAAAGAAGGACGACATTCTCACAAACAACCACACACACTAGAAAGAAAACTAGAAAAGAAAGAAGAACGGTGTTGGTGTAACATAGCGATCATAAATCTCTTATAACTCTGTGAAATTTTTCAAAACGATATTTACTTTGAGAACCGAGAGAATTATACATAAGTATGCGGTTTAGTCAGCTTCGCAGTTATTGATACAAATCAAACGTGTGGTTAAAACTTCTGAGCGATCAATATATTGATTCCTGTTATCCAAAAGAAATGGTACGTCGAAGCGATTTAGACAATCTCGAAAGTGAACAATGATGGCTACTGCCTACTGGTGATTTTAACACGTGATTAAATTAAAAAGGTGAAATTTTCATACACTTTTCAATTACTCACTCCTAAAGAATGAAAAGTTAAAAGAATCGATCGTATTCAATAATCTGGGGCAAAGACTAGGAAAAAGTTCACTAGCAAGTCCAAGAAAGAGAATGACAGATGGGTGAGAGTTGTGAACGTGAATTCTACATGTTATAACGTACACGACTGAATCATCTTTATAATCATCTTGATGATGTGATAAAAGTTCTTCCGTATATTGCAAAGTATGAATTTTAAAGTGACGGTATCACAATACATTTTTGTACAAACCAATAGATTATGTATGATATATGGTCCATCAGTTTTCATACAAAAATCAATTTAAAGTTTAATTCATTTTTCAAAATATTTCTGAATTCTTATATATATAGTTTTCTTGATTTCTACAAAATTCAGAATAAAAAAAGAGTAATTTCTGTTTGTTTGGTTTTCCTTTAAAGTTTAAACACACCATTTTTATAAAACTTCTCAATAACATTTAACATGTTTCTCTCTTTATGTAATGCAATTGTATGTTTAAAATAATGACTAATGAGTAATGAGGTCTCTTATTTTTCACTTACCACACAACAGCTAGTTTGGTTCACCACAATAATGAATAACTGACCAATGAGACGAGTCCACATGGACATTGTCAGAAAAGTGAAAAAGCGCAGGACATGTTGACATGCACGCGTCATGTCCATAATGAAAGCACGTGAGAAGCACATGGGCATGCCAGAGTCGCATAATCCCATTCATGAATCAGTAATTCGAACACACATTCCTCTGTTACTCCGATCTTCGAACTAAACTTTTTTTGTTTCTTTCTAAAATTTGCTCTATGTTTAAGGTACGAATCACTTCTTGACAAATCCAAGAGTAATATTGAAATTTTGAATAAACATAACTCATATAATATATATTCTAAAACGAATGAAAGAGCGACCCGTTATATTATCATATTTGCATATCTAATATTTCTGTTAATAAGGATTCGATTGTGAAGATTTCATTTCAAGTTTGTTAGAAATGACTAATTTTTCAAGTCTTCTCTCCTCCCATTGCTTCAATTCAAGACACGATTACAGAGCTATTAGCCCATTGGGCTTGCTTATCAAATTAACTATTGGGCTTAGAAAACCCAAATCCGAATTAAATCGAGTTATTAAAGAGGGATAAAAGCTAAAAGCTGTAGAAAATACATGAATAAAATGTCGAAAGAAAAAGCTGTAAAAAAAAAAAAAAAAGTCGAAAATAAATATGAATTCCTTTCTAACATAGTGATTACTGTGGACCGATAACTAATACCACAATAAAAAGAAACAAACATAACAACAGTTATTTAGAATCATTATTAAAAAAACATTTATTTTGAATGAGACATCAGGTGAATTGTAGGTGAAAATCTCCATCCGAATTCAACTTTATAAGCTTTTTACGTCTAGGAATAATTAGCAGCCTTTTTTGAGACTCGTGGAAGTCAAATAGCAATGACGTTAATTGATGTTTTAATAATCTCTCCTTGCGGATCACATAAAATCTAATTGCTAAAAAAAAACTTTAGTTCTATTTTTATAAAATTTCTCCTCCCTATTTTCTGTTTTTACAAATATAAATATACCTAAATTTCTTCATTCAATATTCTAATTTCGTAATTTTCTTTTATAACGAAATAGTGATCCGTACTTTACCACCTAACTAATTTTTTAATAAATATACTTGTCAAATAGTGCATTCACTAAATTTTCTAATGAACTTAAAGCATGACATAATTTCGATTGATCAAATGGAAATGATTATTCAAAATTCATCTTTCTAAACAAGTAAAACATATCTATATTCAAGTCAATAGAATTACTTACTTAGAAGGGACATGGAAAACAGAATTTTGAATAAATAACAAGAAAAAGCTATTAAACGAGTATTACACTATTTTTCTTCCATTGGTGGAATAAGTAATTAGCGAACTATGCACAAAATCTTCCTAATCATCATCAAATCTTTGCTTTGTACCCCGAAACAGGCGTTTCTATCTTTTGACTTTTGACTTCGACCAAACCAGTCAACAGAGAGAAGAGGAAGAGGAAATTGTCATCCGTGACCGGCTGCTTAGAACTGCACCCTCTTGAACGGCATTAGAGTCATTATCTGCTGCATCAGTCACACGTTCACACCGAGGACACATGGTTAAAGCCGAGGTCGATGATGGCTTTAGAGCTCTTAGTTCTTCAACTTCTATTTGTAGCCGTCGATTTTGCTCCTTCAACGATCCGAACCATCTTTTTAGATACTCACATTCCATCTCCGTGTGCTTTAGCTTACTCCTATACATCAAAATTTTTTGTGTAACTATGATTGGTGGTTAATATGGCCATGCGTACTATTAAATATGCTTACATCATACGTAATTTCTAGGTTTTATCCATATACCAACCTTATTATTCGTAGGCTGAATTTTATTAATATATTTAACGAGGTTGGTGTCTGAGAAATTTCTACTTTTAGGAGACTATTCTACCGACCTTTGCATATAACTTTTACAAGTTTATAAACGTGTTTGTACTATGTGTTCACATGTGATACACTATATAAGTGATTGCTTAATTGACCCGGAATGCCCATACGGAAATACGTAAGAGAAGAAGATCATCTTGACATATATCATAAAGTTCTAGACTTCTACTTCTTGTACACATCTTATACAGTGACTTTTGTTTCAAAAGTAACATCATGTTAATAAAATTTTAATTATACTAAAATGGCCCCATTAATATACAAAACTGAAAAATTACAGTAGAACGATACTTTTGTGAAACTGAAAAATAGATATTGAAGATTAACTAACTCTTTCTACCATGCATAACATGTATCTTAGTATCTATACATGAACAAATGTACGTATATACACACGCACTCGTGTTGATGTATATGTCCCTTAACAAAGAATAGGAAAAAGTATATGTGAATATGTAGAAAACTTTCACAAAAAGTGTATGAGTGTGTTTAAAGTTCATTAAAGTTATATGTATATATACTATATGGGACAAACATCATAATTATGGACTGGCCAAAGATGAGCTGAAAAATATAAACAGATCATATATTGTCTCTAACTTTGTCCCTCATGTCCCCTATCGCTTTTTTCTTGTTGATGCATTTATTACATTCTATATTTTGATTTTGAATCATGGACATTATTTATATATAGACACGTAGACACACAAAATAAGAGTACGGGCTTTTATGTGTCGCATAAAATGGGTGATAACTGATAAATATATATGTGGGAATCAACGTGAAACACTTGGATAAAAAAGGATCACTTCCACTTTACTACATTTTCCTAAACTATTATTGTATATATGGTGAATTATGTTGAGAATCTAAGTTACGACACACTATCTCTTTATATATAATATTCTGTCAACGCACTCTCATGTAGTATTATAATATTCTCAACCACTAAAAAGTAAAAATATATTTCCAAAACCCCTTATACATAACATGCCGTATATATATATTAAACATACGATTTATAATTCTTATCTTTTTACAACAATAAAATATATAATTCTTATCTTCCTCGATTTGTATGAATGATGTAATATATGAAGAGGTTGATAGATATACGTACCGAGCTCTTCGATTTTGAAACCACACCTCAACTTGCCTTTGACTAAGCTTCAAAAAGGTGGCTAAATCTTTTTTTTGCTTCTGTGGTTTCATAATCAGCCACCCAAAACATAATCAGCCGACATGATCATCAGAAAAAAAATTAACTCTTTTCTCTTTCTTCTTTCTCTATTCAACGTAAGCAAAACATAAACGGAACCATTAATCTATACTTACAGGGGTTAAGGTATGGTTTTGTATGAAACTCTCTTCAAGAAGATGTGATTGCTCTTTGGTTAGACGGAGCTTTTTGCGCCGCCGGCCACCGGGGTTGCTATCATCTTCGTTGACATGTGGTGTTGCACCGATCATGATCCACTCACGATCTTCTTCCGTCTTTGGAGTTTGGTTTATGTCCAAATCTCTCACCCCGTGATCATGATCACCTACCAAAATATTTTAATTGGAAGACATATTTATACTATTAAAACTATATAATATATGGTTTAATTAATCTTTGGATATGATCTTACCAAGTGAAGGAGATGGAGAAAAACTCGGAATTGATATTGTTAAATCTAAAGAGCTTGAATTAGGTGAGAGGGCCATAGAGGAGGATGAGGAAAAACAGAATCAATAGAATTTGATGAAGAAGATAGTGTTTTTTGTAAGAGAAAAGGTAAAGTTGAAGTTTTATATGACAATAGAAATTTAAGTGTGTGTTCTGTGTGTATATACACATGTGAAAGAACAAAGGAAAAAAGCGAGACAAAGGAGAAAGATTTTGTGATAAGCGTGGAATGTGGAATGTGGAATGTGGAATAAGGAATTAAGCCAAGAGAAATATCCAAATATGTAAAATATTTAAAAGTATGAAACACGACAAAAGATCTAACAAAAAAAAAGTTTCAAGCAGGTCAAATGAAGGAACAAAAATTAAGGGAGAAATATAATGGCCAGTGGTAAGTTGATGGAATAATACAAAAAAAGAATAGAATTATTTAAAGAGGTGTGTGTAAGTGTGTGATTGGTGGGTTTGGAGAGAAAATAAGGGGTTTGACTAGTGTCGTTAAGTCAAATCAGATTCGTATAATCAAATATTACTGTTTTACCAAATTGTATTTTTGGGGTTTAGTAAATTTATTATGGCCGTGTGTGGGACCAATAACGGGTAGTCAAAGTATTGTTATGCGTTAAGCGTTACAAATGGAATAAATAATCTTAGAAAAATGACAATGGTCTAAACTTTAATGGATCTATTAAAACCGTGTAGATTTTAAAATAAAGCAATAGATCTTGAAACTTAAATCATGTACCATCTAAAACTATAAATAATAAAGATATAAATCAAATAATTTTGGAATCTATAGGTTACATAAATTAAATAATTAGCAAAACTCCTTAATAGATATCTATCAATATTAGTAAATTTATACACGTATTTCTATTACTGTATATAGATTAAGCTTGATGTTTATTTAATTTTGAATATAGTTTTGAATGACATACACATATTCTCCACGGATTGTATGATAATGAACTCGTTATCATTGGTTAGGGTTGGCATGCATGACCCAAATTACCCAAATGTCTTATATTTACTGGTCATTTCCTCCAATATTTCCATGCCTTTCGGCTTTTGTATCCTAAGTGGAGTGGTTCTGGGCCCTCACTACCTGCTTTTGTTTTATCTAGCCGACCTTGATCCGGTTTACTTATATGTTGTCTTTTCTCCGGTTCTGATGTATAACTTTGTTCTTGCGAGTTGAACGAGGTTCCTCACACGTTTGTATACACACAACTTTGTTGATTCTGATAACAGAATTTCGGATTTGAACACATGATGTGAAGGTTATTATCCGATTATGCTTAGATATTTAGTTTAGTATGTAAATCAACACAAACAATTTCATGAACATTCGCTTCCAAACCGGAGAGTACATCTTGTGTAGGAACATTCTCCCACAACCGTCCATTAAAACTCAAGTAATAGATAGGTTTTCAATACAAACTATCATAATGTCTCTTTATCTCACACTAACTTTGTATTTATACCCTTTTAAGTACCAAATAATATGGTTTTGGAACATTGATGAAGAGAGACAAGCCAAAGCTTCTGAAAAAGATCTAATGAGAAACAATATCTCAAACAACTCCATGTTCAGAAGTGGAAACATAGCCAATAGGGGTTTCGAGCTTTGAATGTGAAATCCTCCTCCAGGAGCATGTGCGAGTAATATAATCCTTCTGCTCTCTATGTCTCTGCCATAGAACGAGGCTTCTTAGGAAATTTTCCATAGCGTTGGCGAATTATTCAACATCCAAGTAACAATCTTCAATGGTATATCCTCCTCTTCTCCTATGAGACACATTGCAAACATTGCACATTGCGACTTGATTTACGAACGGAGTATACCTCGGTTTGAAAAACTGTGAGTTATTGTGTATTCCTTGCAGAGAGATCTATCCCTTCGCCAAAACCTCGATAAAACTCCTTAAGCTATGATGGAAAACTGTTTGCCAAAACCCCTACTTGCAACAGTTTCCTTCCATCACTTCTTCACAAAGAAAATCAGATCACTTGGAACATAGGCCACATATTTTAATGTCCAAGTCAGAGACTTACAGAAAAATAAAACGTAATACGTTAGGTTTTCTTCACCCAACGTACTGGTGGTGACGGATCTCAGTTCTTTAATTCACGTGAACTTGGGCATGTACAATTCAAGAATTTGCTGTCTTGGATGCTACATGCCTACATCAAATACAATGCATATAAAAGTTACCAAGTTAGAAATTCTACTTGTAAAACAAAATTTTCAAAAATAGTTATGAAGAACTTGGATGTTGCCCCAAAACAAAACAAAAAAAAAAACTTGGATGTTCAAATTTTTTTTTTAACGAAAATGTTGGATGATGTTTCTACTCGTTATGATGGATTTTGTTTTTCTTCTACTTGTCTTCATTTTGAAATGATCAAAATTTCAAATAGATAAATCGTTCAAAAGTGCTAGCGTTGCTAAAAGATAATTGCAACAATTATCTACAAAATGATCAAGTTAATAATAATTTGTCGAAATAAATGTGAGTTAAGGAGCTAGCAACAGAAAAGAATTAAGGAAAACCATATACAGTGTAAAGTTGAGAAATATGTAAGATTCCTTGACAAGCATTTATATAATATAACGTTAATTAAAAAATTTGTAAGATATAAGATTCATCAATCTTCAGTGACTACTACTTCCAAAAAAATGTCTAGATTGAAAAACCTGGATAATTAGATCATTTGTCGATGGAGACACAATTGGTTTAATTAGTAGGGAACTTAAGAAAAGAATATAACAACGTTAATTTAATAATTCAAATTGATAGAAAGAATTAAGAAGCTTAAACTTGAAGACTTTATGTTCTAGAGGTCATTCCTCATTCCAGAATTCCTGAACCGAATACAATCCTGCATAAACGTATTGCTTCTGGTTCATTCTCTTCCTGCCAATTCTCACATGTTTTTTTGCCCTCATGTTGTTAAGCAAAACGAAACTACCCCTGGTCATATTTTGGTCTTTGCACCATTAACTTGTTTTTTGTCTCTGATGAGTATATCATATGTATCTAGATCTATTTGACTCTTGACACATCCTGCTTTATCTATATCCAGCTTTGCGATTCTAAACTCAAAGGCAACTTAATAACATAGCAATCACTATTTTATATGTTCACGTTTCGCACATATGACAATGCATATGAAAATTGCCAAGTTAGAAATTCTAATTGTAAAACAAAATTTTCATAAATAATTATGAAGATCTTGGATGTTCAAAAAGAAAAAGTAATAAAAATCTTAGATGATGTTTGTACTCATTATGGTGGATTGTTTTTCGTCTACTTGTCTTCATTTTGAGATGATCAAAATCTCAAATAGATAAATCGTTCACAAATGCTAGCATTGACAAATGATATTAGCAATACTTATCTACAAGATGATCAATTTTATAATAATTTTTCAAAATAAAAGAGAGTTCACGAGCTGGCAAAAAATGTTCTTTTGAAGAAAAACCATATATATATATATATATATATATATATATATATATATATATATCATATATGTATTGTAAAGTTGAGAAATATGTAAGATTTTTTTTTTGTCAAAACAAAAATCTTATTTCTCAACTTTACAATACACATATATATAAGATTTCTTGACAAGCTCCAAATAGTGTAACGTTGAGAAATATGTAAGATATCAGATTCATAAATTTTTAGTAACTACTAATTCCATCAAACAGTCTAGATTGAAAAATATGTATAATTATATCCTTTGCAGATGCAAATGCGATTAATTTAGGAGGGAACTTGAGAAAAGATATAACAATGTTTAATAATTCAAATGGATAGAAGTTTGACCAGGAAGTCTAAGAAGTTTAAACTTGAAGACTTCAATTCCTAGGGGTCCTTTCTCGTTCCAGAATTCATGAACCAAATACAATCCTGCATAAACATATTTCTTCACGTTCATCTTCTTCCTGCCAATTATCAGTCTCACTTGATTTTTTGCCCTCATGCTATTAGTTAAAGCGAGATTACCCCTTGTCATTTTTTGGTCTTCTGCTGGCTTCAGATTCTTTCTCTTTAAGTAATGTCCTTCGCCACAGTAAACCACCATATTAGCGTTGCATATATCGTTGTAAGCAGCACCTTGCGATATTACAATGCTTGTAGCTAAGTCCAAGCCTTCTTTGTTCATATAGTCGATACCCCCTAACATGTTGAAGTGGAGACCGATTATGCTGAGTTGTGATTTGTATTTAAAATTATCACCAACTTCAACTCCATGGACTACACCAATCCTCTTTTCACCATTAACTTGTTTACCGTCTCTTATGAGTATATCCCGTGTATCTCGATCTGTTTGACTCTTGACACAACGTGCCGCCTTATTTCTGTCCAACTCTTCAAAGACCATTCTGAAATGGTGCAGCACGTTGAGAACCTTCTTACGAGGGGTACGCACGTCAGGAATCTGGTTATGTCGCATTATTGGGAGGAGGCCAAACTCATTTGTTTTTCTTTCATCTCTTTGTTTCTTCACATGCAAAAACTTCCCTTGGGATGAATTTGAGTACCATCTTTTTTTGCTCTGGGATGCAAACAATTTGATAGATTCCTCTAAACTTAGAGGTTTAACTTTACTTCCAAAAGACGGAGGAACCCTCCTATTGGCTGAAGCAACCAATCCACTAACAATAGTACCATGAATTGCAACATTGGAGCCAAAGCCAGCTTTCTTCATAAGAAACTTAAGTGTTTCATCTTCTTTAGGTCTCTGGTAATTCCGATCACTTCTGTTATCTTTAGAACCCATCAGATTATGTCTTGTATCACTTGTGACGACAACTGTTAGAGCATCACTATCAATCCCACTTCTTTGTCCCATCAGACCCTTTCCTGTCTCATATGTGACTGCAAAAGTTACATCATCACAACCAATCCCACTTCCCTGACCCATCAGATTTTGCCCTGCCACACTTGTACCTGTAACAATTACAGCTTCACTTAAAAAATGTGGAGAATCGCTTATAACAAGGACCTTTTGTCTTTTACTAAAAGGGTTTGTCCTTGGAATTATCATCAACCTGGAAAAAATGTTCACAAAATCGGAGACCCCTTAAAGAAAACGTTGAATCTTCTTTGATTCCAAACTCGTTAAAGCTAAATTATAGAAACCATTATGGGAATCTAAACCCAGAGACACCTTAATGACAAAACTAAACAATCATGAGTCTCCGTCTACATTAGGATTTCAATTCTTAGCCACCTTAGAGACAACACTAAATGAACACCTTAAAGAAAACGTTAAAGCAAAAACATAAAAACCACTGAATATTATGCGATAGATACATTTTCAACTCGGCGTGTCTTTCTTGAGACTCTTCTTAAAGATCTTCATGGAGGATCTATATATATGGACGAGAGATTATGGGCACTAGTTATTATTAAAATTAGAGGTGACCAGAAAAACAAAAGAAATTTGAAACTCATTTCAATTTCTACGCAAATTTTCTTATAACTTAAACGGTGTATAAACTCGTACCTCGAAATCGAACCTGAATTCCGTCCAACTGAACCAGTTTATCTGAATAAACCACAATTCATTAAAATTTGTTATTTTTATAAAATATAAAGAAAATACATTGAAATATACTAAAATATAATTCTAGATAAGCTGGAAAATTGAATGACCATTACCTAATTATTATGGTCAATTTTATTTCCCGCGTAATATAATAATAAATCAAGAATATGAATTTGTTTGACTTTGAAAAAAATTGAATCGGTTTATGGAAATATGATAAATTCTTTAAATGTTGCTTTGAAAATTTTACAATATTCATTGATGGAACCAAATAGTAATATAGTTAGTCGGTATATCCTTTACAAAGTTTGTCCTAAACTTTTACCAATTGTGCATTTTAAATTCTATAATTTTTGTTCACATTCGGACTGAACCCAAATTTGGACTAAATCTAACTGAACCGAAATAAAATTTGCTTATATTTGAAATTTACTTTCAAATCCAAAATATTGGAAATTCTGAAAACCCCTAACAAAACTAAACCAAAAAATTGAATGCTCATGCATAATTATTCTAGTCAATTTTTTTTTTTTTTGTAATATCATAATCATTAGGATATAAGTTTTTTGGCTTTGAATAAAATGAAACGGCTTATGGGAGTATGATAAATTATTTGACTAGTGTTTAGGATTGATATTTTTTGGCATTGAATAAAATTGAATCGGTTTATGAAAATATAATAAATTATTTGATTATTATTTTAAAAGTTTTTAGAGTATTCGTCGATTGAACAATGTCTAAATATAGTTAGGGCGTGTTCTTTTGGACGTCGCTCGACACTTTCTAGCGACACAAAATTACACTAAAGTTGTTGCTTTGTTTCTCTTTCCTAGTCGCTGGTTTCTCTCTCTTTTCATATCACTGCAATTTTTGTTCATGATATTTGCTGTTTTTTCAGCGACTGATCAGTAAACCAACAACGGCGTCACTTTTTCTTGCTTTTCACGAGATGTTCAGTTGCTGAGTGTAGATAAAATTAAAAAAACAAGGCAATTTTTGTTGGTCGCCGAATGAAACGCGCGATCACGAAAAGAACAAGGCCTTAGGGCTTGATTGGATCTCCCGCTAGCACCCTCCTAGCGGTTATTAGCAGTCGGTTGCGGTTGTTAGCGGTTGGTACCAATCATAGAAACCGCTCCGTACCGCTTCGAACCGCTCGAAATCGCTAAATTTCAAAAGCTCCTTCCCGCAAGTGTTTGAGGTTGCGGGCGGTAGCGGTTGGATTTTAAAAAAAAAAAAAAAATCAAACATTTACTTATAATTATTATAATATATATTAATCATATATAAATCTTTCATCTTTGTATCATGTTCTCATCAGAAACCCTAATAATATTCTGAAACCCTATTTCTCTCAATGTCTTCCATCCAAACTGATGAAAATCAATAACCAAACGTAAGTATCATATATCATTTTATTCATTCATCACCTCATGTGTAACTTTTTGAATATTTTTCATAGCATTGTTTTTTTTCTTTTTATTACGTATTGTTTTGCTTTTTGATTGAATATATGTTTTGATTTGTTTTCTCGAATAGAAACTCACTTGCTTTTTGATTGAATTAAACGTTATTTACAATTTGTCCATTACTCGATGTTAAACCAGATGCATAAAGTACTATCTTGTTACAAAATTTATTTATTTTTGAATAATTATTTAGTACTTTATTTATGGTTTTAATTATTAAGCATGTTCAATTTTTCTAATATTATCATAATAATATATTGGTGTTTTTATTTCTTTTTTTTTGTAATATTTTTTATTTATTTTGGTCATTTTTTTATTTAACTGCTACCGCACCCGCTGGTTTACCAGTCATAAAACTCCCGCAAACGCATCCATTTTCAAACGCTAAATCAGTCGTTCAAAACGCTTAATAACGCTTGAAGCCGCAACCGTCCGCTTCCGCAAACTCCCGCAACCGCAACCGCAACCGCTGCGTTTAAACCAGTCAGGCCCTTAGTCGATAATTGAGTAGATAATAAGGCAATTGGTAAGATTATCCTTGCTTTCGAAAACTCAAAAAACTTCTTACCGACGTCTTCATTCTTCTCTAACTCTAAGAGAACGCATACTCTAGCTAACTTTCATTTTTATTAACCAAATCGATTTTGGGATCATTATTTTCATCGTAATTAATAAGCTTATTTGTCTCATAATATCATATCACTAATATTATATGAGCACAAACCGCTTAGCAAAATTTTTTATAAGACAATAATCTTCTTAAATTCAAAACATGCGTTCGAGTATTCTGTCCAAAAGATTTAAGAATGCAGACAACTTCACTCGGAACATTCATAACGAAATCATCAACCAAACTACATTAATAAATTTTGAAATAAATAAACCTCCTTGCAATCATCTAGTACATGTATAAATAAAAGAATCTAAAAGAAAAGGGGTCAAATCTCATCAATTCAGAAATATAAAAACCCTAATTTGTTTCTTCATGAAGATGGTCGTCATCCATAATTTCAGCACGGCAGAGAGGGCAATTATAATTATCACTCCAAGCTAACCACTGATTGATACAATCATCATGAAAGACATGCGAACAATTTCGCATTTCGGATAAGTCTTGATCCTCCTCCAAGCAAATAGCGCACGTTTCCATAGCTGGTTCCTCCAATATATATGGTCTTAATGTGACGTCAAAGGAGATGTACAATGGCCCTTGAACTCGCTTGGCTTTCGAAGCGATGTTGAAGGAGAGAATTCTGCATAAATTGGGAACTTGGAGCTTTGGATAGAGGAGATTATACATGTTGTCTTCATCAAAGCTAGCGATATTGTTCAAAAGGAGGTGAGGGGTTGGGAACGGAGGAGGACCGCTTGATCCTAAAGCGACCACGTTTTCACGCGTTACACTGATCTCCACTGTGTTCGATGTAGATTTGCGGGTAACGCTTGCATCAATACACACGACTTCTTTAATCTCACTCATTCTTTAGAATTGGTGGAGGGTACCAAAAAAAAAAAGTGATAGACAGGAGAACTCTGGATTCAAAGGATTTCATGAGAATTAAGGATGGGAGTGTGTAGATATATATATAAATATATCAAAACCTAAACTTGTTTAGGAAAAAACAAAAAACAAAAAAAAAGAGGAAATCTTCTATTTCCTTTTTCTTTAAGATAATAATAATAAAATTCATGTGCACTATTTTGATTTTTGTTATTTTCCATTTTTAAGTTTAATTTTAAATTTCCTTTATTTGGGAAAAAACAAATTTTCGCCGATACGATATCATCCACAGATATAGAGAAGCCTAATAGAGTAACAATTATTTATTTTGATTTTCTTTTTCTTTTCCTTCTATGTATTTGGTTTTCAATTAAATTTTTGCCATATATTTTCAAAAATTAATTTGTTTTGTCGATTGCAATTGAATCACAATTAGCCTCTCGTAAATCACTCGAAATCTAATTCAAGTTTTGATGAGGTAGTAGACACCAGTGGAAACCACATGGATGAAGGCTCCAACAGATATTGTTGTCAACATTATAAAACTCAGAGCCCAATGAACCTAATTAAAACCCACAAAAACCTAAAAGTTGTATTAGCAATTTAGCATCGAAATCTTCTGCATTTCTCTCGATCCCTTATGTTATTTTTATGTTTAAAATTCGGCAATTTCTTGATGTTTGTTCAAGGTTGAATATAGAGAGACGACAGTGGGAAAAACAATAGTTTTTTGTGCTAATATTACAATGGGTGACTTGTTTCGGTTCCTTACACTGATTAAAGATAGAGATGACTACTATACTAGTTATGTCGGCTGATTTATGAGCTTAGTGAAAAACCACACGTACTAGTGCTCTCACTGAACCAAATGAGTTTTTAGCAAGAGAAAGCAACAAAAATGGCAACTAAATAGCCGTGAGCAAAGCCGGATACACCGGACGGCGAGCTAAATATTACAACCAGTACGTGAATAAATAAAAGAATCGAAACGTTATCTTAAATCACTTGTAAGTTCTAATCCTAATAGGGATATTCTAGACACTGATTGTTACGTGAGTCTCACCTTGCTATCAAACTGAGAATCTATCAGCCGCCTTTAGAGTTGTGTATTGATTCAGAAAAGATACGCACAAGACAAGAATCAAGAAATCTGAAATCTAGTATAATATGAAAATTCCATTTCATTTATTGTACTCAAAGAAAAGAGATATAGGCGATCAAATCTCATGAAAAGACATATAGGGGATCAAAATATCAGTAATATAAAAACCCTATTCACTACTTTCGTCGTCACTCGTAGAGCCGTCGTCACTCGTAGAGTCGTCGTCACTCGTACAGTCGTAGTCATCCAGAATTGGAGCACGGCAGGTAGGGCAACTATTACTCATACATAACCACGCAGTGATACATTCACTATGAAACTCATGCGTACAGTTTGGCATTTCGGTTAAGTATTCATCATCATCATCCTCCAAGCAAATAGCGCATGTTTCTTCCTCGATTATATATTGTTCTATTGTGACGTCAAAGGAGCCTTGAACTCGCTTGGCTTTGGAAGCAATCTCGGAGGAGAGAATACGGCATAAGTTGGGATCTTGGAGCCTTGGATACAGGAGAACATACATGTCGTGTTCATCAAAGCTAACGATGTTGTCCAAAAGGAGGTAAGGGGTTGGGAACGGAGGAGAATCGTTTGTTCCTGAAGTGAGATTGTTTAGACGCGATACTTTGATCTCTACTGTGTTCGATGTAGAGTTGCGTGTAACGATTGCACCAGTACACACCACCTCTCCCATTCTTTGGAGCGTACAAAATAAAAATGGTGAACTCTGGATTCAAAGGACTTAATGAAAAACAAAGTACAAGTGTCTCGATATAAATATATCTAAACCAAAACATGTTTAGGGAAACCAAAACCAAAAAGGGAGGAAATCTTTTTTTTTTGTTGGTCAACAAGGAGGAAATCTTCTATTTCCTTTTTCTTTAACATGATGATAATCATAATTCATGTGCATTATTTTTTTTTTGTTAAATTCCTTTTTTAAGTTTAATTTCAGATTTTCCTTTTTTTTTGGGAAAGATACGAAATCATCCACCGATATAGACCTAATAGAGTAACAATTATATACTTAATTTGATTTTCTTAATTATTCTTAATTCCTTTTATATTTCCCAAAAAGACCTAGAAAAGTTGTTAGCGATTTAGCATCGAGTTCTTCTCCATTTCTCTCGATCCATTATTATGCTTTCTTTTTTCTTTTTTTTTTTAAATTCGGCAATTTCTTGATGTTCTGTTCAATGTTGAATATAGAGAGACGACAGACAGGGAAAACAATAGTTTTTTGTCCTAATATTACAATAGGTGTGACTTGTTTCGGTTCCTTACACTGATTAAAGATAGAGATGACTACTACTAGTTATGTCGGCTGATTTATGAGCTTAGTGAAACCACACATACTAGTGGTCTCACTAAACCAAGAATGTGGCAGTTCCACAATCACTCAATATATTTGGTAATGTGGATTACTGAAGAAGCTTATTGCAAGTTCCAACGCCAATGGCTGCGGCGAGATGCCAACCGGCGTGAATGAATGGTGTTTCAGGGAAAAGATCATCAGCTATGAACAATGCTCCGCCCAATAACGAAGACATCTTGTGTACATCATGAGCCATTTTCAAATCTGGATCCTCTAAGGCTCGTTTCGCAAATGCTACCTGAGTCAAAAAGTTGAGATTTGTGTTAGATTAGCGTCAACTGAGATTAGTTACATGGAGTGGAAAAGTTGAGATTTCTTAGCACCTCCATCATTCCAGTGTGAACAGCTGATACCACGAGAGGCTGGAACGGTAGAGCCAACGCTGATGCAGCCATCAAGAACTTTGGGTTCTCTTCTCTAAGAGCCCTCGTTAGACACTGTCAAATATACAACGGATAGTAAGTAGAAAAGAACATGAAATCCCAGAGACTATTAATAGTTATCTTTGTATCTTCAATGGGGACCAATTCTGGGATGCGCACAAATTAAAGACTTACTACTGTCGCTGTAGCTATCATTGTGTAATCAGCCCATCTAAGATACTTCCTCAATTTCCCTCTTGAAGAATGATACAAACTCGATGCAATTCCAACTCCGATTAAGGAGTTTGCATACACCTTCATGTTCAGGTTTTTCCTATAGTCGAATATATCTTCCATATTCAAAAATCTGTTTCAAAGAACATAAAACTGTATATATATAAAGTCAGACAGACAAGAAAGGATGATTACCTCGGTGCCTGCATACCGAGGAAAATGAAAGGGATCGATGTGATCACATTAGCAGCTGTTTCTAATATACTCTGATCGCCTGTAGACAAAGTCGGACATAGGATCAATACAACACACAGAGATGCAAAGAGATACGTACAAGATGGAAGGAACTGAGTCTTACCGTGGATGCTGCAATGGATGGGTCTTAGGCATGGAGGTCTTTGTTGCCAAACACGTCTACAGAAGATAAACGAAGAGCACTGAATCAAACACCAAACCTATTTGAACTAGACATCACCCTAACCAATATCTCTCAATAGGTCAAATCGATAATCGCATCTTGAGCCTATGAATAAGCTATTAAAAAGGTACCAAATAAAACTTACTCAATGAATAGTCTCTGCTTTGTTCCTGCATCCGCAGACTCATAGCTTGAAACTTGGCCAATACTCTCAAATCCGAAATGAGAATGAGAAACAACATGAACCCCATGGACACCCTCAAGGGATTTGCTCGTCGTCGATACGCTTTGAGGGCTCATAGAGGATCCTATTATCAAAGACCACCCAAGCTAAAAATCTCTGCTAGCCAGCAATTACTTGCTGGTCTAGCTAACCTGGCTTAATACAGTTGATTCAACTACTGCTACAATCACCACAAGAAAACAAAAACATTCAACATTAACAATAATTGCAATTGAACAAACAAAACACTAATCAATTAACTAATAATCTTGAAAATTAAGTTTTGCCAGATTGGGAAATTAGGTTACAAGTCGTTTCAAGATCCTGTCATCTAAAATTAGATTGCTCCTCTAACTGTTTATAACAACAAGAATTTGTCAGTTTTATATCAAATTCATAGGGTTTTGTAAAATAACTGGATTCAATTCATCCAAAATTGATCTGGTAAGCATGCAACAGATTCAAATTCAAACTAATCGTTACGTTTGAAACGAATTAAGTTACCGGAGAAAACAGAGACAAAGCAAATACGTACATGATTGAATCATAACACAGAACAGATTTAGCTCAGTGAGAAGAACTGATGGCACAAAGAATATGCGAGATTAGAGTTTAGGGAACGAACCTTGCGATGGTAAGATACACAGAGAGATGTCGAATTCGAAACTTAAGCGATGAAGATAAGAAAAAGCTCGAGAAAAGAATGGAAGTAACAGAGAGAAAAGTTTGGAAGAAGAAAAGGAAACAGCGACAGAGATGATGAGTCACGAATCTTTTGACTCTTATGGGGATATTCTTTCTACAACAGTCGGCTGTTTCCCGTACCGAATCCCGGTTTAATCCGGTTCTGTTTCTCTAGTCTTAAAGATATGGGCCAAATATGGGTTGAGCCCAATGCTACTGCCCTACGGGCTTAGTCTTTGTTTCTGTCACTAATGTTGATATATATAATATAAACATTATTCTAAATTGAAATAATTGATCATGAAAATAAATGTAGTGGACTAGTGGTACTAATCATTTGATTGGGTCACATACTCACATTGATTAGGTCACATATCTTTCAAATTGAACATACATATATTGATACATATCACATGATTTAAATCTAAATAGTGACACATCAACAACACTAGCATAAATCATTAGGCTATGTCTTGATCTATATTTTTGTTCGTGTGTATGTCTTGGTCATTTCATTTGTACTATTATATAGAAATAAAATATACATTACATACATCATTTTCTCTTCGTACCAAAAAAAAAGAAGTTAAAATAAGTATATATATAAACAAAGAATCTTTTTTGAATTTACCAGGAATGCTAGATAAATTATCAAGTAACTATAAAATTAATTTGTGAAGTGATCTTGGTCTAGTGGCAAATGATAAGTCCACAGAAGACAGACACCATCACACCAGGGATCGAGTCACCGACTCTACAATTTAATTGTAGAAATTAGGCTAATAGGCCGGCCAGTTGTAGCCCAAATGTTGACAAAAAAATAAAAATAAATAACTTTTAAAAAATTCACTTTAAAAAAAGAACGAAAAAAAAACAGCTTAGAAAATCAAATTTGATTACATAGTAATTAAAAAATCCACACAAGAATGTGATAACATTGCTGAAAAAGGGAAAGATAAAACATTACTACAAGTTGTCATATTTTGGTTATAAATATAAGTAATTGCTAAATCATTAATGATCAAACACCAACTCTTAACATTAACTAGTTTCTATATATACAAAAAGGCTAAATGCTATCCCCGAAGAAGAAAATAGCTAGTGGTGAGCGCTAGTGTACCAAAATTAATTAAGAACACACATTCTTATGAAATGAATTCAAACTTAGGTAAAACAAATAGTGCATTAATGAATATTTTCGACCGATACTTATAGCTAGAGAATCTTTGGGAGTGCTAAAAAAGGTGCATCATAATTAAGACCGTTATGTGTCGTGGTTATACATTTATAAGAGTGTTAAATCTAGTTACACTATTCCCAAGGTGTTTCTGACGTGATTGTGTCTTGCTTGGTTGACAAAACAAACCCGGTCATAAAATTCAAGTTTCCGCTATGTTTTCATCTTTTATTTTGTCGGCCGATTTTGTCTTGCCATAATATAGAGACAATCTATTGAATTACGTAGTTCTCTATATATTTCAAAGTCTCCATGTCTATATGAAACCATGATCTATATTTCATTGTGTGCAAGTGAAACACACATGACACAATACATATAGGTTACTTGGTCATTTAGATTTCGATTTGGATGTATTTACTCGTAGCAGATTTGCTAAAAACGTCTACCAATGGAGCTCGTTTAAACTCGGAAATAAATCGTTAATCTGAGAATTATACACATTTATTTATGAACGTTCTTTATTTATTGACGTGACTGCCTATATTTAAGAAGATGGGAGAAAAGTGAGGATTATATATAAAGAAGGAAAAGGTAGAGAAGAGAGGCAGATGGGAGCAATAAAGAAGATGGACAGTGTCACAGGCTCACAGCCCTGGGGCCTGACCATTTCTCTTCTCCATGTGTCCTTCAAATTATATTAACCCTGGTCACTCAATAGTCAATCCCGTTTATTTCATTCACTTCACTAACTAGTTTGAAATGTCTAGTTTAAACATGTAGACGAAAATGCTAGATAAAATTAACGATGAAGACAAATTTATAAGAAAAAGTTAGATAAAATATGAATGATATGAATAGAAGTCATACTTTGTTTATGTGCAAACTTTTTTGTTTCCCCACTTTTTAGCAGCTGCGGCAGTAAAATTATTTTTAATACGTATTTACTACAAAAGTACAAATGGTTAACTTTTAGTGGATTTTAAAAGAATAATTACACCAATCCAGTTATACTACTGCCTTTTTTTACTCTTAGTCTTAACTGATACATTTTTTTTCCCATAATAATTAATAACGAATGCATAATATTTGAATCCGAAGATATATTGCGTATTAACATTTTACGAAACCACGGTTTATACTTATTCAGTTATTTGTAAATGATTGCCATGGAATTTGAAAATTCAAGTTTATATATTAAAAAAAAAAACTATTTTAATATGTTTGAAATGGACGATGTTTTGTACGCTTTGGAAATGTGTCGATGTGGATAGTCATGAGCAGTTGATTTATCTTTTCTTTTTTTTTTTTCTTTTTTTTTTGTCACAGAGTAGTTGAGGTATCTAAATCTCTACTTTTGGGGTACTCAAACAATTAATAGTAACAGTAATATGAGAGAGACAACTGTTCACACTTACTCAATTAGTAGGGGTAGGTATAGGTTGAGAGCAAAGAGAAAAAGGTGGAATTATGAGGACAGATGCTGAAGAAGGAAAGTTAAATACTTTTTCCGTTTCATAATATAAGGCGTTTTGGATAAAAAATTTTGTTTAACAATATAAGTCGTTTTCGAGTTTCTATGCAAATTATATATTACTTTAATATTTTATGATTATATATACTATACAGTCTCTTTTATGGCTGGCTGAATTTTTAAAAAGTAGATCTTCTTAATCAGCGTGTTTTTACCTAAAACGACTTATATTATGAAATGGAGGGAGTATGATTCAGAGCTTCTTCTGCACACACTTTCTCAAATTTCAAACACAAACCATACCATCTCATTTCTTGAAACATTGCACACCAAATGAGATCATTTAGAGCTTCTTCTGCACTAGCTTCATAAAATTTAAAACACTTAAACCATACCATCTCATTTCTAAAAACATCGCACGCCAGATGAGATGATTTAGGGCGTCTTCTGCACTAGCCTTCTCAAATTTCAATTACTAAAACCATACCATCTCACATTTCTTGATACATTACACACCAAATAAGATAAATCACAGTTTTTCTGTGAAATGAAACACAACAACATTGTAACCGTTGCAACACTTAACCAATTCACAATTCTCTTTTAGTTATGTTAGGTATTAATAAGATAATTTTAATCTCCTTTAGCTTTTGGGCAAAAGTGGTGTATAATCTTTAAATTCTTAATACTACCCTAAAACCTAAAATATAATCGTTTCTATGCTCCATAAGAACAAAAAAAAAATACTCCAACTTACAAAATCTATGACAAACTCGATTTTACACTAGAGTACCTTTGGATCGCGATCAGCGTTCCCCGTTTGCGTTTTGCGTCTTGCTTCTTGCGTCGTGCGTTTTGCGTTTTGCTTGTAGCCCTTGAAGGTGGGTGAAGGGGTAAGTGATAATAATAGCAACGCGTAAAAGTTAGTTGTGGAGAGGATTGGGACCCGTGTGAACTACTCTCTTGTCGTCTCCATAAATAACATCTCTGCTAAATGGCCCACGAAACGGCGCCGTACTGTATCTCAGAGCCTTTCTCGGCGGCGACCCGACGAAGTGAGGACCTGAATAACCAACATGAGCCGATGAAGACAAACCTATCTGAAAACTGACAAAGAAGACGAAGAAGTAGAAGAAACACATAGTCATATTCACGTCCCATCTTCTCTTCTTTCCTTGTCTCTCTCTTCGTACCAACATGTGAGTCATCTCACAAAATCTTGTTACGGAGGAGTAACCAGAAACAGACGAACATGAAGACAAAGGGATAGTGAAAGTCAAAGCAAAACAAAACAAGAGAGAAGTAGGAGAAAGAAGAAGAAGAAGAAGAAGAAGAAGAAGAAGAAGAAGAAGAAGAAGAAGAAGAAGAAGAAGAAGAAGAAGAAGAAGTGGGTTTTTGGAAGATTTTTTGACTTGTAAAAAGTTGCTGATGGGTCTTCGGATTCTTCTAAGATCTGGCACTATTCTTTCCTCTAAAAGGCAAAAGCTTTTACAAGAATTCTTTTTTTCTCTCTCTTTCTCTCTTTGTCTCGGAAGTCGTAAGCAAAAAAGAGTATGTGTGGTCTGTAAAAGAAAGTACGGCAGGAGGTATTAATAACGGCTGTCACCTCTTTGTGTTTATTCGAGGGAAGAGTCTTCGAAAGCACTCTCTTCTCTTTACCATTACTATCTTCACTTTTTTGTTTACTAATTACGAATTTGGACGTACTAATAATTGTAATTAGGGTTTTTCTTGGTAATGACGATGAGTTGTGTTATTTATTAGTATGATATTTGATGGTGAACACATTGGCCAATGTTCTTTTGAGGCATTGACTTTGTAGGTTTAGACAGCTCACTGTTCTTAAAATAAAATAAAATTTAGCACCCTACTCTTTTTTTTTATCGGTTTTTGCGGTCAAAGTAGATGAGATTGGGACGTTATAGTCAATTTAAAAAAAAAAAATTGTGAATACTATTTAATACTATTTACTGTTTTCAGTTTATGATACAATAAGTGATGTCTTGACTCTTTGACCAAAAGGAAAAAAAAAACACAGTGCTGCAATATCTGAATCCATGACTTTTATATAAACTGATAATTAACATATGATGTTTAGCGTGGCAGAAATTATTTGTGAATGAGAATGACAAACTCAGATTCCAGCATCACGGTCGATCTTAACAATATCTGGTTTCATTGAACCTTGATTAAAAGCTTATGCAACAATAATTCAAATATATATTTAAAAAAAAAAAAAAAAAAAAAAAAATTCAAATATCACAAAAAGAAAACATACAAAATTAAAATATCAATTATGTTTTTGGAAAAATAAGCAATGGTCTAATTTACAGCTCTAAAAACAGTTATTTTGTATGTTTTTAACAGAATTGGTCATCAAATCTTGAAGAATTTTATAGCTTATAATCCAAACTCTCATTCCCACTGAGGGCCACGAGGCCCACAACAATCGTACCTTGATTCCTCCTCTACCACTTCCGGTGGGCTTCAAACTATCATCTTGATTCTTGGATTCAATTTCATTTTTCTTGTGGGTTTACTACTCGAGTGTACTTATTGTAAAAACATTGGTAACTGCTGCTCCGTTTTAATTTTCATGTAAACATTTTTATTAGAAAACTCTCACAAAAGGTTCAACACACGACAAAGATATTTTGATAAGCTGAGGAGAAACTTGGGAGGGCCTCAGACAAATGAACCATGTGAGTAATTAATGTGATCGATCAATAATATCAGATTATCAATATAAGACGTAGATAGTTGTAAAAATGAATTATTATGATAGGGTCACGAAACTATTCATGACATTATTTTAACGATCAAAAATGGTTCTATCCTTTAATACTTGCTCACTCATTCTTCTACAAATAGAGGCTAAAAACTAAAAAAAGAGAACACACTCATCTCCTAAATTCCTTACCTAATATTTTCTTAAGATAAGCGAAAAATCATGGCAGAAGCGTCTAGTTTGGTGGGGAAACTTGAGACAGAAGTGGAGATCAAAGCTTCGGCTGGAAAGTTTCATCACATGTTTGCCGGAGACCACACCATGTCTCCAAAGCAACTCCAGATAAAATTCATGGATGTGAGCTGCACGAAGGCGACTGGGGCAAAGTCGGCTCTATCGTCATCTGGAAATACGTTCATGGCAAGTAAATCCTATATTTCTTTTTCTTTGCGTGTTGATTCGTAAAGTTAAACCTAGGGAAGTAAAATGTTGAAAAATTGGTGCAGATGGAAAGTTAACAGTGGCAAAGAATAGGATCGATGCGGTGGATCCGGAGAAGAACCTGATCACGTTCAAGGTTTTAGAAGGTGATCTGATGAAAGAATATAAGAGCTTCGCATTCACAATCCAAGTGACCCCTAAACAAGGAGCGCCAGGGAGTATTGTGCACTGGCACCTTGACTATGAGAAAATTAGCGAGGAGGTGGCTCATCCCGAAACTCTCCTCCAATTCTGTGTCGAGATCTCCAAAGAGATCGACGAACATCTCTTGTCCGAGGAATAGAAAATTACTCCTCGTATGTGTGTGTGTCTTTGAACCTGCAATAAATAATGAACGGTCGGAGTATATGTAAGAGATATATGTGTTGGTGTGTGTCATGCGTGTATGCTTACTACTACGGTTGAGTTATGTTTGAAGTTCAGTCTGATGGAACGTGTGGTAGTATTAGCGAAATAACTTCAAAGCTTATGTATGTTACGATCCTCTTGTTTGGTTTATAATATTTTATATTTTGATTTTGATTTTTTATTTTTGAAAATTAATCTCCGCCTTTTTGCTACGTGATATAATGAAGATAAAATTAAGAGTCAATTAGCTGTATGCTAATTATTTGAGAAATAATTAGCTTGTACATACACAACTTTTATTCTTTGCAAAATAAGAGAGAGAAATCTTTGGTTTTGAAAAAATCGGACGAATTTACCCCTGAAATAAGATACATGTGTATTTCCCGATATATCATTATATATCATGATATATAATCAAAAAGAGAATGGTTAGAAAAACCAGAAACTGATGTGATCATAAAAAACCAATCAATCTCTATGACGACTCTGCAAATAATCCTCCAACTCAAGATCAACACCAACACGATTCAAGACATTATCTTCCACTTATTCTCAAGTTCCTTAAACCTCTCAACATCAAACTTATGACTCTTAAGCAACTTCCTCTGCCTAGAAAGAAACAACCTTTTCATGAAATCTTGATATGTTGGGTCTCTTGAAGTCATCAAGAAATAAGCATAACCCACAATAATCCCAGTAGCTGTAGTGAAAAACGTTATTTGTTCTTAGCGTCGTCGGTTGACGGTGTCTCAAATCATATCTAACAGAAGCTCAATAATAACGAACGACATCCAAACATACGACGTCTCTATATCGAAATTTTTTAAGGTTTATTGAGTTTATTTTAATCAGAAAAATGCGACGAGTTTAATGAATTCAAAATATCATAATTTTAGATGCAATTAGTTTCACAATTAAGAATAATCATTTGTTTGGGGTTATCATAAAGTAAAGAAAAAAGATAAAGAAAAAAATAAATAATAAAAGTAAAGAGAAACAAAGAAGGAAGGAAGAAAGAATGAAGTGTTTGATTTTAGGGGTATTTTAGTCTTTTTATCATGTTTTCAGTTGATCATTTATTTACAGGTTTGCCACTTCTCCTTTGACTTAAATACTTAGGGTATGTAGTGTAATTACTCTAAAATTAATCAAAGTATATGCCGGGCCTATCCACCAAAGCCACGAAACAGATCGGAACTATGTTTTCCTTTGTTATATATTTTTTATCTCTTACTGAAAACTAATTTTAATTTTAATGTCAGAGTCAAGAAAACATTTTTTTATAGTGAATTTGTGCTGAAGAAATAGATAATAAGGAGGTTTGTCTCTGAGGGTCAAAAAACGATTGAAAAAAAGTTTAGTTTTGCTAGTTATTACAAAAAACCTAATGCATATTTTGTCAATGCGCGGGAGAAATAGAAAAATTTGATATTTAATTAATGCTCAACAGTTGAATTGACCTTTACCCGGCAACAGACAGAAAGAAGTGACGATTATGAAATGCGACCGACTTTAGTTTGAATCTATAAGAAAAATATATAGGCGGATATTACAAATTTTAAACCACTAACGGGTTTAATTTTTTTTTAAATTAAAATCAAATTTAACAAAAAAAAATTAATTAACAACGTTATAAGTAGAAATTTTTTTTCAAAAGTAAAAAAATATTTACTTTTGTACTGTTAGCAATAACTCATGGTATACTTATATGAAGAACTAAAATTAAAAATATTTATCATAAACTTGGTGAATGAAACCAAAGTGGTTTTTAATTAGACACGTTAAAAATATAAAGATGATAAATCAACTAAATCCCTTAGCCTTCCAAGCTAATGTTGCGGTTTCGATTCCTATATACTCGATTGCAATGATTTTATGTTCAATCAATAAAAATTGATAAATTCAGAAAATTATAAGCACGATGATATCTGAATCTTATATAATTCAAATATGAACATAGAAAATTTAAATAAATAACTTTGAAGTAGTATAATTAAATTCAAAATATCAAAATCAAGAAGCATATATGGTTCTTACATATTCAAGAATTTCAAATAAACAATATAAAATTTTACTTAAAAATCATCACATATTTCTAATTAGAAAATAAAATTGATATAAATAATGTAAATTTTTAATTTAAATCATGACACATATCTCTCTCTAAAATCATTAGAACTATGATATATTATATCTTATATAATTTAAACTGAACGTAGAAACCAAAATAAATAATTTAAAGATACAACAGTTAAACTAAAAACAAAAAAATTATAAACATGATGATATATTAATATTTGATAATTTAAATATGAAAAAAATTAAATAAACAATCTAACAATACTATAATCATAATTGAGGACAAACAAAAAAACACAGTTAAGTAAAAAATATTACAAAAAGGAAAAAATTGATCTCTCATATTTCTAATTGAAAAAATAAACTCAAATAAATAATATGAGGATTAGTTTAATCAAATCATCACATATTTCTAATTGGAAAGAAAATTGAGATAAATAATATCAAATTTTAAATTAAATCATGACACATGATAAAATCTTTGACTGATAATGGTTCATGATATTATTAATTATTAACTTTGAGAAACAAAAATATATCATATTAGTTATATAATAACATATGTTTCCTTTTTAATAAATTTACATGATTTGTTTCTTGTTTGATTGGAATATATATTTTTAATTATAAAAATATATAATTTCCTTATTATTATCTTTTGACTTTTTTAAAATTGTTTACAGAAATATTAATTATTTATAATTATCCTTATAATTATTTTTTATATTTTTAAAATTATTTAAATTTATAATTACTTACAATTATCTTTTTTTTTGTTTTAAAAAGGATATTTTTTTTTATACATATCAAAATCTAAGATCAATATAATTACCCCGTATAACGATTTTATGAGTTACTGACTTTTAGACGTACTTTATATAATAAGGTTATTATTTGTTTTTGTCGATTTGTGTTACCTTGATTAGAAAACTTGATAGTGAAAGAAACGGCATGAATTGTGTGATCGATCAATAATATAATATCCATATATATATATATATATATATATATATATATATATATATATATAGTGAGCAACGCATATAGTTTGGCAGGTTAAACGTCAAATAAAAGTGCACAAAAAAAAAAAAAAAAAAACGTCAAATAAACTATAAAGTATTGGGTAGGGCAATTAATATAATGGGACCGTGATGTTAAAGCTAATCATGATATTATAATTTATAAGGCACAAAAAAGATCTATCTATTCTTCAACACCTTTCTTTTGTCTTTCTATTCTTCAAATTTTTTATTTATTTTTGGTAAAATTATTCTTCAGTACTTTCTCACTCATTCCTCTTCAAATAGAGGCTAAGAGCATAATTATCAAGGGTCTCTTAATGTTGGTTCTTAGGAGTATTTAAGTATTAATTTTGTAAAAAAGATAGTTAAGAGTTTTCATTTTTGGGTTAAGATTTATGTGTCTTTAATGGTAGGCTCTTAACATGTGGTTCTTAGAAAAAAAATATTAATTTTAAAAAGAAATTAATTTAACAATTTTAATTTTAGAAAACTTAATAACTGTTGCAAACGAAAACTTAATTTTTGAAGTTTAAATGTTTTGGTTCTTAAAAATTGTAAGTGTTTTGGTTAAATTTGAAGTGTTTTGGTTAAATTTTTTGGTTCTTAAAAGTGTTAGTAAAAATTTGGTTACAACACATATATAGCAATGAAAGAGTGGTTTGATGAGATGGAGAGAAGTGTTTGTGTTTTTTGTAAAACAAAAGTGTTGTATATATGGAAAAAAATAAAGAGTTAGGTACAAGAACACAAACTAGGAAAAGAACACAAATACATGATATAAAAATAATGTTTTGTGGTGTGCAATCATTCACAGAGACATGTTGCTAATTAGAGAACAAAGATGATCCACATGTAAGATGACCCAACCAAACTTGAAAAGCAAAGATGAAACTAATGAAACTGGTCCAACCAAACTTGTCCAAACCAAACCGTAAACAAAGATGAAACTGGAAACAACAGGAAGACTAAACAAAAGCAAAAGAAAAAAATGCAGCGTAAGAGATCATGTATCGATAAGATTGATGCCTAAAACACAATGTGGTTTTGACTTTTTGTAGTCTAGCAATGAAGGAAGGGAAAATCGAACTAGTAATGAAGATAACTTAGAACTTTAATCAATGCTTCTTAAAACAATTGCTAACATAGTTAAGTTGCAGATATGAGGACAAAAGTAGATAAAGAAAAAGATATAACTACGTTGTGAGGACCAATGGTGGTGCCAGTCCAAGAACGCATATAGATATCATCTCCATTATCCATTCCATAGCTCACAGTTCTATCCCCAATACCTTTCTCCCCACGTTCAAGCTCCTCCAACAACCGGAAATTCTCCGAAACTATATTGTAATAACAATCATAACAATAGAATTCATATCACGAACTTTCAGTAAATGAAAACACAAAACCAGATATGATCCTCAATAATCAAAAAGGTAAAAAAAAAAACAGAACGCAAGCAATTGATTAGATTAGCCAAATCATAGAGACAATTTCGATAACAAGCTAAAACCTGGCAATTATCAAATTGTCAAAACGAATCAAGTTATTAACAAAAATTCTCAAATTACCAACAAACAATATGATAATCGAGTGAGATAATCACGAAAGATCAAATTATTCCAAAAAAATCAAACCCAAGAACCAAATCCTAGCATCGAAAACCATAAATCTCCAAAGAGATTCATACTAATCGCAATCACAATCACAATCAATCAAAAATACTTTTAGGGCTTTGGAGATCCATTACAATAAACAAACATGGTTTATCCCCAATTTTCCACCTCAAGGAATAGAAGTTAAATCAAGCGATTGACAAATATAACAATTAACTGAATAAAACGATGAACTGAGAAATAATAAAACGTACCATTTTTTTCAATCGAGATTGATAAAATCGATCTTCCTAGTCTCCTCCTCCTTGTCTGTGATGTTCATCATGGAGAGAGAGAGAGAAACGCGTAAACGACAGAATGAAATCGGGGCAATTTTTTCTTTCTCTTGTCTCTGAGTGACACCTGTCCGCCGCTTAGATAAATAAATGTTGCTTAACTAAGCAACGTTCTTAAGATTAAAACCATTTTTCATTTAATTTTAATTCTTTATTTCCTAAGATTTATGCTAAGGCACCACCGTTAATGATGGTCTAAGAACTCAAGAAGAGAAACATACTCCTTCCCTAAGTCTTTATCTTATATTTTCTTGAGATAAGCAAAACTCATGGCAGAAGCGTCTAGTTTAGTGGGTAAGCTTGAGACAGAAGTTGAGATCAAAGCTTCGGCTGGAAAGTTCCATCACATGTTTGTCGAGAGACCACACCATGTCTCCAAAGCAACTCCAAGCAAAATTCAAGGCTGTGATCTACACGAAGGAGACTGGGGCAAAGTCGGCTCTATCGTCATCTGGAACTACGTTATTGGCAAGTAAATCCTATATATTAACTAATTAATAAATGCTACATAAATTTCATAGTAACTAATTAAGAAAAATGTGTGAAACAGAAATAGATCTCAAATATTGACTAACAAGACGTCACGGTGACTACTACTACTATGATTACAGTATATACATATATATATTTGTTTTTGAAATAATACTCATGTTGATTCGTAAAGCCAAATCTAGGGTAGTAAAATATTAAAACAATTGGTGCAGATGGAAAAGTAAGTGTGGTGAAGGATAGGATCGAGGCAGTAGAGCCGGAGAAGAACTTGATCACGTTCAAGGTTATAGAAGGTGATCTGATGAAAGAGTACACGAGCTTTGTGATCACAATCCAAGTGACTCCTAAGCATAAGGGGTCAGGGAGTGTGGTGCACTGGCACTTCGAGTATGAGAAAATAAACGAGGAGGTAGCTCATCCTGAGAATCTCCTCCAGTTTGCCGCTGAAATGTCCAAAGAGATTGATGAACATCTCTTGACCGAAGAGTAGAGGATCTAGTACTTTGAACCCACATGTAAAATAAATAATGAACCGTGCCCAAGTTTATAACAGTCTGTGTGTCTCATCGCGCATGCGTGTATGCATACTACTTCGGTTGAGTTATGTTTGAAATTTTTAATTTGAAGCGACATGTAGTACGTAGTAGTATAGCTATAGAGCATATGCATTGCACATTTAATTTGAGTGTCTTCCCACATAAATATAATTATTAAAATATGAAAAGTTTCTTTAAATGGGAGGAGAACTTCTCCCAAAGTGTCTTAGTTGAGTTTATGTATGATACTATCCTCTACGTTGATTGTATCTTCCCATTTCTTATCCATATTTCAAATAGATGGGTCACGATGACATTCCCAAATTTGGTCTCCGTTTTATTTTTTAATAACCAAGATACTTCGAGTCTGAAGTCTGAACACACAATCTCTTTGGGTCAGAAAACCAAAACATAATTTGAACATTCACCGTAGCTATAATTCATACTATTTTTTTATTTATCAATTAAAATTATGAAATAACGTGTATTCCTTTACAAAATTTATGATCTGCTAGAGTTGACAAAAAAGGATATGATATTTTAGGAATTATATAGAAATATAAAATACCCAATAAATAATACATGTATTTAAAAGTTTTATTCAACAAAGTAAGAACTTTTCAAGAAGCTTATCAACAAAAAACAACTATTAGCGGAAAGAATAAAATGACTCGTGTAGTTGAATATTTGAATATTTAAATCTCATCATTTTTTTAATATGGATTCAATGATCATTCACATCCAAGCTATACCAATCAAAGGTTTATCTTTAAACTACTCTTCAAAACTCCGTATCATTTAAAAAAAAAAATGGTGTTAAAGAAAACTCCGTATCTATCCAGAAATAGCGAAGGGATACATACTCTTTATGAACCCATTGGTTCTGGTTTTGAAACCCTAACACATGATTTGATATTACTACTAATTATCTTCTTACTGCTTTCCCACTAATGCTATACTCCCCCAAAATCTTTTGTTTGACACGAGCTACGAACTATATTTAAAATATCAATTAATTCAGGCTTATCAGTTAGCGGCAGGTGGATAAAGGTGATCACATAGGAAAAAGAACAAATCAAAATATTATTAATATAACACAAATAAATAAAATTCAGTCTTATTCACGGTTTACACATTCCTCTATTTAAAGGAGGCAAAAGAGCTCAGAAGGGAATCCATTCACTCTCAAAAACTCGAAACACTTAGAGACATTAATTACAAATCAGCGGTACAAAGAATGGCGGAAGAGGCATCTAGTTTGGTCGGGATCATTGAAACAACTGTAGAGCTAAAATCTTCGGTGGAGAAGTTCCATGACCTGCTTGTCGGGAGACCGCACCATATGTCCAATGCAACTCCATCCAACATTCAGAGCGCTGAGCTGCAAGAAGGCGAAATGGGCCAAGTTGGCGCCGTCATCCTCTGGAATTACGTTCATGGCAAGTTAACTTTATATTTCTTTGTTTATATAAATATTTATGAAAATTTATATAAATCAAACGGCTATACTATTCCTGAGGTCCGGTGGTAACAGCTCGGATCACCCCTGATGCATATGATGTATTAATATAGATTACTTTAGATCCTCTCTTATTTTGGAAACCTATAAATATATATATATGTGAATGTTAATCTTGGTGTAGATGGCGAGGCAAAGGTGGCGAAACAAAGGATCGAGTCACTGGATCCGGATCACAATCGGGTCACGTATAAGGTGGTAGAGGGTGATTTATTGAAAGAGTACACGAGTTTCGTGACGACCTTCCAAGTGACCCCTAAAGAAGGAGAACCTGGAAGTGTTGCACATTGGCACTTTGAGTATGAGAAAATCAACGAAGAGGTGGCTCACCCTGAAACTCTCCTCCAGTTAGCTGTTGAAGTCTCTAAAGAGATGGATGAACATCTCTTATCCGAGGAATAGAGAGGAAGAATCCTCATATGTATCTATTCTATATATATATATATATATGTGTGTGCGCGACGTCTTAGGCACGTAAGCCGTACGTGTCCGAGCCAGTGCCGGCTCAACAGTATTATAGGCCCTAGGCAAAAAAAAATTTTGGCCCTTAGAATTTTTTTTTTTGGTGTTATTTGTGTTATATAAAAAAATTGTATGATATTTTCATTAAAAAGTTAATTATTAAAACTAAAAACAATAATAAAAAAATTTATGGGCCCTTCTAAATTTTATTTTTATGTTGTAATTTAAAATTTTAATACTTTTATAAAAAAAAAATTAAAATGGGCCCCTTAATTATTGGAGCACGGAATTGGATCCCTGACTATCGCACCGCTCGCCCTATTTGAGCCGGCACTGGTCCGAGCTTGTGTAAGAGATATCTGTTGGTGTGTGTCATACGTACGTGTATGCACACTTGTACGTTTGAAGTTATTAATTTGAACTTTGAAGCGAAGATTAATTTTTTTCTCACCAAGAATTTTGTTTCAAAAAGGGTTTGTTTTGACCACTAAATGTTAGAAAAATCAGTTAAATTTGATAATTATTAAAATCACCATTCAATTTTGTTCACTTTCATTTCTCCACAAAATCAGAAAATTAAAAATGCTTTGTCTGTACACAAATTAAATAATAACACGTGGAGCGTCTTTTTAAATGGTCCGCGTGGCACTGTCTTACTGGAATATATCTTAACACGACGCCATGGTTATACTAATTTGGTTCAGTGGCTTAAACGAGAAACAGGAAAAGACCAGACAAATCGGCAGAGACAAAGCTTAGTCAAATGTTCTTTTAGATCTGCCATGGCGGTCATCAAGTTCGTAGCTTCTCCTCACCACAGGCTATTTCCAATCAAACCCTTATTCGTTATCCTCGAACGAGATTGGCCCTCATAAGAAGAAGTCAAGAAACTATACCTAAATTTCAAATCTTTGTATGGTAAACGAGCTCTGTGGTGAAAGATCTTGTTTGATTCTACGAAATTTAGGAGCATACTTCTTCTCAATGCCATTACAATCATTTATGGTAAGCTCTGATTATTCCCTCCAAGTGTTCTACTACGTTTATGTTAGTTTTTGTGTGTACATATGTGTTTTGGAATCGCTGCATAGTTTTAAAGTTTCAATCTTTGATCTCTGTTCTGTATTTTTCTCGAATTTGGGTTGATCCAAGTTATAGTAGAAATTTGGGTTTGATTGTTCACTCCTTGAGCTCTAGATTTTGCTTAGAAACTGTTTCTTGAATGTGACAGATTATTGTGGTTTCGTTTCTTGATGGTATGCTTGGAGCTATAATTCCTGCACGTACGTGGTTTGGAGCTCTAGTGTCTATCTTGGGAGTCTGGATTGCTGGAATCTAGTGGCTCTTCTCCATGTGTAGGTTCCGTTGACAAGTAAAATTTCTTCTTTTCAGGACTTTGACTGACTAGCTACGTTGTGTTCTTCGGAGTTCATATGCTGAGGACTGAATATATCTCACGAACAACACCTAAGGACAAGTTCTTGCCCCTTCTTGGCTATGAGGTCAGAAAAGCTCTCTGCTTTATAGTTTAAGTGTATTTTGTGATGCTGTACTTTCATGGTTTGAAGGAGTTGTATGTTTGTATATGTATGTATGCCATATCCACTCAGACATGTGTGGTTGCTCTCCTTTCGATGGTGTGGTATTTCGGGTGGGAGCTGGTCTACCCATCTTCCTGGACATGGAACTCATCTTGGGAATGGAAAGGTTGCGTTTCCATGTATACCTGCGCCGGTGCTTTTTCAACCGGTGTCTGCCTGTGGATAGAGGTAAATAAGTTTTCTAGCCCTCCCCTAATCTATCTTTCTAGTTTCTCAATTTAATCATTTGTTGATGCATAGCTCACATGTGAAAAATACACAAATGCACTTTTGCATTTGTGGTGTTGTATACATCAATTTCATTTTGGTAATATTCTCTTTACATTTAAATTGTTCTGTCCATGCAGATGACTGCTATGTGTGATGTATCTACTAGTGACACTGTAGTAATCTATGGCTTGGAGCCTCTCTGGGGTGCGGGGATTGCATGGTTCATCCTTGGTGAGAGGTGAGAAACGACTGGTTGGATCGAGCTGTAAATTCAAGAATTCAGCCCATCTGGATCTGGTTCTTTATTCATTTTCTAGATGTTATCCATATCTGACAACATAAGTCCGAGATGGTATCTAATTGTCATTTTCCCTGTCACTCCTGTATATTTGTTCCTTAAAAGTTTTTTACAGCACAATTTTGGGCTGAATCCAGTGTATTTAAGGCTATGTAGCAGTTGAGTAGAAAAGTAAAATGATCTGTTAGGCTCCAGCTAATGACAACCTTCTGATCCCATGCAGGTGGCAGCCTAACCGTGCAGTTGTTTGGTTCATCACCGCCACCAAAAGAGCCCCTAGAAGGTGAAGAGAGCAGAGAAGAAATTGATTGTTGACCTGTTTCCAACAAGCAAAAGCGCTTCTCGACCTCACACACTGAAGCTGAAGGTGGAGCGGTCAGAGGAAACCAAGGTCGAACTGAACCAAACGACCTGCTCCAGAACATCCTCACGCACCTGAGCCAGCAAGAAGCAAGAACAAACATGCGATTCGAATCATTGGCGGCAGCTCAAGCTTGCGCTCAGGACGAGATCAATCGCTTAAATGCCAGTCAGACCCAAGGCATACGACCCGCTCAGGAGAAACATAACTGTTGCATCTGTGACTTATACGAAGTCTCAAGAGGTGAGCCTTATTGTTCCCCTGAGGCTTGGAATGTGAATTATGTAAAGTTTTATCACAGTTTTTGGGTGGAGATTCAGATTCTCGGTGAATCAATTCCCCAAATGAGTCTTGTATGTGAAGAGAACAAAGAAACTATTAATATAAAACTAGCGTAAATGCTAGGCATGGTACAGATTCTTCCTCCAAAAGACTACTTATAATCAGAGCTACACTAAGACCAAAAAGATCAACAACAGAGAAGTGATGGCTCAGATGGCGAAATCCATGATAGAAGTCGAGATCAATGTATCAGCTGATAAGATTTTCCAAGCTATCAAGTCTACTTCACGCAGCGTACCAAAGCTATCTCCAGAGAAAATACTTAGCGTGGAGGAGCATATTGGTGATGACTCTAAAGGCACCAAGAACTGGACTTTGTCTGTTGGTACTAAAACCATAACTTCTTTTGTCTCCTCTTACTATAAGCTACTCTATGTATCAAACTGATTTCACGAGTTTGTGTTACAGATGGAAAAGTGGAGAAAATGAAGGAGAGAGTGGTAATAGACGAGGCAAACAAATCGATGACTGTGTTTGTGTTCGAAGGAGATGTGATGGAGAACTATAGTAGCTTCAAATGTAATCTTCAGATCATACCAAAGCTTCATGGAAGAAGTATAGCAAGATGGAGCTGGGAATACGAGAAACTTAATGCAGATTCTCCAGCTCCGAACAAATACATGGATTTTGCAGTCTATCTCACTAAAGATATTGAATCTAATCTTCTCAAAACATAGAGATTTTAGATGTGTTTTATTACTTTGTATATATATTTACTTTGTTTATAACAACGGTTACTTTGCTTCTCTCTAAGCCATGTGTGTGTGTTGTATGTACCAAAGTTATATGAATAAAAAGTCTTGTGTGAAGAATGTACTCTGAATAAAAGTTAATCGGATTCAAATCTCGCTGAGGTGACAAATGTGCCGATAGATTAGCTGACTAAGCATTTTTTTTCTGTCACGTATCCTATATATGTTATTTAAAAATACGAAATAAATTTGGCAAACAAGAAAAAAAAACAAATTAAAAAAATCCAAATGGTGACTACGGATCGAATGGTGTAAATTAAGGAGATTAAATGGTATAAATATGATAAATGTGGTGTTGGAAATTAAGGAGATTAATTGGTATAAGTATGATAAATGTGGTTAGTGTAGCCACACATAGTAAATTGATCATATATCTAGTAATTCTATAATTATAATTTGATTTGGAATCGTTAGTTGTTTTTTTTTTTTTGGTAAGCCGAGGGGAGACAAGTCTCCCGTTATTTATTAAAATAAAAGAACAATTACAAACGCACATTTCGGGGGCGCGACACCCCTTCAATGTCTTCTAACATAACCGAAATAACAGACTCCGGACAATCATCTAACATATGAAAGCCTAGTGGTAGAGTAAACGCATAGTTAGCTAATCCGTCTGCGAGACGATTCGCTTCTCTATACACGTGTGACACCCGGACTATCCAGTCCCTTGATAAGAAGCCATAGCACAAGCGTGCTAGGAAGGACAGTGGATGGGCCTCCCCGATCCCTGTCTTAAGAAAATTCCCCACCATCTCCGAATCCACTTCCAAATCTACTCGCCTTATACCCTTCTCCCATGCTATGTATAGGCCGTAGTAGACTCCCCAAAGTTCCGCTAACGGTGCTGAGCATATCCTGATATTTAGTGCGAAACCCCCAATCCAATTCCCTTCCCCATCACGCAATACACCTCCCGTTGTTGCCAAACCGGGATTACCTCTAGAAGCTCCATCGGTATTCAATTTTGTCCAACTTACACATGGTGGAACCCATGCTACCATTCTCAATTCTCTGTCCGTTCTCCTCGGCTCCTCCTCTGTTATCGCAAGATTTGCTTTTTGTACCTCCACTGCGAGGTCTTTAAGAAAGCATACTCGGTCCCTGCATTTAGCTATATTCCCGAACACGTTTCCACACCTCCACTTCCAACTCCACCATATAGAGACTGCAAAAAGTGTAGCCCAAGGTCTCCCTTCTACTTCCGACGTATCACTTAAATTTTTGTAGACCCACTCAAGTAACGAGCTAGCAAAGAAAGCAGCTCTTCTCCGCTGTGGAACGAGCCGGCGCCAAATACCTTCCATGGATGGACAATCTCGCAACACATGAAGGATACTCTCCTCTCCACTTCTGCAAATCGGGCATAGGCTCGTGTCACTGAGATGTCTTCTTAATCTTTCCATATTTGTCATTATCACTTGATTCACAACAAGCCAGAGAAAAGTGCGAACTCGTTCCGGTGCAACAACTCGCCAAATTTGATTGTAAAACGCACTCATGTTCTGCCTCGGAGTTCTGTCTCGTGTTATCGCTGCATAAGCTGACTTGACTGTGAATTTGCCATCCGGATTTAGTCCCCAAGAGAGTCTATCCGTCGCACCGGTGACTCCATCTAAGACGACCGCAGTGAGTCTCAACACTGTATTTCTCGAGACATATGGAGCAATCCGTGACATGTCCCAGCCCAACCCGTCAATCCATAGATCCCTTGCTCTGATTTCTGCAAACCCCGTTGGTAGCTCAGTCACCGCAGCTTCGAGAAGAGGTACCCCGGCAAGCCACTTGTCTCTCCAAAATCTGATTTCCTTTCCATCACCTAGAATCCATGTTAACTCCGGAACAACCACTTCTCTCAGGCCGACTCCAACGCTGCGCCAAGTCGATGACCACGTACCCTTTACAACCATCCATGATTCATCATGAATGTCCGCCACTTTATACTTTGATCTCACCACCCGTGCCCATAAACTATAAGATTATCTTTGCCCAAAAAAAAATTATAAAAAAGAACTATAAGATTATCCATCAAATTGAATAATAAACTCTTGATCTGATTGTCATTGGCTTTTTGGGTAGTAATACATTACCAAATTTCACCCAACACATAACAATTGATAATTCTAACCGACTGTGACGATTACCAAATACCTTTTCAAATTGTCGGCACGTCACCTGGCAGATATATTTTATGATTGATAAAATTGTAAGTTATGTCCATCCCTATCCACATCCACATCCTTTTCCAATTTTTCTTTTTTAAAAAAAAAATATTGTTCACCATGAATATCCCAGAATATTATTGATTTTTTTTCCCATAAATGTAATGCTTTTTCAAGTTTTGTTCAGACTGATTTAGTAAGATTTCTTAAAATTAAAAACAAAATTAGAAATATTTTGTGAAATTTTGTATATATATTTCTTTTTTAAAAAGAGACATTTTTTTTTGTGAATTTTGGATTTCTTAAATTGTGTTTTTTTTGGACACTAAGCTCAGTATAATCCATGGATAGGAGTCGGACTTTGGTGCCATACAATTGGTTTATGTTCATGTTCTCAAATTTTGGTTTTATAATAAAGAACATATCTAATGACGCTATCAATAAAAAACATATCTAAATGGAAAAAAGATACCTAGCTACACGAAGTATACTATAATACATGGCGACACATCCGAAGTTTAAAAATGTATCCCTAACTACACAAATTATATGTATCGCATGCCCACATATACGAACTATATGTAGTCATATCGCTAACATCACGAACATTTTTTCCTGGTACACTTTACGCCGGAATCCGGCATTGATCAGTTTGACCGGCGTTGACCAACATAAATATTAAAAAAAAAAAATTTAGTTTTTTAATATTTAGAAAATTATGTTATTGAATCATTTATAATAGGGAAATTGTATAATTAAAAAAATATATACAATATTCAATATAAAAATATTTTGTATATATATTCAATGCATTGATTTTTATAATTAGTTAGTTTCAATAATTTCAAAACTAAACTAAAAATAAAATAAAAACCAATTAAGTAAAATAATTTTAAATAGAAAATTTTAAATACTCTCTAGTCTAAAGTTTTTTTTATAATATTTTGTTAATTTTTTTTGTATTATTAAAAGAATTTTTTGTAATAATTTTAGATACAAAAATTAACAACATATTATACAAAAAACTTTAGACTAGAGAGTATAGAAAATTTCATATTTACAATTATTTTACCTAATTGGTTTTTATTTTATTTTTAGTTTAGTTTGGAATTTCTCAAATTTAACCTAATTTATAAATTTAAGGGTAGAGTATATATATACAATATATTTATATATGAGTATATGTGTAATATATATGGTAAATTTATATATAATTTTATATGAGTCACATAACCTAATTTTCTAAATATTCCAAAAACTAAATTTTTTTTTTTTTGAATATTTATGTTGGTCAACGACGGTCCAACGCCGGTCAAACTGGTCCATACCAGATTCCGGCGAAAAAGGTATCGGAATAACATGTTTGTGATGTTGGCGACATGACTACATATAGTTCGTATATGTGGGCATGCGATACATATAGTTTGTGTAGTTAGGGATACATTTTTAAACTTCGAATGTGTGGTCATGTATTGTAGCATACTTCGTGTAGCCAACCATCTTTTTTCCTATGACAAATACGGTACATGGTGATTACATTAATATGAGCAAAAATGTATAAGGATGAAAACGTGAATAAAGAAAGTTCTTTAAAATATTTTAAAAATAAAAAAATGAGCAGAGACTTGACAACAGCGAAAATCGAAAGTTGCGTCGTACGTGAATGATGAATCATGTTGATGAGTCTATCGTATTACGAACGGTTGATACAAGTAATTTTGTAGCTGAGTCACACTGATGGGATCGGGATCACATGAAACGCAAGTTGTCATGAAAATCTATATATAATAGCAATCTAATAAATACCATTTGCACATCTGAACGGTTGCGTCTTTTTATCGCAACTTTTCGTTTAAATCGGTAATTTTTTTACGGTTATGTCTTTTTATTGAATTTTCTCTTTGAATTTTCGTTGAATTATTTACGGTTATATTTGTTCAATTACAGTCGTATCTTTTCAGTTTACAGTTATATCTTTATAGTTGCATTTATTCATTTAAAGTTACGTCTTTCCATTATATAATTTCATTGCATTTTTTGTATAGTTAGTAATACTACGAAGTTTTTTTACATCAACCATTAGACTACATATCAAATTGGTTTTATTAACCAAAATAACAACCTCAATAAATGTATTTTGCACTTCTGAACGGTTGTGTCTCTTTATCGTAACTTTCCGTTAAAATATTAACGGTTATTTTTCCGGGTCTGTTTTTTATCGCAACTCTTCATTAAAATATTGACGAGTTTTTTTTTGTTGTGTCTTTTTATTGCAATTTTCCGTTAAAATATTGGTTGTTACTTTATTCGTTTGTGTCTTTTTATCGCAGCTTTCCGTTAAAATATTGACGATTATTTTTTCTCGGTTGTGTCTTTTTATCGCAACTTTTCGTTAAAATGTTGACGGTTATTTTTTCTCGGTTGTGTCTTTTTATCGCAACTCTTCGTTAAAATATTGACGGTTAATTTTTTAGTTGACGGATATTTTTCGGTTGTGTCTTTTTCTCGCACTTTTCGTTAAAATATTAACGGTTACTTTTTTCATTGACGGTTATTTTTTTGGTTGTGTTTTTTTCTCGCAACTTTCTGTTAAAATATTGACGGTTACTTTTTTCATTTCTGTTTTTTATCATAACTTTTTGTTAAAATATTGACGATATTTTTTTCTCGATTGTGTCTTTTTTTGTCTGTTAAAATATTGACGGTTATATTTTTCTCGGTTGTTTCTTTTTATCGTAATTTTTTGCTAAAATATTGACAGTTTTTTTTTCTCGGTTGTATCTTTTTAACGCAACTCTTCGTTAAAATATTGACGGTTATTTTTTTCGTTGACAATTATTTTTTCGGTTGTGTCTTTTTATCGTAACTTTCCGTTAAAATATTGATGGTCATTTTTTTTGTTTGTGTCTTTCTATTTCAACTTTCCGTTAAAAGTTTGACGGTTATTTTTTCTCGGTTGTGTCTTTTTATCGCAACTTTTCGTTAAAATATTGACGGTTCTTTTTTTCGTTGACTATTATTTTTTGGGTTGTGTCTTTTTATCGCAACTTTCCGTTAAAATATTAACATTACTTTTCTCGTTTGTGTCTTTTTATCACAACTTTTCGATAAAATATTAACGGTTATTTTTTTTCAGTTTTATCTTTTTGTCCTAGCTCTTTGTTAAAATATTTACGGTTACAATTTTTCATTGATGGTTATTTTTTCGGTTGTGTCTTTTTATCGTAACTTTCAGTTAAAATTAAATATTGACGGTTTCTTTTTTTGTTTTTGTCTTTTTATCGTATCTTTCCGTTAAAATATCGACGGTTTCTTTTTCTCGGTTGTGTCTTTCTATCGAAACTTTCCGTTAAAATATTGACGGTTATTTTTCTCGGTTGTGTCTTTTTATCGCAACTCTTCGTTAAAATATTGAAGGTTATTTTTTTCCGTTTGTGTCTTTTTATTGAAATTTTTTGTTTAAATAGTGACTGTTATTTTTTTTCGGTTGTGTCTTTTTATCGTAACTCTTCGTTAAAATATTTACGGTTATATTTTTCGTTGACAGTTATTTTTTCTGATGTGTCTTTTTATCATAACTTTTCGTAAAAATGTTGACATTTACTTTTTTGTTGTGTCTTTTTATCGCTACTTTTCGTTAAAATATTGATGGTTATTTTTTTTCGGTTGTGTTTTTTTATTGCAACTTTCCGTTACAATATCTACGGTTATTTTTTCTCGGTTATGTCTTTTTATCGCAACTTTTCGTTAAAATATTGACGGTTACTTTTTGTGTTGACGGTTATTTTTCTGGTTGTGTTTTTATATCTTTTTGGTTTTGACCCGCTATAATTTTTCCTCTCTATATTATAACTCTTCGTTAGTTATTTTTTTCACTTATAAATAATTTTATATTCACAAAAAATGTTTCAAAAGTGTTTTTTAATCATTATTTTACATTTTTATTTATAATTTTTTTTAATATCTTTAGAAAATATTTACGATATAACTTTAAGACATAGTTAATTTTATATAATAATTTAATTATTTGAATATGTTATAATAATAATTTAATACATAAACGTAATAAAATATATTTGTTGAAAATGAGTGCCCCGCGATATCGCGGGGTTCATAACCTAGTTATTATAATGGATAAAACTTTTAATTTTTTCAATAGTTGCTCAACCATCCCTCTACAAAGAGGCTAAAGAAGTAACTCACTCCTCTCTCACAAACCCTATTTCCTTTTTCTCAAGACAAGCAGATCGAGAACACAAAGAATGGCAAAAACCGAGGCTTCTAGTTTGGTGGGGAAGCTTGAGGCAGAAGTGGAGATCAAATCTTCGGCTGGAAAGTTTCATCACCTGGTCTCAGGGAAACCACACCATATCACCAAAGCAGCTCCAGGCCACATTCAGGGATGCGAGCTTCATGAAGGCGAGTGGGGCAAAGTCGGCACCGTTGTCATCTGGAACTACTTTCATGGCAAGTAATTACTTTATACACTTTTTAATAGTCAGTGGCTTCTAAGCCGAAAATAACTAAGACTATAAATTCTGTGGTAGCAAGCAATGTGTCTAGCTAGGGTAAGTTGATATTCGACTGTCACTAAACTACTATCACTTATTCTATTTTGAAAACAAGATAATTCCAAACCTTAAAATTAAATTTTCATAGGAGGTACGCTACATATATTATCTAACTAGTTAAAAAAAAATATTCACATCATATATAATGTATAGATGCGAATGATGGTATTTGCATACATTATATTTATATATGCTGAGGATTTTGAACCGACATTAATGTTTATTCTCAGAATCGAATCTAATGATCTAACTAATTCGCGTATAGATGGAGAGGCAAAGGTTGCGAAGGAGAGGATCGAGGCGTTGGAGCCGGAGAAGAACTTGATCACATTCAGGGTTCTAGAAGGTGATATGACGAAAGAGTATAAGAGTATCACATTTACAATCCAAGTGACTCCTAAGCAGGGAGGGCCAGGGAGTATTGTGCACTGGCTCCTTGAGTATGAGAAAATTAGCGAAGAGGTGGCTCACCCTGAGACTCTTCTCCAATTCTGTGTTGAAATGTCCAAAGGGATCGATGAATATCTCTTGACCGAAGAAGTGGAGATTGCTCCTAGTGTGGCTTTCTGAGTTTGTGCGTCTTAAGCATGTCTGCTGAAATTAGTCTTTGAAACTGCAATAAATCATGAGCCGTGTCCAAGTTTGGGTAGGAGATATATATGCTGGTGTGTCATATGCATGTTTGCAGGTCCGGCTTATAGGCCAAGCATGTGAAGCAAAGGATTAGGGCATCAAAATTTTGGGGGCATTTTTTAGGCCAATTTTCTTAAAGTTTTATATATATAAATTATATTATAAACCTCTTTTTAAAAAGATCAATATTTTGGTGGGCTTCTTTTAATCATATTCGTGGGGTTTAACTTAACAAAATATAATTTTGTCTATAATCTACTCTTTTTCTAAGATAATTTTTTGATAAATACGTGAATTTTATTAAAAATAAAGTTTTTATTTTATTTTTTTCCAGCAAATGAAGAGTTAATTTACAAAAGAGTTTTAATAGTTTAGGATCAATTAACCTTACTAAATAAATGTAAAAGATAAAGTAAATTAACAAGTGAGCATAGGTTAAAAAAATTTTTGTATAAAAATGGAAAAAAAGGTATGCTTTTCTTAATTTACGTAGGGCATCCGAAAACGTTGGACCGGCCCTGCATGTTTGTATTCAATAAATAATGAGATGTGTTCCATATGTGTTGATGAAATGAAAGCGCTAGCTCTACTTTGTGTGTATATAATGTTTGCTATTACTTCTTTTGTATCAAAATAAAAGATTTTAAGGTTTTCGCAAATAGATTAGGAAATAATTTTTTTTTTTGTATTTATTACTCCTTTTGTATCAAAATAAACCATTATTTATTATCTACCTAAACACAATTTAACCAGTAACAAAATAAATGAAATAATACAATTAATCATAATTAAGACATAAAAAAAATGTTTTAAGAATATAAAAAATCACTTAATGAAACAAATATTTTTGCTCAAACATAACTTACTGTGATACGGAAAGAGTATTATAAAACATGTGTTTTTAACAAAATATTTCTACCACATACATTAAAGAACCCTGTCGTATCCTATGGAGATGTAATGAAGCATTATACCAAAAGAGAACAGAATCTAATGAAGCAAAGTCCTCATAAAGTATTGATTAAATAAATAGTGTGAATAATATAGAAGGTAAAATATAGTGCGTTAAGATTAATATTTTTATTTATCTTTTATTAAAAAAAAAAGTTAATATTTATCAACCAATCTATAATTCTACAGCTGAGTCATACTGATGTGATCCCGGATCACATGAAACGCAAGTAATCATGAAATTATTATAATGAATAAAAAATTTCTTTTTTCTAAGGTTGCTCTACCATTCCTCTACAAATAGAAATTCAGAAGAGAACTCAGTAACACACTCCTTTCTCAAAACCCTTTTTTCTCAAGATAAGCAGATCGAAAGTACAAAGAATGGCAAAAACCAAGGCTTCTAGTTTGGTGGGGAAGCTTGAGACAGACGTGGAGATCAAAGTTTCAGCTGGAAAATTTCATAACATGTTCGTGGAGAAACCACACCATGTCTCCAAAGCAACTCCAGGCCACATTCAGAACTGTGAACTGCATGAAGGCGAATGGGGCAAAGTCGGCTCTGTCGTCATCTGGAACTACGTTCATGGCAAGTCAAATTTATACACATTTTTAAGTATAGGTGGATTCTAAACCAAAATTAATTAAGACTAATTTTCGAGGTAAGCAACCGTCTAAATTCTGTAGTTTCAAAAGATCGACGTGTCTTAGGTAAGTTGATTAGACTCACTAAACTACTCTTACTATCACTTAATTTTTTTTGCTTAAATAACTAGAGAATTCTAAACCAAAAACCAAAAAAAATAAGTATACCGGAAAACAAATCTTTACATAGATATCCTCGACAATAATATCATGATGTTTTTAAACTGAAACTTGTTTTGATTGTCAAACCTACATAAATGTAATGTTAAATAATTGGTGTAGATGGGGTGGCAAAGGTGGCAAAGGAGAGGATCGAGGCGTTGGAGCCGGAGAAGAACTTGATCACGTTTAGAGTTCTAGATGGTGATCTGATGAAAGAGTATAAAAGCTTTGTGATCACAATCCAAGTGACCCCTAAGCATGGAGGATCAGGGAGTATTGCGCACTGGCACCTTGAGTATGAGAAAATTAGCGAGGAGGTGGCTCACCCTGAGACTCTTCTCCAATTCTGTGTCGATATGTCCAAAGGGATCGATGAATATCTCTTGACCGAAGAAGTGTGAATTGCTCCTCGTGTGGCTTTGTTACGTCTTAAGCATAAATGCTTAAGCTAGTTTGTGAAATTGCAATAAATCATGAGCTTTGTCCGAGTTTGGGTAAGAGATATATGTCGGTGTGTGTTTGTAATTTTGTATGCAATGAATAAGCTGTGTTCCATGTATGTTAGTGATGAAATGAAAGCGCTCTAATTAAATATGTGTATGATGTTTGTTATTAATAAAACTAAAAAGCATCTGATATATGATTTGATAAACCCTTTCGTATCATTTTTTATGGAGATTAAATGAAGCATTTATACCAAGAGAAAAAATATACTTATGTAACGAACGATAGTCATCACAAATTATGGATCAAATAAAGATTTTGTCAACTAAATAATGCGAATAAGAGATTGTGTCTTAAGATTATCAATCATTGCATCAACTAAAATAATGTGATTATTGCATATAATATAATAATCAAAGTAGAATTATAGGCATAGATTATGAAAATAAAAGTGTACAAGTGATAAATGAGGTTTTAGTTGTTTAATCATTCATTTTTATTTATAATATTGTTAGATTAAATTCTAAGGTTTTTAATATTTTTAATGTCAGTATATATTTCTGCCTTTTACGGAATTTAGATGACACTAAGAAAAAACATAAAATAGTATTTTTAATCATATTTATCGAATATCTGTATAATATTTCTACACAAAAATTAAGAAAACACGTAATTTTCATTTAATTTATCTCTTTAACATAAAAACATACTGTAAATATGATTAGTCAAAAAAAAAATATTTAGTTTTTGCATAAAAAATGGAAACATCACTTGAAATAAAAAAAAATTTCCCTAAAACATTACTTAAAGTTATGGGTGTTAAAATGAGCTAGCAACTCATGAGTTGGCTCAGCTCAGCTCGATTTTTCATGAGCACGAGCTCTGGTTTTTAGGCTCATTTAAAAATGAGTTATGTGATCGAGCTTTTTTTAGATCGCGAGTTATATGAGCGAGCTTTAATGAACATGAGCTAGTTCATGAGCTCGGCTTTTTTAGAAATATATATATATTGTAAATATATACAAAATGTCAACAGAAGCATATATATCTTTTCCATTTAAATTAAACAAAACTAGAGTTATTCTATTAGAAAGTTTGTGTTTTGAGATTATTTTTTTCTTGGATTTATTTCCATTATTTAACTTTAGAATTAATTATGTTATTGGATTTATTTTAAATTTTTTTAAAAAAATTTACAATATTTTTGTTATTATATTTATTTGTTATGAGCTCGCGAGCTAGCTCATTTAACTCACGACTAAGATGATCTGAGTCCGAGTTTATATATTAAAGCTCATCTAATAAATGAGCTGAGCTGAACTAGCTCATGAAATGCCCGAGTTCATCATGAGCTGAGCTGAATTGAGCGAGCTAGCTCATTTTGACACCTCTAGTGATACGGTGGGACTCGTAACATAATTAATAAATATCTCAATATATATTTTCAAATTTAGCGTGAACCATACTTTACTGTCATTTTATTCAAATCGTAAGTTTTTTAACGTTGCCTTAATGGTAACATTAATTATATGTTTAAGAATAATACTAGAAATAAATGTCAGCAAGACAGCAACTACCTGCTACCACTAAACAAAATCATATATTCAAGCGGAGACTTTGAATCAGAGAAAACAAAAGTTATAATTCAAATAATTGAAGATTAGATAATTTGATGAACAATTGAAATAATTCTACGGCTGAGTCATAATGATGGGATTGGAATCACATGAAACACAACTAGTCATGAAATTATTTTAATGAATAAAATTCTTAATTTCTTCGACGGTTGCTCAACCATTCCACTACATATATACCCTAAAGAACTCAGTAGAGAACTCACTCCTCTCTCAAAACCCCAATTGTTCCCAAGATAATTAAGCAGATCAGAGGTAGAAATGGCAAAAACTGAAGCTCCTAGTTTGGTAGGGAAGCTAGAGACAGAAGTGGAGATCAAAGCTTCTGCTGGAAAGTTTCATCACATGTTTGCCGGGAAGCCACACCATGTCTCCAAAGCAAGTCCAGGCAACATTCAGAGCTGTGATCTGCACGAAGGCGACTGGGGCACTGTCGGCTCTATCGTCTTCTGGAATTACGTTCACGGTAAGCCAACCTTCTACACTTCTTTTTTCTTTTTTTTGCCTCAGGTGAATTTTTTTTCTATAATATATTTTTGAACTTAATTACTTTCAAATTAAACTCGAAGTCAGACTTATAAATTATAAAATAATTGATGCAGATGGGGAGGCAAAGGTGGCGAAGGAGAGAATCGAGGCGGTGGAGCCAGAGAAGAACTTGATCACATTCAGGGTTATAGAAGGTGATCTAATGAAAGAGTACAAGAGCTTTGTGATCACGATCCAGGTGACCCCTAAGCATGGAGGGTCTGGAAGTATTGTCCACTGGCACCTTGAATATGAGAAAATCAGCGACGAGGTAGCTCATCCTGAAACTCTCCTCCAGTTTTGTGTCGAGGTCTCCAAAGAGATCGACGAACATCTCTTATCCGAGGAAGAAGAGGTGAAGACAACAGAGACGCTTGAGACAGAGGTGGAGATCAAAGCTTCCGCTCAGAAGTTCCATCACATGTTCGCCGGGAAACCACACCATGTCTCCAAAGCAACTCCAGATAAGATTCAGAGCTGTGATCTGCACGAAGGTGACTGGGGCACAGTCGGCTCTGTCGTCTTCTGGAACTATATTCATGGCAAGCCAACGTTATATACGTGTTGTTCATTTATAAACATGTCTCAAAGTAAAATCTATATATATTAAATGTTAAATAATTTTTTCAGATGGGGAGGCAAAGGTGGCAAAGGAGAGGATCGAGGCGGTGGATCCAGAGAAGAACTTGATCACGTTCAGGGTTATAGAAGGTGATCTGATGAAAGAGTACAAGAGCTTCGTGATAACAATCCAAGTGACTCCTAAGCATGGAGGTTCAGGGAGTGTGGTGCATTGGCACTTCGAGTACGAGAAAATAAACGAGGAGGTGGCTCATCCTGAGACTCTCCTCCAGTTTGCCGTAGAAATCTCCAAAGAAATCGACGAACATCTCTTGGCCGAGGAATAGAGGAGAATACTCCTCGTGTGACTAAATATCCTATCCGTACATGTGTGATTGAAGAATGCCGATTAAAATCACTCTTTGAATGTGGAAAAAAATAAAGAGTTGTGTTGGATATATGAGAATGTTGTATGTTTTTAAAGTGCTATACTCTATTGTGTTTTGTTTGTTTAATAAATTGTCTAATATATGTTTTTTATAACCAAATCTTATTATATAAAGTATATGATATATTGTATAAGGATAAATAAGCGTCGTCTTTCCCTTTAAAGGCCCAGTTTGTCATCAATCCATTAGAAAAAGTGGTAAAGAACCGTACCAATAAATTAAGTAACAAGATCAGTCCATTTGAGAACACATAATTAATTAGTTCCCTATATATGCTTCTAATTGGAGTGATGCAAATAGAAGAAAGATTGTAATTGTATCATGGGACTCGAACCAGCATTCAACTGTTACACTGCAGGACAGTTTTTCAACTAAGGAAACAGATTATCAAGTTCTCAACTCTGCAAAAAATCGTTTTCCATATATCGTTAGATCATATATTTCTAAGAAATTTTGAATTTGGGAATAAAAAGCTAAGAATATAAAGTTAAGAATATAATTTAAATCTTAACAACTACCTGTTGCCGATAATAAATAGTATATATCTGAGTAGAGACAAACGAATGTAGCGTAGCGAATTGTGTGATTAATGAATATATTCGTTAATGAACGATGCAAAATCTGCAGATGAGTCATAATGATGGGTTTAGGGATCACATGGAACACATGTATACACTACTAAACATAAAATTATTTTAATGAAGACGAATTTTTAATGTGAAACCGTCTAAATAAGTAGCAAAAAAAAAAAAAAGGATTTGTCTATCCTAATTGATCTTATATGCTTATAATATGTTTTTGTACTATATGCTTATATTGAGGCATGCTGATTAATTTTACTCTTTGAAACTGCAATAAATAATGAGCTGTGTTCGTTATGTGTGAGAGTGATAATATGTGATAAAAGTGCAATACTCTAAATGTATGTATCTGTTTTCTTTGTTTAAGTTTATAATGTTATTTTTTCATAAATAAAAAGCATATGATATATATTTCAATTTGGATATATAAGCGTACGTCGTCTATCCTTTTATTTTTGCTTAAATATTTTAATGTTGAAATTGCAAAAATAAATAAGATATACATAAGCCCTTTTAAAAGGCCCAGTTTGGAATCTATACATTGCAAAAAGTTGTAACAAGATCGTTAATCTAACCAAACAGTTGGAATAAGTTACATTCAAATTAACTATAGCAGAAATTAGTTTGGGCCGCACAAACCTTGAATTTTCTTCATCAAGAGATTGTTTCATTTCAATCCAGAGATGTTATCTAAAAAAGCATATCAATTTTATGAAAATAATAGTGTAGAATTGTAACACCCCGGTTTCAGGAATATGGTGGTACATGCAGAGAGGTTTATAAGAATTGATTTGGCCACTTATGTCACTAAAGTGCACTTATCTTTTCGGTCAACCGTCCTGAGAGAACTCCACAGTTAAGCGTGTTTGGGCTGGAGTAGTTTCAGGATGGGTGACCTTCCGGGAAGTGATTATCGGAACTGTGTGAGTGAGGACAAAATACAGGGAAAAATCATGTGGTGATTTGTAGGGTCGGTAAACAAGTCTTTAAAACCTCCCAGACGTAGCGGACTGGCCGTCGGACATGGGTAGGCTCATGGACCCTAGAGAGGACGTGGGGCCCACTGGTAGGGACGGTCGGGCGTTACAACAATACAAGACTACAAAGTGATAAATGAGGTTTTTGGTTCTTTAACTTTACAAGATTTAATTACTAAATTCACAGATAAATTAAATTGCATGTTTCAAAATATTTTATGTCAATATGTATATCTATCCAACATATATATATATATATATATATATATATATTAATGGATTTTAGATACAAATAATGCAAAAAAAAACATATATTGATTTTAAACATATTTATCCAAGAACTTTTTTGGTTGAAGCATATTTATCCGATATCATAGTTAATGATTGTTATTTTTTTTTGCATAATAAGAACTAACGTGCCTTCATGAACGAACGACATGCATGCTCTCTGAAGGATCAACAACACTACATGCCAATAACAAATATGTCAAAACGAGAATTTGCGGAAGGAACAAAACCTGAACCGCGTTATATTGAATGATCTCTTGATAATTTATATGAACAAAACATAATTGAACCCTTATCCATTACAAAAATTCAGTAGGTGAGACAAAATAATGGAGTCATGATCAGAAGGGCCGGGATACAAAATTGCAATTAATAATTATTTGTTTTCTTCTTCAGCCTTTAAGCACTCAATCCTCTACAAAACGAGGCTAAAGAACTCAAAAGAAACTCATCTTCTCTCGAAATCCTCTTAATTACTTTAACAAAGAGAAAAAAAATGGCGACTAAAATGGCCGGGGCTGCAATGAATCCAGCAAAGAGAGAGGCCTCAAGTTTGTGTGGGAAGCTAGAGACAGATGTTGAAATCAAAGCTTCAGCTGGGAAGTTCCATCACATGTTTGCTGGGAGACCACACCATGTCTCCAAAGCAACTCCAGGGAAAATTCAGGGCTGTGAGCTTCATGAAGGCGAATGGGGCAAAGTCGGCTCTATAGTCTTCTGGAATTATGTTCATGGCAAGTCAAAGTTATAATATTTATAACTGCATAGAATAGGTTCTTAAAACTTCATATTTATATCGACGGAAAACTTACCAGAAATGCATACTTGATGCATGTGAACTAGTTAGTGTCACAAATCGTCGTTTCCCCATTTTATAGAGAAAAAAAACATTAATCTGATTCTAACAATCAAATCCACATATATGAAATGAGAACATTTTAGATTAAATTATAAGCTTAATTATTATATGTTTTGAACTAATATTCATACTGATTCTTGGATCCAAACATATATATTTGGTGCAGATGGAGAGGCAAAGGTGGCAAAAGAGAGGATTGAGGCAGTGGAGCCGGAGAAAAACCTCATCACTTTTAGGGTGATAGAGGGAGACTTATTAAAAGAGTATAAGAGCTTTGTGATCACAATCCAAGTGACTCTTAAAAGAGGAGGACCTGGGAGTGTGGTGCACTGGCACGTCGAGTATGAGAAAATTGACGACAAAGTGGCTCACCCTGAGACCTTCCTTGATTTCTGTGTCCAAGTCTCCAAAGAGATCGATGAACATCTCCTGAACGAGGAATAGAGAGTACTCTTTAATTGAGTATCTATCCAATAATGTGTATATGTCAGTTATGAAGCACGCATGTTCTTGTGTATGATACAATAAACAAGGAGCGTAGCCCAATATATGTGAGTGATATAGAAAAGAGTTGTACTCTAGATGTGTGTATGTCATGTTTGGTTTTAATAAAAGCTTATGTGTTTGTGGATATACCAAGGCTGGTCTCTCTCCTATCATGAATGTTAGAATCATGCATTCTTTGCTACCTTGTTTGAGACTCTTGTATTAGCGAGTTCTGTGAGCTTCATGTAACAAAAACGCGTTATTCTCATTAATAAAGCATATTAATATGTAAAACAGAGTTAGAATCAATATTTAATCAGCCAAATTAGACATAAGAAGGCGAAAAGATAACTAAAATCAAACAAAATAAAAAGAAAAAAAATCAGAATAATCATAAGATTATAAAGTCATTATGCTATGAGTATGAATACTACGTACTTGACTAAAGTTAGAAAGATGGCAGTTCTTCTTTCTCGGGAAAAGCAGATCTTAAATAATTGTAGATGATCTTAACCCTACCTATTGTCTCTGAAGATAAACGTGTGATAATGTGTTATTCAACTTCTCAATAGAGCATCCATTGATTTTTAAGAGAAAGCTTTTACAATTTTCAAAAGTTATATGAGTGTCGGGAAAAGTGTTGTCTACCGTCATATCAACACCTAACTAGTCTACCAAAAAAAAGTGAGCATGAAGGAAATGATCTAAAATGGCATTTTGGTACTCACGTAACCTTAATTTCGATCACTATTACTTTCACAATTATTAGACTCTTGTTATAAATAAGTATTTATTTTATGGTAGATATAAATATAAATACAAAAATATCGGACTACCGAAATAAAGAAAGACGAAAAAGATTTTTTATTATTATTTATTTCGTAAATGAAGTTGTGAATTATGGATTACATCGATCGAATTTGATTGTTATATAGACATAAAAAGTAAATTAATATAAGTGCATAATAACAGTAGACTCCGCACAAAATAAAATTTAACCCATAATGTTTAACATGAAAAATTGTTGACTTTGTTTTACCTCCTTTTATTATTTTCCCAATAGACAAAAAGTTGTTATTGTTATAAATAATTACTTTATTTTATGGTGTATATAAATCTATATATAATAGCAATCTAATAAATACCATTTGCACATTTGAATGGTTGCGTCTTTTTATTGCAATTTTTCGTTTAAATTGGTTATTTTTTTACGGTTATTTTGGTTGCGTCTTTTTATCGCAATTTTCGTTTTAATCGGTTATTTTTTTACGATTATGTCGTTTCCAATAAATACCATATACACATCTGAACGGTTGCATCTTTTTATTGTAACTTTTCGTTTAAATATTTATGGTTACTTTCGGTTGTGTTTTTATCACAACTCTTCGTTAAAATATTGACGGTTACTTTTTTATTGACGGTTATTTTTCGGTTGTGTTATTGTAATATTTAAAATATTAGCGGTTAGTTTTTTCGTTTGTGTCTTTTTATCAAAATATTCTGTTAAAATATTGACGGTTATTTTTTTTTCGGTTGTATCTTTTTATCGCAACTTTTCGTTAAAATATTGACAGTTATTTTTCTCGGTTGTGTCTTTTTATCTCAACTTTCCGTTAAAATAGTGACGGTTATTTTTCACGGTTAAGTCTTTTTATCGCAACTCTTCGTTAAAATATTGACGGTTACTTTTTTTGTTGACGGTTATTTTTCGGTTGTATATTTTTTATCGCAACTTTTCGTTAAAATATTGACGGTTACTTTATATATTTGTGTCTTTTTATCATAAGTTTCTGTTAAAATATTGACGGTTATTTTTTCTTGGTTGTGTTTTTTTGATCGCAACTCGTCGTTAAAATAACTACGGTTACTTTTTTCGTTGACGGTTATTTTTTTGTTGTGTCTTTTTATCGTAACTTTCCGCTAAAATATTGACGGTTACTTTTTTGTTTGTGTCTTTCTATCATAACTTTCCGTTAAAATATTGACGGTTATTTTTTCTCGGTTGTGTCTTTTTGATCGGAACTCTTCGTTAAAATAATTTCTTCGTCAATAGTTCTTTTTTGGTTGTGTCTTTTTATCGTAAATTTCCGTTAAAAATATTGACGATTACTTTTTTCGGTTATGTCTTTCTATCGTAACTTTCCGTTAAAATATTGACGGTTATTTTTCTCGGTTGTATTTTTTTATCGAAACTTTCCGTTAAAATATTGACAGTTATTTTCTCGGTTGTATCTTTTTATCGCAACTCTTCGTTAAAATATTGACCGTCATTTTTTTTCGGTGATGGTTCTTTTTTCGGTTGTGTCTTTTTATCGCAACTTTCCGTTAAAATATTGACTGTAACTTTTTTTCGTTTGTGTTTTTTTTATCGGTATTTTGCGTTAAAATATTGACGGTTATTTTTTCTAAGTTGTATTTTTTAAAATCGCATCTTTTCATTGAAATAATGACGGTTATTTTTGTGAGACAGTTCTATTTTTTCAATTATAGTCATATTTTTTTTCAGTTTACTGTTGTATCTTTATAGTTGCATATACGTTTCTTCACTATATTTCATTGCATTTTTTTATCACAATTTTTTGTATGAATAATTATCTATTTAAATGTTCGTGACTTCTGAACTCTAAATAATTGTCTTTCTTTCTAAGTAGTTCCCAAATTTTTGTTCTTTAACATAGATTATTTGTTTCATGATGAATAAAAAAATACAAATCTGTAAAATGGCTCTAAATTCTTAATTCTCTAAACTATTTCTAAACATAAATCATTTTAATATTAAAAAAATTCTTCCGATTTTAGATTTAACCAAAGTTTTTTGGAATGATTATAAAAAGAGAGAAGTTTGAATCAACTTTAAATATAAAATTCTAATGAAGATACCGACAATTTTGTTCTTAGAATTGGACTGAGTATACAGTAGCTTTTTTTATTTAGCTATTTTATATGAAAACAATAATGTTTTTTTTTTTATCTTAAAGCAATATATATGGGTTGTATACAACGAAATATTGATTCTGATTTAGCACTATTACAAAGTTCGAATATCAGAAGACATCCTCATGTGAAGCTTGTGATTAGGCGCTTTAAATGTGGTAAGCGTCAAATAAACAGTTTCAAATAGTATAGTAATTCATAAATCATCTTCATTATTAGGAATAAAGCAATGATTCCAATTCGTCACATGAATGTTCAAGGAAGAAGTTTTTTTACTCAGTTAACTAATCAATACAAATATAAATTTATGAGATTGTGTAAATGTTTATTTGTTTGTTATAGATGTAATTTACGTCATCAAATTTTATATCTTCTCGAATATATATAATAAAATAAATATTAATTTTATATTTAAAGAACAGTGGACAAACAAATAACACCAATTCTTAGGCGTTCTTAGTCACCCACAAGTCGTGCTAAGTACTGATTCCATCCGAATTTTTTGGTTTTGACCCGCTAGAATTTCTTATCTCTATATTATAACTCTTTTTTATGTATATTGTCACTTATAAATAATTTTACATTTATAAAAGTTGTTTCAAAAGTGTTTTTAATCATAATTCTTCTTTTTACATTTTTATTCGTAAATTATTTTAACATCTTTGGAAAATATTTACGACATAGCTTAAAAATATAGTTAATTTTATGTAATAATTCAACTTTTTGAATATATTATCATAATAATTTAATACATAAACACAATCAAATATATTTGTTAAAAATGAGTTCCCCCGCGACATCGCGGGGGTTCATAACCTAGTATAAATAATAGAGAAAGAATTTATACCCGCATAAAAATTGGGATACTGAAACAAAACGAAAACACCACTAGCTACAATAAATGTATCTGAGCATATATATATAAACGTTAACAGAGAAAAGAGCGACGTGAAAGGACGCAAATAATTCAGTGTTATTTTCTTGGTTAATAGTTACTCACTTAATTAATTCTATATTATGTGAAGCTTTACAAAACAGAAAGGACTTCATACAAAAAAATCTTAAATACACATTTAAAAGAAGAGTTTTTTAGGTGGAAATCTTACTGAATCGTTATGGGTCACAATAATGGGATTGTGAAATCACAATTAAACCAGTGTCATCTACTTCTAGAGATGCTCACTCATTCCTCTATATATAGGGCTATCCAAGTCCTAAGGGAATTCACTCTCTACCAAAAACAAAAATCTCACCCTCCTCAAGAAAATCAAACCAGCCGTTAGAAAAATGGCGGATGTAGCTACAAAGACATCCGTGGAAGATGAGGTGAAGAAAACAGAGCCGTCTAGTTTGTTGGGGAAGCTAGAAACAGACGTGGAGATCAAGGCTTCGGCTGATAAGTTTCATCACATGTTCGCTGGGAAACCACACCATGTCTCCAAAGCAAGTCCAGGCAACATTCAAAGCTGTGATCTGCACGAAGGCGACTGGGGCACAGTTGGCTCTATCATCTTCTGGAACTACGTTCATGGCAAGTCAATGTTATATTCATCTTTTTTCATATATAAATAACTAACCAGGAGATCATTTTAAATTAAGCCTATAAATATGATATGGTAAATAATTGGTTTAGATGGGGAGGCAAAGGTGGCTAAGGAGAGAATCGAGGCGGTGGAGCCGGAGAAGAACTTGATCACGTTTAGGGTTATAGACGGTGATCTGATGAAAGAGTACAAGAGCTTCTTGCTCACGATCCAGGTGACCCCCAAGCCTGGCGGGCCTGGAAGTATTGTGCATTGGCACCTTGAGTATGAGAAGATTAGCGACGAGGTAGCTCATCCCGAGACTCTTCTTCAATTCTGTGTCGAAGTGTCCAAAGAGATCGACGAACATCTCTTGGCTGAGGAAGAAGAGGTGAAGACAACAGAGACGCCTAGTTTGGTGGGGAAGCTAGAGACAGACGTGGAGATCAAATCTTCAGCTGAGAAGTTCCATCACATGTTCGCGGGAAAACCACATCATGTCTCTAAAGCATCTCCAGGAAACATTCAAGGCTGTGATCTGCACGAAGGCGACTGGGGCAAAGTCGGCTCTATCGTCTTTTGGAACTATGTTCATGGCAAGTCAATGTTATATAAATTTCTTGTTCATAAATAATATGTCTCAAAATTAAACATATAATATCAAATGTTAAATAATTGGTGCAGATGGGGAGGCAAAGGTGGCTAAGGAGAGGATCGAGGCGGTTGAGCCGGATAAGAACTTGATCACGTTTAGAGTTATCGACGGTGATCTGATGAAAGAGTACAAGAGCTTTGTGATCACGATCCAGGTGACCCCTAAACATGGAGGACTTGGAAGTATTGTGCATTGGCACCTTGAGTATGAGAAAATTAGCGAGGAGGTGGCTCATCCCGAAACTCTCCTCCAATTCTGTGTCGAGGTCTCCAAAGAGATCGACGAACATCTATTGGCCGAGGAATAGAGGACAGTACTCTTCGTGTTTGAATTTAAATGCAATAAATAAGGACTAAGAGCCATGTGTGAGATAGATAAATGTGAGTGTGTATACTAAGATCGTTTTACCTTGGCTATGATAAAGCTACTACAAATATATATATGTTTGTTTGCTAATATATAATATATGCTTGGATTGGATTAGCGAAGCCATATGTTTATGCTTTCATGATTTATAGTAAAGATAAGAAAAACATGTTGATCGACGAAATCAACATTTGTATATTGTAACATGTTATATGCAGAGGGGGAATTCAAAATTCAACTTATTCATGATGTGGGGGATCTGTTATACCAATTACTTACCTTGACATTATTATGGTCCCGCAAATATATCCCATCATGTTTCAATCATTTTTTGATATGCATCATGTTTCAATCATATCTACGGAATACTTTACGTTAATGTTGATCAGATAAGGAAATCCTTATCAGTGATCATGCATGTTACAAGAGATGATTTTTACTTTTTTAGTATTTTAAATTCATATTTTTAGCAAATCCTTTAGACCATCCACATTGATAAATCTTTTAAAAGTGTCTTTAAATATAATTTAATATTAAATTTAGTATTATTGAATCCAAGCATTCTCATCTTAGGAAAAAAGAAGACACTGTATATTACCTGTGAGAAAAATGTCTACCCAAAGACACGTTCTCTACTATTCACTCTGTTTTATTTTAACATTTATTATATTTAATGTTAAAGACACCTGTTATTTATGCAATGCGGATACTCTTAACAACAAAAAGAAGATGATATAATTGTTTAGAGTAAGATTTTTAGGCTGTGTTTGGTAATAGCCTAATACAGATAATAGATTTAATTAATTGTTTAGACAATTTTTTATGTCAATGTCATATGATGTTATATACTGATATCTAATAAATTTGATGTTAGTTTTTGTCTTTTTGAAATGTTTTTGTTTCTTAAAAATTTGTGAAATAACTTAATTCTTTACTTTCTTCCCAATATTTTTTTTTTTATGTAAATAATTAAGCTTTAAATACGTAGACAGAAAATTGGGTGAGCAACTGAGCATTTAAGATAGGACATAATGGAAGATCAATTTTAAATAAAATATTGAATATTTTGTTATTAAAAATTCTTTGAATTGCGGAATCAGACTTAGAGGGGTACGTTACTGAAATTCCATTGAAGCCATGAATCTTAAAGTGTAACTGGTTAGAAGGCTTTTTTTTTTTTTTTTCTTTTTCAGTTTTACATTCATGTGGAAAGTTTGGATTTGAGTTTCGGTCGAAGCAGTTTACCTTATAGTTCGATAACAAGCGATCTAGTTATCCCAGACATTAGTTGGAAAACATTTTAAATTCAGAATAAGCAGTGTTGTGACATTTTTAGTAAAAATCTACTCTATAACACTTCAATGCATTTCTATAGAGACTGACCGGATTAGCTGGTAGCCGATAGAATTTATATAAAAAAAAGGTTTTGGTTTTAATTATTTTAAAATTTGTGACAGTTACCTTATGGTCACTTGGAAAAATCATAATAGAGAATCGGTGAGAAAAGAATGCATAAATTTGGTTTCTATGAAGAAGAGTGTTTTGATACCACACTAGTCTAGTTTTACTGGAATATACTCCCTCTGTTCTTTTATAAGTGATGATTTAGGAGAATTTACATAGATTAATTAAGAAATCATTTAATTTTTGTTTATTTCTAAACTTTAACATCATTTATTATCTAATCAACCAATAAAAAATCAATCTACAAAATATAAATCGTCAAAACCAATAAAAAGTAATTAATTTTGTATTGAAATTAAAAACATCATCTATTTAAGAACAAAATTAAAAGCTTAAAACATCACTTATAAAAGAACGGAGAGAGTATTCTTTATGATTTTTGGGCCATTCTCCATCTATACATAATAGTTTGGTTGGTATGATTACTCGAAAGAAAATTTGGATTTATTTCTTAAAGAACAAAAGAATGGAAGAATTTCGTTGGGAATAAAAGTAGTACATATGTCAAACATCTCAGGACTAATAATGGATTTGAATAAGGCAACAACCTCTTTGATGATATGTGTAAATTAGTTAGAATCTAGACATAAGATATTTCTTTACATACATACATTCATCAACAAAAAAGATTATCTGGGATAGAGAATTGAACTATCATAAACAAAATCTCAATATAAAAATGGGCTGTATGTAGTCGCTTTATAGTCGTTTAACTCATATCACTATGTATTTTCAGCCTATGCCCAATTAACCATGTATTTTTTTTTCTTAGTTCTACTCAATCTATATAATTCTTTGGTGGAGAGTGTTGTTCATTGCAGTTTACTTGATAAATATTCTGATATGACCTTGAGTTGAAGTATAAGAAACATAGGCTTATCTACTTATCATCAAATAATTTTGAGCTGAAAATTCATCAAACTTAACATAATATAGAGCTCAAACACATATTACCTCAACTAACCAATTAGTTCGGGCGATCTAACCAAAGATTATCTCACATTGGCAATGTGATGGATCATTAGCAATAGACATGGTCCTTCTTCTATTCACTACCAATTGAATTTTCAACAATTTCACCAAAACGTTTATATCTAGAAAAGAGCTTTCTGACTGGGTACAATCCCCTAAATATCTCATGATCCTCAATAATTTTACTGTATAATTCATAGTCATAAGCAAGACTTAGAACGAGAAAGACTGAAACGCGATAATTGTTCTCAAAGAGTATCAAAACCTGGTACACGCAAAAAAAAAAAAAAAACTTTATTTACATATAACTTAAGATACAGTACGTAGCAGCAATTCATGTTGTGTTTTAATTACAAATTTCACATTTAATTAAGAACCTTCAAGATTGTCCTCCGATGTAATTGTCGAAGTCACTTAGATCCAGGAATCTAGCAATCCCACTAGCTTCAAGAAACCTGATCAACCACACATAAATTCAACTTTATCATCAAATGCTTACTTATATTTATTCATGAACTAGACTTAAATATAAAAATTTACTGGTCTCTGAAGACTCTTGTCATGGAGAGACATCCACCAGGAAGCATTGATTGCATATTAAGTGCGATGTTAGGGTTATGAATACTCTGCCTCATATGCACCCAACCATACTCTTCCCCACTCTCTTCATCACTCACTCTTGCCCTGAATTATTCTCGATTATTAATTCGAATTCGATCATGTACTATCATATAATATAAAGTATCTGTGAGCACATTTAGTTACCTGTACATGTGAGCATCAATGGCAGATGGATGATCATTTGAGTCCACCAAGCAACCTTCACTCACCCAACAATCCCCACACGTGCCTAATTCCCACCCTCTCAGTTTTCCTTCCTAGTAACCATTTTTATATGTTCCACAATTATAATTACCAAGTCTACAGCTACAGCCTAACCAATTGATATAGTTATAATACCTCGATGTATTGTCTGAAAGTCTCAATGGCTTCAATGCCATTTGCTTTGGCATCTCTTGGCTTTGATAAAATATTCAACCGCAACTCAACCGCTTCTAACGGCTCCTCAAGATCTTCGATAAGACTACCGATACCTTCATTTGATCCCGCGAGTCTCATTCTCACCATTTCAATTATGATCTTCACCACCATGTATGCACCTACAATTTGTCCCAAGCAAAACAAACATATGAATTCATCATCACTCGTTAATCAATTAAAGAGTTTTAATGAACTGACCATCATCCAAGAAGTGATTCTCCTTAACAGCACCATGTCCTGAAGTTTCCATCATGAGATGAGTCTCGATACCGTCTTTGTTCAGCTCTACTCCCTTGTCAATCACGTTTCTATACCCTACTCTATACAAACAATGCCTCCCTCCTCGCTCTGTTATAAACCTAGTTAGCCCCATACTCGTTCTTGCATCAGTCACTATTGTACTTCCTATACTCAAAACATTATATTATAAGTCACATTAGTTAATCAATCAAACATATGGATCATTAGTGTAACCCACCTGGATGTTCTTTAAGAACAATAGCTGACATAAGCGCAATGAGCTTATCACCGTTTATAGGATTTCCTCTGTTATCCACCACTCCACTCCTGTCAACATCCGTGTCAAACACAACCCCGAGATCCGCTGAGTTTTCAAGAACCGCGGCTCGGGTGTGTGACATTGCGATTTTGTTTTCCGGATTAGGAATGTGATTGGGGAACATCCCGTCTGGGTTTAGATAGAGCGAACCGAATGTATTGGCTCCTAACTTGTCTAGAACGTCCCACGTAAAGAACCCTCCTGACCCATTACCCGCATTCACAACTATCTAACATACACCAACCAAAAAAACGTCACAATTTTTCATCAAAAATCTCAAGACAGACAGAGAGAGAGAGAGCTAGTCTCTTGCCTGAAATCCTTTGAGAGGAGTGTCGTAGTGTTCAGGGTGATTTATTCTCTCTTTAATGATTTCTCTAAGGTGCTTAGAGTAAGCGCTCATGAAATCAACTTGCTTAGGTCGCCTTCTGATCAATGTAGAGACTTTAGTCTGCCTAGTAGCGTACTTTCGCGCAGCTAAATCGCATATCTTCTCCACTTCAGGAGACGTTAATCCTCCTCTCTTGGTAAAGAACTTGAGTCCGTTTCTTGTATACGGTAAATGAGAAGCTGTCATCTTCAAAACCACAACAACTAAACATGTTGGAAACAATAATCAATTCCATTTATTACCAATTGATTTTGAGTTGGAAAGTCCGTGAAACTTGACAAAAGACAAAGCTCTTTAAAATGGAAGCGTGTTACCATAATTGAAGCGTCGTATTCGAATGGAGAGAGTAACGTGCTCATGAAGCAAGCTGGAGTAGTAGCTAAACCCATGTCAAAAGCTAAACAACCTGCACGAGCTAAACCGGCAAACACGGCCGTGCTTAGCTTCCCACCGGAAACACGTGGATCCCGTCCGAGAGAAACCTTAATGACACCGTTTCCGTTACTCTCCGTTGCTGTAACCCATTCTCCAAAACTCTCTGCGATTGCTTCAACAGCTGCAGGCGTTAGGTCAACCGTTCGACCTTTCTCTCCTTCCAATGCGACTCCTCTCACGTCAGAACCGTTTTGCAACCGACGAATCTGGTCCATATCTTCGTCAAGACTGTTGGTTACTTCATCGAACTTAGTACCATTTGAAGATTTTGTCCTCAGGGGTTTAACGGAAGGAGAAGCTGGTGCAAATGTTATAAAATTCCGGTAGAATATTCCCGGTAAGGAAGAAAACAGAGTTGTTTTCGATATTACAGTTTTAGAAGCCATTAAAGATGATGTTGAAGTCGACGCCATAGCTTTTGAAGTAAATTAAAAACAGAGTTCTAAGTTTCAGACTTGAAGGCAGAGATCCAAATAAAAGAAACAAATATATTTGCAATCTTGTTTGTATCTATTAGAAGTGTTTTTCAAATTTGGGATTTGGAGATGGATAAGATTTTTGTAACTAGATGTAACCATAACCTTACGTTTGAATATCTCTGCAATTTCACATGTTTAACCACAAAAAAAAAATCCGCAAGCAAACTTCCAAGCTTATTAGATCTTTTTGGTTTTTCTTTTTCCACGTTTTTTTCTTCATCTGCAAACAAACAAAACTCGCGCGAAACTAAAACGGTTTCGGTTAAAACTAAAACCAAATATTTCAATTACAAAGCAGAGTAGTACTCTGTTCCACTTATTGTGACTTTTGTCTAAAACCCAAAACGAACTGAGATTTTTTTTATTACACACAGAGAGAGATATAGAATCGTAAAGATACTTCATCTCTGTTTCAAAGACCTCTAGAACCTGGAATTTCAATCCACTCAAGCTGAATCTCGACCTCGCCGCATTCGACATTCTTTAACAGAAGAATCATGTCCTGAACGATTTTGCCATTAATGGAGACGATACTGCTCGCTTCAGATAAACAATTGACTCTGGTGGGCACAACTCTCTTGATCTCTGTTCCATCTGGAAGTTCTTGCAAACCCATTTTGTGAACCTCTAGGAATGGTTTAATATCTATCTTTGCATCTCCCATCTTGTCGTGCGATGTGAATGTATCTTTATCATACACTATCTGACAAAAAACAACTACTTATTGTCAATTGGTTTTGAGTTGGAAATTCATGATTCTTCTTCCAAATCGAAAATCAAATGAGATAGAAGTACTCACCAAATTCACAGGTTCATCGGGATGTTTTAACGCAAGGGTCAATTCCTCGTTCCACTCAGGGTTGCAGTTATTTTCCACAGTACGCGTCTTTAGCTTCTGGTGCAATTCAAAGAATTCAATTAGAATGCATGCAAGATATTAAACATCCTAACATCGAAAACCCGATTTTCTCTCTATGTCTTAAACCGTTTAATCTATCAAAATCGTATACTAAAACTATCTATTGATTCATTTTTGTAGCATGAAATTAGTATTCTCTTGTTGTTTTCTTTTTGAAATCTATCATGCTTCTTGAAGGTCGATTTTTCGATAAACAGAGATATATATTTCAAGAACAGACACAGATTGAAATCAAGAAAAGACCAAATCAGATTAGAATCAGAGAGAGAGAGAGAAAAAAGACCTGTGATCCCATGGTTATGACGACAAAAGGGTCGCTGCTTAGAGTGTCTCGCTGAGCAAGATTGATCCCTCTCTTCACTCGGATTCTCAGAAGCCCTACAAGTTCCTCCATCTCAACCTCTTCCTCTGTTTTCTCTCTGTTTTTTTCTTCTCAATTTTTTGATCGATGTCCTTCTCGGCCTGACTCTTACTTTTTTTTATTCTCTCAAAAAGAATCACCGGCTCAAATTCAACGAAGACCACTTATTAAATTGGCTTATCAATTGACGAAAGAGCGAATAAAGAAACAAAAATAAAGACCATCTAAAATAGTACTACTATACAAGGTTTCTTTCCTGATTATTCTCATATAAGCGTTACTCTCACGAACTTCTTTGGATACTCTTTGGTGATAACATCTTTTTGATTCTTCTTTCTTTCTTTTTTTTCTGACAATTGGAGAAAGTTTTAAGTCGTTGACTTGATTTTCCAAGAAAAAACCAATACTTTCTCCGTTATAAATGGTCGTTTAAAGATTTTCCACACATTAAAAATTATTTAATTTAGTCGTTGACTTGATTTTCCAAGAAAAAACCAATACTTTCTCCGTTATAAATGGTCGTTTAAAGATTTTCCACACATTAAAAATTATTTAATTTTTTGTTTTACGTTTTATTAATACATTGTACAAATTTTTTCATTGCTTAATACATTACAATAATAGAAAAATCTTATCAAATGTCTACATTTAAAAATATATAATACGACATTTATCTTGAAACAAACTTTTTTCCCTAAGACTACACTTAATATAAAAACGGAGAGAGTAGTAGTAGTAGTCTGTTCTATTTATGAACTGAGATTTTCTTTTATCACACACATACAGAGAGATGGAGAATCATAAAGATATTTATCTCTGTTTTTTCAGAGTCCACTACCACCTGGATTTTTTAACCATTCAAGCTGGATCTCGATCTTGCCGCATTCGACATTCTTCAACACAAGAATCATGTCCTGAACGATCTTGCCGTTATCATAGACGATTCTGCTATCTTCAGCCAAGCAGTTGTCTCTGGTTGGTACAATTCTCTTGATCTCTGTTCCGTCTGGAAGTTGTTGCAAACCCATTTTGTGAATCTCTAGGAATGGTTTCATATCTATCTCCGCATCTCCCATCTTGTCGTCTGATGTGAATGTATCTTTATCATACACCATCTACAATCATACGAAAACAAAAACATATGCAACAAACCACTTATCGTCAGTTGGAAATTCAGGAGTCCAGTAGTTACTTGCATAAATCGGGTACTAGCTAGTACTCACCAGATTCACAGGTTCATTGGGATTTTCGATCGCAAGGGTCAACTCTTCGTTCCACTCTGGGTTGCAGTTATTTTTCACAGTAAAAGATTTCAGCTTCTGGTGCAATTCAAAGATTAACCAATTTTCAGTTGCAAAGTAACATCCTAGAAGCAAATTCATTTCTATATCTATCAAAATCAAACACTAAAGCTAACAATTGTTCTCATTCTGTAGCATGAAATGTAAAATCTTTTTAAATGATTTGTATTCATGTTTCGTCTTAAAAGGTGGATTCTTTGTTCTTCCATCTACGAAGAAAGTAAACAGAGAAATAATACATATCTCAAGAACAGAGTTGGAAACATCAAACAGATCAAAATTAGTGAACCAAGAGAACCAAATCAGATTACAATCAGAAAGAGAGAGAAAAAGACCTGTGATCCCATGGTTATGACGACAAAAGGGTCGCTGCTAAAAGCGTCTCGACGAGCAAGATTGATCCCTCTCTTCACTTGGATTCTCACAAGCCCTACCAGTTCCTTAATCTCAACTTCTTCCTCTGGTTTCTCCATTTTGCTTTCTGTTGAAGAGAAAGCACACCTGTTTCCTGTCTCTACTACTTTTCTTATTCACTTAAAAACAATCACCGACACAAATTCAACTTTGCCACTTAAATCAAAGAAAAGAAAAAAAAAAAGATCAATTCAAAAGGTCTCTTTTCCAGCTTCTTTGTCAACTATTCACTCACTTTAATTAGCATCTACGCGTTACTCACACGAATTTCTTCTAGATTCTATTCATAAGAAATATCTCCTGCATTCTCTTTTTCTGACATTGACAATCATGACTTTTCACAAAAAAGGTAACACGTTTAATTTTGTATACATACTGATAAAGATGAGCTAATTCTAACGTTAGAACCAAAGAAAAAATTGAAAGAAGTTCTAGAAATTCAGGGTTTGCTTTATTTCTTCAGTTAGTAGAAACAGATACAATATATATAAGGGTTGAGTTATTCGACATGTACAACTAAAGACCAAAGCAGAGCCTTTTTATCAATTTAAACTCTGATGAGACAAAGACAAACTCATCTTTGTCTTTCCATGAACAGAAAGAAAAAATACCATCACATCTTCACGGTCTCTGTTTGAACATTTCTGCGTCTTAGTCCAATCGTTTTGTCGGCATCCATGGTGTCTTCTTGGATCCTAAAAGAAACAATGCTCGCATGTTAATCACAATCATAGATATGCACAAGCACAACTTAAAAACCGAGGATTGTTAGCATACCTTCGCGTCCCAGACCCTTGCAGCCTGGACCGTCGGTCCACTCAAGCATGATCTCTACTTCCCCACACTCAACATTCTTTAGTCTAAGAATCATCTCTTGTTTGATCTTCCCATTGCTCCAAGTGATGCTGCTCTCTTCAGCTAAACAGTTGGTCCTGCCTGGACGGATCCTCTTGATTGCACAACCATTGGGGAGTTTCTGGAAGTCTAACTCCATCTGATGCGCTTCTAGGAACGGCCTAAAGTCTATTTCTGCATCACCCATTTTGTCATCTCCCGAGAATCTGTCTTTATCAAACACCGTCTGCATAAACAGAGCATAATATGAGCCAACGTCCATGGAAAGATACGTTTAGGGAGAAAGAAATGCATCAACAATGTGAAGCTAATAGCTTAGGCTTGCAATGGAGACCGTTGGAATAGTCACGAAAGCTTACCAGACGGATTGGATCATTCACATCTTTGATGGAAAGGGTCAGTTGTTCATTCCACACTGGATTACAGTTATTATTAATCACACGCGTCTTCAGTTTCTGAAGGAACAAATACACAAACATAAGGTTACATAGTACAAATAATGATAAAGAGGGCTTCACAAAGTACAACCATAGAGACACAATCATCTAGGCCAAGTCAATTATATCCATTTTCAATTTTCTATTAGATAACATTAACTTCCCACCCGTGACCCTTCAACAAGATTATGTAATTACATGCATCATTTGCTAGCTAGCTTTGGGAAATGACCCTTCAACAAGAGCCTAGACATCTATCTTTAATGCTCATTAGTTTTGAGAGATTACCGACCCTTCAACAAGATTATGCATGCATAGAGAATACTCGTCAGTTTTACAAAATTGGCCCTTCAAGAGATCTATCTTTTGCAACACCAGACTAATACCAGAATTTGTAATTTCAGAACATGACAAGATTATGCTTAGGATGTTTCGGAAAGTTTTGTTTTTTAGCAAAGAAAGACACAAAGCAAAGATCAAATTGAGATCTTTCCCACATGGATGGCCACCAAAACCATCACATGGTAATGATCAGTCCCTCACATTGTACCTCCTCCATGTGACTATAACTCTATAACATTCATAATCAACATTCGATTTGAGATCACTTAAGAATCAAAAAGGGTATGAACCAAACCTGATTAGCCAATGTGATAACAACATAAGGATCACTGGTGGTGGCATCACGAATAGCAAGATTAATCCCTCTTTTGACATGAACTCTGAGAATCCCTAATGGTTTATCTTCCATTGCTGCAAATTCCACCGACAAAGAAAGAAAAAGGAAGAGACTTTAAATATAAAGTTTAAAACTTTTTCCAGTGAATTGATGATATCGAAGAAACACAAATCCCCTTTTTGCCTGAATCTACCCAAAATAAGCGGGGATTTGATGAGATTTATAATTCGAAACGAGTTTGGATTATGCAAAAGTACGAGAAACATCGACGCTGATTCAACGCGGAGTTCCGAAAACAAACATCGACAGATCTATCCGTTGTTTACGGACAACCGCTGCTCCTTTACTTTCTTTCTTTAGAGTTGTCTCAATTCAAACATGTCGCCGATATCTTTATTTTCTTTTCTAGTCCCTAGACTTTCTATAAGTTTCAAGTTAAAAACGGTAATTACTGTTTAGACCCAAAGTTACCAAATACTATAAGTTTTATTCTTTTGTCGACAAACTCATTTCATTAGAGACTAATCAAATCAATTAACTGCATCTTAAGCAAGCCAAAAACTGTAAAAAGATATAGGTAATAGCACAAAAAGTAATTATAATTATATATTTTGAAAATATATGGTATACAATTTTTCACGTTTATTGATTTAAAGTATTAATCAAATTTTTACGTTCTGACATTTTGAAAAGTAATTATATTATATATAAGTTGAATATCTTTAAAATATAATTAGAAAATGTAGAAAATTCAGTTATTTCGTAAAAAATTGTTCAGTTAAAATATTTTTGGTATTCAATCATTTGACTTCTAATTGACATATCATTATAAAACTCATAAATGTGTTAACATTACCAAACAAAAATTGTTATAACTGTGAATTATGGGTTAAACATTCCATTTGATTATCTTAAAACTTTGAAAATTTAGCTTTATTACTCTTAGCTTCGTAGCAAAAAACTAATAATTGTATATAAAAATCGATTATTCAAACAATACAATGAGCAATAAACAAAATCGATGTCTCTTTAGATATTTCGTCACGTCTGAATTAGTTTTTTTTTTCATTCGGTGAATTTTCTGTTTTCTATGATGTTTTTCATGTTTTAAAAAATTTTTAAAAATAATATCCTTTAAAACTTTTTTTGAGAACGACTGAAAACTGAGGATTCTAGTCGGGTGAATTGATAAATAACTAGTGGCGAATCTTAGATGCGACTGACAATTAGAGATATAAGATATTGTATAATATGGAAGCAATTGGTACGATATAGACTGAGATGAGTAAAAAAATAACGTGTGGCATGTTGAAGTTTAATGGACCTACCTTTGAATCTAGAAGAGTTTGGCGTATACTTGAAATCAATGGACAATGAGTAAATTGGAGAATCTGGCTAGTCGCTAATTGAACAGACACAGAGTGGCTGGTCAATAATTAAAGAAGAGCCGTTTCCAATTTCATTTGTTCTATTCCAAATCCTTATCGTACGTTTGAAATAAAACCATCAGATTTATATAAACACAAAATATTGTTGTGCCAAAATACAAACAAAAAATACAATATATGGTCAGCTCAGCTGTCACATTAATTAGTTTTTTTTCTATGGATGAGATTAATTTGGAATATGCTATTCAGATTTCTAAATGACCTGTTATTTTGTTATAGGGTATATACTATATGCCCACTCCTTTGTCTTTGACTGAGGGAATACAAATCCTGACCGTATTTCGACTAGTGTGTGATAGTTTAAACAACTATCAACGAACAAATGTTTCATAAGTGTATTGGATGTGGATAGATATAATCTAAGAAAATATCTTACATAAACAAAATAAAAACAATAACCAACATGTAAATATATAACCAAATAACATTTTAAACTGAAATCCAAACAAATCTAGATGTTAGTATAAAATCACGTTTGTCATCTAAGAATTCTAAAAGTTATCTCAAATATATCACCAAACACTAGGTGTCAGGTGACACATGTACAATCAATTGTATTAACCAGAACAGTGATTGATGTCAGTGCTATGAGCTTATGAGTAAGATCATACAATGTGGACATGACAAACGTAAATTGAACAAAGACTAAGCCAAACATACTTGTATGATTTATCGTGTGTAACCATTTACACACTAAATCTTGATTACCTAAACATGTTTGGTTATACAGTATTATTCATTTAGCGTTGTAATTTGGTTAACACATACATATTCATAAAATCTATAGCATATGTATTACGAGGTAATCAAGATTTAGGGTGTGAATGATTACAGACGATAAATCATACAAGTATGTTACATGTTAACCAGACAGTGTTAGTGGAACATTGAGCGGCTCAGGATAAGACATGGAGGAGGAGCAAGCTGATATGATAAGAAGAAGTTAGGTGATATACATAGACCGATTGAGATATCATAATGCATGAGATGAGCTTGTAGCTGTCTTCTCTTAAACTTAATTACGCCTCTCTATACTTCCTTGGTCCTATCCGTCAGTCATGTGCTCTCACTGTCTTAAGACATAATATGATTTTGAATTGGCTCTGCACCATTCAAGATCATGGCCCATTATGGTTCTCTGCACCTGATTCTGGTTCCATAATAATTCCATTTACCTACAAGGCTAAACATATAATTTAGGGTAGTATATTAACCATATTATGAGAAGATTAATTATAATGTTTAAACGGTAATTAAGATCTCGATGCAAAAAGATTCGTGATCTTTATAGAGTTTATATATCTTCCGCCGTTCCTAGTTAATCATGTCTTCTTCTTTTTTTCCTCTAATCTAAACGTTTGTCAATTTATTGGATTTGATTAGCTAAAAAGGAGGATTTGGCTCAATTTAATCTTTAGGGACTTGCAACCCAATTTATACAAATCTAGTTTTTATTTTGATGTCACTTTTTTCGTTGACATTAGACAATGATAGGTTTTTTTCTTTCTATGACTTAAAAGTCTACCTAGCTCAACTAAGATTTAAAAAAAAAACACATGATAAAGATTTGAATTTCAACACTTCCAACAATGAAAAGACAATGAAGAAGTACATGAAACATGCTTAGCGAACGATCCCGTTAATTAGAACCAAGTCCCTAGAAAATTACAAAATTTTAGGTATATGCCAAAAATCAAATTAAAGTTGTCGATATCCATGATAGATGTTGCGTATATCTAAAAGATAAATTTTGGTACAACTCTCCTCAAAGTTCATTTTTTAAATACTCTGAAATAACACAACTGTAAGATAGATGAGGATTCTAAGATTTTTAAAACTTAACAAGTCCTAAAGTTGAAGAAACGTGTAACTTCTCAAGTTTAATATGGGGGAGGTGTTGAACAAAAAAAAAATATGGGGGAGGTTTGGATCGGTGGAACCTAAAAGCAGCAAGGATCAGGACAATGGTCCAACGCATGACACGTGATGCTCTTTTCTCTTATTACACTTCATGTTTGCTCGACTTCGATAGCGACCGTTTTACTATTTTTATCACTTTCATATTTTACCCCAAAATAACCTAAAAGAAGAGAGTCCGATATGTTTAAGAGTCCCAATCTGAATCTACTTCATTACCTTCCCTATATAGCCCGCACGCGACTTATATCTCGATTATTTGTTTGTGTTTGCATTTGTTTTTATGTTCTAGATATCAGTGTAATATGTATCTTATGTGATTAGTTTTAGTGGGATATTCTAGAGAGCAATGAGCATTCACATGTCTAGTAGTACAAAATACGTGTATGTCAATCTAATGTTACAATTCAGTTGGCATGACTTGCAAAATATAAACGTAAGAAGCAACGCATATGAACCACTTACCACAATTTTTGCTATAACTTGTTCCACCATATTAGCAACAAAAAAAAAACACGATAACATTAATCTGAAAAAAATCCATAAATACGACCAAATTATCCATTATCATCATCAAGTACATTTAGCTAGAGCTTTTCTAGCCTTTCTATTTGCCAAAACGTTTTGATCCATTCTTTTTTTTTTTTTTTAAATAATTTATTTTCTCCATTTTTTTTTATCAAGGAAACCGTATCTTTAACTAATTAATATCCTGCTAATACATGCATCCATATTTTAAGTGAATGTATGTATGTTTTGGTAAAGTTAACACATAAGAAATATGATATGTTTTTTTTTTAACTTGTCTTTATCACAAATTTTAGATTGTATCATATTTAATTCGATCTTATCTTGAATTATTTTTATAACGTTTTCTTTACCCTTCACATGTCCCAATTTTTTACATTTTTGTTTAGTTTCCTTTGCTTTCTATGTTTTTAGCAGTTATTTATATATATTTAGGAGATCTTTTTGATAAATTCTCTTAGATATTCATTTATATCTAGTTAAAATTTAGAAGATACTGATTTCCGGGCATTAAATTATGTTATATTTTATTGAGATTTAAAAATATATAAAAATCATACTACAATATCTCTTTTAATTACACGTTGGTAAAAAAAAAAGACACGTTTCCAAAAACACCAAAAAAGGTAAAACCGAAAAAATTCTCAATTTCCAAGATTCCCCAAAAAAGCCTTTAACCTAACCAACTTACTTATATACAGCCTCATCGTCTCTAAGCTCAACAACAATCACATTCTTCTCCAAAAGAAAACAAATCTCTCTCCCTATTTCTCTCCTCTGCTTCACCACCAAAAAGCATCTTCTTCTCTCGTCTTCTCCGGTTAAACTAAAATCTGTGTGAATCGTTTGTGAATGGTGGAAACTAATCCGATCGGTGGTAAGTTTACGCTCTCCCTTTCCATCAAAAGGGCGAGCTTTTTCCTTCCTCTCTCGACATCCTCTGTTTTCGCTTTCGGATCTTGCAAAGAAGGCTGGTACTTTCGCTGCCTTGGCCTCGACCCGTGAACGATTCACCCCAAATTTTCACACCCAAGAACCCTAATTTCCTAAAAAAGGGTTCTTTTTTGATTCTCTGTTACTTGTGAGATTTGCTCTGTTTTTTGTTCTCTCTTGAAAAAAAAAAGTTTTCGAAGATGTTGCTCTACAACAAGCAGAAGAAGAACCAAAACGCTAAAGGGAATAGAATTCTCATTAGCGTTACGGTTTTGGGTAGTGCCGGTCCGATCCGGTTTGTTGCTTTTGAAGATGATCTTGTTGCTTCTGTTATCGATACTGCTCTTAAATGTTACGCTCGTGAAGGTCGTCTTCCACTTCTTGGATCTGATTTCAATGATTTTCTTCTTTATTGTCCTATGGTTGGACCTGAAGGTACAAACTCAATCTCAATGTTTTTTGGTTTATGTGTGATTGTTGTTCTCTTTGGAGAATTGGTTTACTGATGTTTTTTAAATGACAGCTTTAACCACATGGAATGCAATTGGATCGCTTGGAGCAAGGAACTTTATGTTGTGTAGGAAACCAGAAGAGAAGAAGGTTGAGGAAAGTAATGGAAGATCTAACTCTAACATTAATGGAGCAAGAAAAGGTGGAAGCTTGAAGGCCTGGATCAACAAATCCTTCAATCTCAAAGTCCCAAGCCATTAAGATTATGTTTCTTCTCTTTTATGAAACAATAAGACCAATCTTTGTTTTATTATTATGTTTTCTTTGTTTCTGTTTTTTTTTGGTTTTGAATTATGATTTTGATTCCAAAGTTTGTTCTTTTCATCTTTCATTCATGAATAAAAGTATCAAATTCTTCTCTGCTTCAAGTGTTGAAGTTGGTTTCTTTTAATTCTTCTTCTTGCAAGTTGTGCAACTAAGAAAATTTCTGCAACTTTCTTTAGTACAATTTTGTATTATTCGTCTCGTAAAACACGTTTTGAAATTATTGTCACGCAATAATAGAGCCTTATTAGAGTGATATTTGTATCCGTGATGAGGAATATACCTTTTCAAATTGTTCTTGTCGTAAAGTGTCAAGTTGTGTAGGATACGTCATTGTCGAGAATCCAAAATAAAAAACTGTTATCAAAATTTGATTTTGATTAGAAAAGGAAAACAAACTTTGTGACAGAAGAAGAAAGTACAAATACACACAACTAAACTAAACAAACTACACAAGTTCCGTACCAACTTGTACTCTTGCCTCCACAAGTCTTGTTGCCGTGCTTTATTTCTCCTCTTCCTTATCATGAAAACGACACACTGTTTTTATTTACTACTACACGTCTCACACACCAGACATGAGACCCCACACTTCCTTATCCTTAACGCGGAGGTTTCTACTTTCTACATTGTTCCAGAAGAAGAATAAAACAACACGATGTTTGTCTCACTAGTCACTACCTATGCACATACGTTTAAACTTTAAACCAAAAAAAAAAACTATGCACATACGATGCTAACGATGAGATATTTTCTAAATGCGACGTGTATGTGTATGTCACATCTCTCTTTTGTTTAATTGGATCGTGGCGAGGTTTGGTAAATTGTTAGCCCAACGGCCAACGCTCTCGGTTACACATAATCATCCTACACCCATTAAGTTTATAGTTGGACTTACATTTATTATGGGCTTTAGGCTTCGATCCATTCATATAAAGAAAAAGAGAGGCTTTAATCCATTAGAAGTTATGATGGGCCGAATGAATAAAAACTGCGGGCCTCTAGTAGAACAAATTAATTTACTTACACAATTAATAGATGAAAATTACTCGGGTAACAACAAAAAGAGAGATTGCTAGGGTGACTTACCCTCTTTGTCTCCGGCGGTGCTAAGGAGGGATTCAACTGCTGTGACGAGATGGTGCGGCGAAGGACGATACAGAAAGAGATCTCGGCTCTCTTTTCGTTTCGGGAGTGGGGGATGGTTCGAAGCTTCATGGTGTCGGATCTGGGGAGCTAGATCGAGCTCTTCCGCTTCCCTTGTTCTTCCCGCCAGAGATCCTAGCCGTCCGAAGTAAAGTGGGTGAGTCGAGTCTTAGAGTCTACCGGTGGTTGGGGAAGGTGCCGAGGGTGCCGGTGGCCGAGATTTGAGGATTCCCTCAAAGCCGGTTTTCTCGAGAGTTTCTTCAATTTACTGGTTCAGTCCGACTAAGAAGCGAGACAACAAGGCAGATGCGATGTGGCCAATCCGGAAATGCACCGTGGTGTGAAGGTATACTAATCCGTGCTCCACTCTAATCCTTAGGCGATTAGTATTACGAGTATTGCTTGGTTATTTCGGAGATGTCTATGGCTATGCTGGTTTTGGTTCGTGTCTCTTGGTCGGGTCAGTCGGACGTGCTGTCCGTTTTTGGTTTAAGACCGGAACGATGAATGCCGGGGATCCCAAGCTTTTCAGATAATGCGCCTCCGGGTGGTGATGCTATTGGGACAAGTTCTACAATCCGATCATAAGGGACTAATAGTGTGGATTTGATTTGTAATTCAGTTTAGTTTTGGTCTTCTCCGTGTAAGTTGTTGTTCTCGTGTCATTAGGGTCAATTTAGGTGGTTTAAGAGATGATTTCACTCCGAGTCGTGGCGTGTTTCATCTCGCAGTGGTTGAAAAATACAATGATCTTCAGTTGGGTAGCGTTGGATTCGTTAGTGTTTCAGGGTGATACTAGACTGAATCATTGTATTTGAGTGAAGTTTGTCGAGGTCAAATGATTTGTAATATCGATTTGGTGAATGAATAGTTGATGTTGAGCCAAAAAAAAAAAAAGAGAGATTGAACATAACTTACAGATCACGGGAAACATTTGTTTCACTCTCAAAGGAACACACTTTTGGTCAATTCAGTTCGGTTAGTTGTGAAGACTTGAAGTGGAATAAAACTAAATTCAATCGAAAGAAATAACCTTTTCCACTTTTAGTTTCTTTTGCTTTTTCAGACAGCTTCGTGACAAAATAATATACTTGCTTACACTGGAAAACAATCAAAAGGATTTTTTTTTTTTAATGAACATATTTTGAAAAGTGTGAAAGAAGGGGTTTCCAATGTTATTCATGATGATACTACTTACTACATTATGAATGTTTACCAAATAGTATATAATTAGCTGGTTTATAAGAAATTAGTACAAATTAAGCTGTAATCAGATTCATACAATTTAACTTGAGAGAATTAAGTAATCTAATGTCGATTATTTAAAAATATATATATATATATATAATGTTTTTTTATAGTCCAATGGACAATGGATAAATCATCTTACTACAAAATTAATGCTATTTATTTTGTAGAAACTTATTTATGGTAAACAATTTTAGTTTGTCTAAAAGCAAAGGGGTTGAATGGTAAATACAAATTTTTCACGTTGTTACGTTTTGGAAACGTGATTCCTCTGAATACATATCATTCACAAAAAAAAATCCGCTGAATTATAAAAGGTAAAAAATAACAAGTAATTGTTTAATTTATCCCGCAAGATTTAAAATTATAACTATATTCAAAAGTTCAGTCATCTACTATTGTGTTAAAAAAAAATCATTTATGTTAAGATTCAAATTGTTGTCGTCCTCAGACCAAACTGAAATCTCCATTAAATTATTTGATGTTATTTTTCTTCTGTTAATAGTAATAGACAAATGTTGTGCTAATTATATTCAAGGTGAAATTAAACGGTTTTATGGTTGGAGACTTGGAGTATGAATGCTCATTTTTATCACGTTACGTTCGATGATAATAAATTTAATTAATTTGTAGTAATACAAGTATAAATTAGTGGCAACGAACACATGAATGGCTGTTACTTGGCCATTAATTCCGTTGACCTTAAGATTTGAGATATTTATGTGTTTGTTTGACTATTTGTATATCGACAACTTCTCCACCACCAAAGGCACCACTTTCCATTTTCTTTTATGCCAAAACTAAACCAGCCCACTGAAATAAATATTTTATTCACTTTTATTTATGTATTTATGAATCAAAATTCTGCAATTTAAAATTTATAAATTTTGAATCTTGTAGTTACTTGTTATTCAAAATATTGAAGAAATAAAAATAAGAAATTAAGAATACACCTTCTCGTTATAAAGACATGTTGTTAAGAGTAAGTTGGCGATAGAGTTATATATATCTTAGTGCACAAATGTATCTGGAATTTTTCTTTTTGTTTTATTAGCGGGCTTGAAACTTCTGTGTGGCTACTAAATAGTTAAATTAAAAAAAAAAATAGTGTTTATGATACAATATTTTCAACATTGTTAAAAATGACAAAAGGTTTTGCAAAAAGAAAGAAAGTAGACTTGAACTTGATCTTGTTTTGTAGATGTAATGTTGTCTTTCTTCGGTGTGTTGATGGAGATTTCAGTACTGTGACCGACTGACCGTAGATTTCTCCTAGTAAAGAACTTGGTTTAGAGGAGACACGATTTCTACAGAGTTGCTCCATCTGTTGCATGCAAGTGAACTGCCAATGGTGATTTTAGTGTAGTAACAACGACGTTGTTCTCTTTATCAAAAAAAAAAAACAAAACATCGACTTTATTCTTTATTCCTTCCTAGAGTTTTTGTAGATTATTTGTGAAAGTAGAGATATTTGGTGTAACTGTTGGAACATGAAGCCATGTCGTGACTGAATTCATTGAAGGTATTAAGGTAGAGAATAACGTATGGTTAACATGATGCACGGTAGCACGTCATGTGTCCGCAAAATGGGGTTGGGATTATTCCTTGATTCCAAAAATTATTTGACACTATTTGTATATTCAATACTTATTTCTCTTTCTGATTTAATAAGTGTCACTTTAAACTAATTCTTCTAGTATTTTTTAAATTGACTTTTTAAAGAACTTTTAACTATTTTTCAATTTGTGTGTCATATTTTAGAAAACCATACTAATTTTATTTGTACCATTTCAATATTTTTGGATGTCTCTTGAAGATACGATTGCCGTTTTATGATTTTAGTATATAAATTTTAACAAGAAAATATCTAATTTATTCCTACTTCGTTTTAAAAAAAAACTACATAATATAGTCAACTTGTTATTAGGAATATAATAGAAATTTTAATTATTTTGTTAACAATTTATTAAATTGCTTTTTAATCCACATTATCCATCCAAATATCCAATTCCAATCTGCAAGAAGTATAAAATCATATTAGTCATACTTTCAAAATACAGAAAGAAAATAATTGTTTGAACATTGAAAAACCATGATCTTATTGACAAAAAAGTAGCTTTCAACTTTGGAAACATTATCCAAAATTTAGATGCTAAAGTATCTAAAAATCTAAAACAGGTTGATTATGATACGTTAGTGTCATCATTATTCATTCACTTCACCAAAATAACGAAAGATTTGATTTTCTGAGAATATTTGTTCCAATCCAAAGTAAACCAATCAGAAAATAGAAAATTTATATATTTACGGTAAAAAAAAACAGAGGCTGAGATATTTTACCCTTAATTTCTAGATTTTTGGGGAAAAGCAAATCACTAATCATAAAACATAAATAAATAATTAAACTAAAAATAAAAACAAAACAAAACCATATCCCAAAAGGATTGGTCCATAATCAGTGTGTTACAAAATATCAATGGCAATTTCGTAGTAAAAATAAAAAACAAGGATATTGTTTTAAATCTATCTCTACCCTATTTTATTTTCTCATATATATAAATTAACCCTTCTCTTCCCTCCGGTCAAATCTCGTCGTCTTGTTTGGTCTCTGTTTTTCACGCCGGAGATAGAGAGAGAGAGAAGTAAAAAGCGAAAAAGCTAGAAACTTTAGAATACCCAATAATGGATCCGATCGAATCTGTCGAGTACAATGGCTTCGAGACCTCTAACGGTAACTCTCACGTCGACCATGGTTGGAAGAAAGTCGTGTACCCGAAACGCCACCGGAAGCAAAAACCAGCGGATCAAGCGACGGCGAATGGTGGCAAAACTGTTGCTCAGAATGGAACCGTAGCTAACGGAGGCGATAACGTTTTCCGTTCACTGGAAGAGCAAGCTGAGGATCGTCGACGACGGATCTTAGCGGCGAAGATGGCTGCTGTTGATTCAGATGATGATGGTGTTGTTAGATCTAAACGCCGATCTAATGGTTACGGCGATGATGGGTATGATTTTGATGGTAGTGATGATGAGATCGCTGCAAGGAATGAGAATCTCAAGGTTGAGGAAACTAAAAAGCCAAAGCCTAAGAAGGTGAAGAAGCCTAAAGTTTCTTTGCCTGAAGCTGCTTCAAAGATCGATCCTTCAAATCTCGAAGCTTTTCTCGTTGAAGCATCGGTATTGTGCATGGATTTGAAATTCTGTTTCGATCTGTTTGTGATAGTTGAATTGTGATCTAAAGTTTCGTTTTTTATAGGAATCGTATGCGAGTCAGCCTGAGATTCAGCTAATGAGATTTGCTGATTACTTTGGGAGAGCACTTTCTGGAGTATCATCTGTGCAATTTCCATGGGTGAAGATGTTTAAGGAGTCTCCTTTGTCTAAGCTGATTGATGTGAGTTGTTTTCGACATTGTTGAGATTTTTGGAATTGAATTTTAGGTTTAGGTTTAGGTTTGGTAAAGCTGAGATCTTTTTGTTTATGGATAGGTTCCGTTAGCTCATATTCCGGAACCAGTGTATAAGACATCAGTTGATTGGATCAACCATCGTCCAATTGAGGCTCTTGGAGCCTTTGTGTTGTGGGCTTTTGATTGTATTCTCACAGATTTGGCAGTACAACAAGGTGGTGGTAAAGGTGGGAAGAAGGGTGGTCAACATACTTCTTCCAAATCTCAGGTGATTTGGAAAACCTTTCTCGATCTTTGATCGTCAATGTCATTACCTTTCGGTTACTAACTCCGTCATGTTTCGTTCGTATAGGTGGCAATATTTGTTGCATTAGCGATGGTATTACGTAGGAAGCCTGATGCTTTGACTAATGTATTGCCAACTCTGAGGGAGAATCCTAAGTATCAGGGACAGGATAAGCTTCCGGTTACAGTTTGGATGATGGCTCAGGTTTGTGTGATTTTTTTTTGTAAATGAGGACCGAGAGTGTCAAGATTTGTGTTTTCTGTGATCTTTATTCTGAAATTTTGTGTAACTGTATAATGTGGACAGGCCTCCCAAGGTGATCTATCTGTAGGCTTGTATTCATGGGCACACAACTTGTTACCTGTTGTCGCTAATAAGAACTGCAACCCTCAGTCAAGGGATCTCATCCTCCAGTTGGTTGAGAAGTGAGTCGAAAAATATCTTGTGGTCTCTTTTTTTGCTATTTATTTAGTCTATCATCTAATCTTGTTTATATACAATTTTCTTATCAGAATTTTGACGAATCCAAAGGCTCGCACCATCCTTGTAAACGGAGCTGTTAGGAAGGGAGAGCGACTGATTCCACCTCCTTCATTTGAGATCTTGTTGCGGCTTACATTCCCTGCATCATCCGCAAGAGTAAAGGTAAATATTAATATTTGAATTTATAAAAAAAATAACCTTGATGCATTTTGTTGATTCTGATCACAAGCATGATCTTTGATGCACACAGGCTACAGAGAGGTTTGAGGCAATATATCCTTTGCTGAAAGAAGTGGCCCTTGCCGGTGCACCAGGAAGCAAGGCAATGAAACAAGTCACACAACAGATATTCACTTTTGCTCTGAAATTAGCTGGAGAAGGTATTATTAACAAACAAAACCTTGATTTGCTTAGTTTCTGCTTCCCTCTGCTCCTCTAGAATAGAAATCTAATGTTATCGTTGTTACAGGAAATCCTGTTTTAGCCAAGGAAGCTAAAGAAATTGCCCTCTGGTCTGTGACCGAGAATGTTGATTGCTGCAAGCACTGGGACAATCTCTACAAGGAGAACCTGGAAGCTAGTGTTGCTGTTCTTAAAAAGCTTGTTGAGGAATGGAAGGAGCATTCGGTCAAACTATCATCATCACCGAATGATGCCCTCACTCTCAACCGAACAATGAAAAGCTTCAGGCTAAAGGTAAGCCTCCACTATTTTTAAGCTTTCATTTCACCCTCCAGCCTCTTGTAATTTTCATCTCTGATATTGACCTGTGATGTGTTATGTTTTAGAACGAGGAGGCCATCACTGAGGGAGGAGCCAATGGTTCTCTTTACAAAGAAGCTGACAAGTCTTGCAAAACGATCTCGGGGAAACTCTCCCGTGGAAGTGGCTGCCTCAAAGGAACAGCCATTACTTTTGTGGTTCTAGCCGCTGCAGGAGCCGCTGCTGCAGCTGTTCTATCTTCCAACCCGGAGGTTACAAACGAGCTGAAGAACCTGGTGGACTCATTGGAGCTGCATGAATACCTCAACAAATACACTGAGGTTATCACCACAGCTTTGAAGAAGTAAGAGAAAAGAAACAAAAACAAAACAGAGGATGATAAGTAGAGAGGTAACTCTTAATATCGTCGGTGTAGAGAATTACTTAAAGTTAAAGCCTTTTACTCTCCAAGATACAAAGTTTTGAACATCTTGACCAGAATTTAGGGGTTATGGAGGTGAAGAATAATGAGGGTTTTCGTTTTTATAATCACAAATTTGGGATTTGAGAGTCTGTTCAAAGTTGTTGAAGGTTTTTTTTTTAGACTGTTTAATTTGTGTCTGAGATAATTTATTTCTTCTTCTTTTTTCCCCTGATGACAATAAAGTTATTTCTGTTTATTATATGTTTTGATTTTGTTTTATCTTGAACATAACTGTATGCACAAGTCATTACATTGTGTTCATGTGAATCCAGAGTATATACATACAGTCCCAAGATATGAAACAAACTTGTGAATCTATCGGTTAATCGAGATCGTAATCTTCTGGCGTTGCGAATGGGTATTTGAGGTAGTTGTTCTTAATAGAGTCTGGGTCTGTTGGTTTGTCCCAAGGATTCTTCATAGATGGATCTCTTGGGAACTTTCTGAAGTTGAGAAATGGTGCCCATAACAGTAGCCTGCAAATGACAATCTTGATAAAGACTAGAGATTAAGAGAGTAAGCATTGATGCAAGTGATGGTGTGATCTTGCTTACCCGGGGAAGAACATGAAGACGAACATGAACTGTAAATACATCTCGAAGAACTTCCTTCTGTACCATCTTACTCTCAGCCAATTCATGATGATTGGCTAACAAAACCATAGTATATATAAGCTCCACATTCATAATCTAAATCTTTGAAAATACAATGTCTCAGTCTTCAAACTTACTGGCATTACGAGGAAGTACCAAACGGATATGATCCCGATATCGAGCACAACACTGCTCAATTCCTGCTGGTTGTTGACTCCTGTTATTGCCAACGCCGGATGATCAATCTGAAAAACTAGCGATTTTCGATAACCGACCATTGTTTTCTCATAGTTTCAATCACGAATAAAGGTCTCATACGTTCTTACCGTGGCAAGAACTGCCCCGAGTTGAGCTGCCAAAACTGTCTTCTTTGCTCCAAATAAATCACCGGCCTTTGCTCTAATCTTGGCAACATTCTGTATTAAACAATATTAGTCACAGTGAAGAGGCAGAGATTTTCTCTGTTCTTGTTGATGACTCTATTCTTAACTAAGTTAGAGAAGTCTTACATGAAGAAGAGTATCGTTTGGTTTGGAGTAAGATGTAACACAGAGAGGAGATTTCACACTGCGAGGCTTCAAGGAGAGAGATGGCAAAGCATTTGGGGCATAGAGCCCAAGAGAGCCGCAACGGCTCATCTCTATGTTTCTGTCTGTTCTTTTTTTCTTTGGGTTGTGAAGTTTCCTTATCTCTTGAGATTGGTTCCAATGGCAGAGAGACTTCTAGGATTGCTTTTGTCTGAATCACATAAATTCCACGTGTCATTAGGAGGTCCCAGGTTTGATTTTGGCATATAGTGTTTTATTTCAAGAAAATGAAATAAAAAACAAATAATCTCATTCCAAATTCCACAAAGATGATTTTGGCATATAGTTGTTTTGTCTTGGCATATAGAGGCTAAAATCCTTTGAACACACAAAGAAACAGCATTTTCGATATTTGATTATAGTTCTTCTTCAATAGAAAGCTAGCTGAATAATGACTGAGCAAGTGAGCATAACTTGTATAATGATTTGCTTTGTTGTAGATAGAATGAAATTAGCATAATGATTTAATTCTGATCAATTAGGGAGAAACTGTTGAAACCTGATACTAATAAAGTGGGTTTTTGTTGTGGTTTCACAGTAGCCTATTGTGAGATTTCAGTTGCTTGCTTATATAAGCTATAGATTGATCATTATTTCATTACATAAAGAGAAACCTTGATGGGTGTGTTACAAAATGCAGAACCTGAGAACGAACCAGACAAAAACTACTGTCCCTTAATGTTCTTCACAGTAGAGACACTGACAGAGACATTCCAATGTTTCCTCTTGCAGAAATGTTGAAACGGATAACAAGACATGAATCTCCCATAACACACAACATGCTTTGTTTCACTATTACATTATTTTTGGTAACCTTTTTTAGATTTGCATGATTCAACTCCTCTTGTGAGATTTACTCTAAGATTATTCTATTAATTGCAAAATTAATTAGAATTATATAATAATTGTTTTCACTTTTTAGTAAGGAATAAAAGAGGGGCCACCGGATCCCCCACCTCTCTACAACAGCTCTCAATTCACCATCATTTCTCTCACCAGTTTTTACTCATTCTCCCATACCATTACCATTTTCTTTTCCTATACTTTTGGGTCAGCATTGAACTATGAGTATATGACTAGAAACATGCCTCAACCACAGTCGACTTAAGTCGTCCGACTAATCTTAGGAGTAAACCAACTCAAAGGAGAAAACTTAGTCCACCGGATTTTTAATTGGTTCCCGACATCGAACTGGAAGGATCTGCTTAACTTTGTTTTGTAAAAGACCAAACAACACAACGACCAGACAACACAGACAATCACATTCACTTCTTCCCAATATGCATGTAATTTGTGCTTTTAGTGAAATTTGAACTCTGCAAAGAGCGAGTTTACGCCTTCCCACAGATCCAACTACCATTTGACCACAAACAGTTAGACAATCTATTTTTGTTTGTGAGACTCATTGCTACAGATCTCTAATATCAAAATTCGGGCTTACATAAAGCTTTTATAATTGGTGGTATAATTAGAAGAAAAAAAGCTATAAATAATAATGTGATCTCTAGTTTTAGGTATAATTTTATTTGGAATTAGAACTAGTTATGTAACTAGCAAGAATGAATATGTAATTAAAAAAATAGTGTAATGATGTGGGATTTATTGTCATCAAATAGTTATTATTTATGAATTTGCTTATATATATATTTTTATCTAATTGTTACGAAAATGTGGTTGTTTGTTAATAGTAATGTTTATTTTGTTATGTGGACATGTAGTTTATCTCATGTCGCTTTACAAAAGTAAACCATATATCTAAAATCATAAATTCTATCTATCATTTAATAAATTAGACGTATAAATTATTTACAAAAGTAATATAATGTTGTCATTCTTGTTTTTGCAAAATAGTCTTACAATTAAATTCTTTCTCAATTTCAAATAAAGTGTTACCACGTACAACTTTTTTATGGAAGTGACTAGCGAGTTATTCTAAGATTTTACATTTTCTAGAATCCAAAGTGAGTTTCGAAATAATTTTCCGGGATTTTGGAGAGCCATTGGTGTGGAAAGTTAATCACATGTTAAAGGCTTAACCTAAAAAGCTTAGACTGCAAACCCCACCACCATTTTTTTTATTTTAAAGTCTCGTTATTGATTCAGCCGACGAATATTGTTAATCATTGAGGTCGCTTCTCCTTTCTTGTTTTCTATGATAAAATCAAATAAGTACTTAGTATATAATAAACTTGGTAATAAACTAATAGTAGTTCAATTTTAGTTTTTAATTAATCAAATTTATATATCGATTTCCATTAAATATACTATTTGCTTAGGAGCGTTTCACATTATCAACTGTTTAATTCTAAATCAACAAACGATCAAGAAATGATGTGAAAGCTTAACTCTATAGAACTATAGATAATAGATGCATGCACTGATGCACATACCAATATTTAGCTTAGAAATCTGAAAACTACTATAAATATTAATGTTCTCCAAATTAACAAAGTTCTATACTATAATCAAGTCGTAAATTATTAGGCCAAACAGTGAGGTGGGAGTGACCTGTCATTAAACTTTGTATGAGCCACGCCCAACACCACATGGCCCTTTTCATTCACAGAAATTATTTTGTTGGTAAAACAAAAATCGAAATCACAAGATCCTAACGCAGAAGTTCCCAATATCTCTATGTATGTAGTCGAATATTTGATAATTGATATGGATTACCTTCGATATTAATTAAATTCTGACATATACGGTTTTTTTTTTTTTTTGTCGTCAAGAGTTTGTATTAAAATAGAAATGAGGTTCGTGAAACAAAAGAAACAGAGCAATAAAACCATCACAAAACAGAGCAACAGTACTCATGTAATTAAAACAGGAATCGGAACTTGATCAACCAAATCTGATGAAGCTTCATCGTCGTTTATCTTCCTCTATGCGTGAATGCAACCATGCCGGACCGCCAATGGCAAGGTATGATCTGAAACGTCCATTTCGAGTAACACTTTTAGCAATATCTCTTGCAACTGAATTCGCTTTTGGGGACGCAATCTTAAAGAAAATTTTACGAAAACCCGGAGTAATGCGAGAGATCTTATCAAGGGATATACTGGCCCGTTTGAATATTAATTACTTTGATATTTTACATATATTTATTTAGTGATGATTATCTCTTCGCAAACACGCAAAATATAATTTGACAAGGCCACGAGTTCAAAAAAAAAGACTTATATACATTTATTGTAATGTGTTTTCGAAAAAGTCAATATTTGTATGTCCCTATGATGTCAATGTGAACCATTCGGCTAAAGAACAGAATAATAATATAATAACATATTACAATATTGAAATGTCCCGTCAATATATTATAGAAATGGACACGGTCTAATTAAAATGAATTCGGTTTTGATTTGAATTATAAAAATAAGAAAAAGTGGCACATAACGTTAGACTGGTCCATTAAATCTTTATTTTTTCAATCAAAATTTCAATATTTTATTTGCTAATTTCAATCAAAAAAAAAATAATCAATATTTTATTTGCTAATTTCGAATTTTTATTACCTTGTCTACACTACACAGTACACACGTTACATATGTAATTGTTTATGAATGCTGTCTTACTTTTAAAATTTGATACCCCCAAATTTTTTATCAACCATGTTTTTAGTAGAAGTGTTTTAATTAGTAAAACAAAAGATATTAGTTATCGAAAAAACAAAACAAAAATATTTTTTTTCTTAAGAACCTCCTTTATTTTAACTGTGGTCTCCTTTATTAAGCTGTAATAAACAAGGTCTTGTCCTCTCTTTTTTTTGGTTCTCCTTACGGGCCTAGTTAACTTGGTCAAGAAAATGAAAGAAGTAAAGGTGTGTTTAATAAAAGGAAACTAAAGGAAATTTTGTTATCTACTTTTGATTAAACGATTTTCAATTCATTATACAACAACATAATTGAATATGTATTTTTTTGTTACTTTTATAGTTTCTTCTATATATCCATCATTATAAAAGTGCTACAAACTAGCAAGATCAAAAACATTATTTTCCACTATTGTACAGTTATTTTTTTCCCAATTTTTTTTAACTATTTCTAAAATATTCATGAATCAATAGAATCCATTAGATAAATAGTTGGTTTATCTGAAAATATGTGAGTTCGGGTGTTTAACATGTGTGGGCCAATTTTACGCGCATGTGGGTCAGAGGTATGGGCCCACTCTATTTTTCCTCCAAAGTTAAAGGCAGAGTGGCGGGGTCATTTAAACCACGTGGCAAGGTTTCTTTATTTCTTTAAAATATTTTTACTTATTAACGGGAAAATTCTCTAAAAAAAACCCCACTTATTTAATAGTATGAAAACGACCAAGTACCTATCATCACACGCAAGGAGAATGCCATGGAGTGATGATGTTCGTTGATTTTTTATTTTCTTGGTGAATGGTTTTAAAAGATGATTTATTATTATTTTTTAGCATTTATAATATTATTGAATTTTTTAAATTTCATCATTTTCTATAATTTTATCACACTAAATCCTAAACAATTTACCATATTTTTCTTACACTACCAAGTAACACCTAAACAATCCCTTATTTCACATGATTTTACCATTTGTACAGCATTCTTCCCGCGCATGCGCGCGGGCAATCACCTAGTTAACGGGAAAATTCTCTAAAAAAAACCCCACTTATTTAATAGTATTTACCAGAAAACTATCTAAATTTTTTTCGTTGCCAAAACAATACACAAACTAATTTGGGTTGGAAATAAAAAACACTAACTATTTTTTTTTTCCGATTTCCTCCCTTCGCCGTAACGGCCGTTAACAGCGTTATCCAAATCGTCAAACGCTGTTAATTTTATTTGCGGAAAAATTCCTAAAAAAATCCCCGACTTATTTAATATTTGCCAAAAAATACATGAACTTTGTTGTTGTCATAAAAATACTCAGACTAATTTAACTTGGAAATAAAAAACACGATCTGTTTTTTTTAAAGGATTTTTCCAACCAAATCGTCAAATGCTTTTAATTTTGTTTAAGGAAAATTCCTAAAAAAACTTGACTCATTAAAGAAATCCTCTAAAACCTTAAGTTCTTCGGTAATATCAACTAAATCATGTTATTAATGTGTAACTTTTTCTAAATTGATAATGCTTTTTTCAACA